TCTAAAAACACGTTGAAATTGTGCAGCAGCAGGATTCCAGTCAACCAGTGAATGTTGCAGTTTTGAGACATCATCTTTCATTGAAAAAAAACCTTTTTCCTTTTGCCGACGCGCATGGCTACGGCGACGCGCGCGCATACCAGAAACCGGAGACTTTTTTTGGCCTTATACTATACCAACTGGGGTGAGTATGATTGCCATTTCAATAGTTATTTCACCAGACTCACATAGTACATCTCACATTTTGATGTGAAATGCACATTGCTCATAGGGTGCCCAGTGCTGTTAGCTAGTCTACATAAATAGTCAATAGTTAATAGTCATAACTTAAACGCACGCGTATCTTTTTGGGCAGTTGAATCGTAAATCAATCAATCGTAAGTCGCGTAAATACCACTTGCAATTTCCGCTTGCGAGGACCTCAGTAGTTGACTCCATATCTTGAGGTGGTAGTTTGAGTATAAGAACAGACCGTATGCGTTGTAGGACATAATTATGTATGCATTTAACTTCTTGTCCATAAAATAGGCCAGTTTTTAATTCTTTTGTGTATGGGCTTTAGACCGTCACAATGAAATATATATGAAAGAAAATATAAGTTATGAACCTTATTATTTTGCTTAATTCCCAACTCTGGGTAGCCAAAATAATGTCAAAATACAAGCAGGCAAGCTTAATTAGCAAAGCTTTTCCCAGGTCACGGGGGGGGGGGGGGGGGGGCAGAGTGGAAGATTGCAAGGGGATGGAGATTTCAAAAGCAAAATCGGGACGGTGAAAATGGATTGACCAGACGAAAATTCTATTTTGCAACGGGCAAACAAAACCCTAGTTATACGCACGTACAATATTATATTCTATTGAATCGATAAAGAACGGCTATTCACTGGAAGGGGGGTAGTGTTTTCACTGACTACACAATCAATGCGGCGGAGTTTAGCCGATTCATGCGTTCAGAGCAGTACATGAATATTTCAAACTTTTGGGGCAACTTGGGTATTAAAGACTGGAGCATTCTAAGTCACAAGGACAGTCAGCGACTCAAGCCCGGTAGAAAGAAAGAGCACTATAGGCTGGCCCCTCTAACACCAGCAATAGACCTGTATCATGCATGCTGCCACCATTTCAGTCATGTTCCCTGTATCCATTATCAGTACTGAATGATGTGTTTGTGCAAAAAGGAACCAGACTATTTTTCCTTCCAGCCTCGCTTTGGTTACGTTGATTGGAATGGGAAATAATCAATATGGCCGCAACATGATAAGGCCAAAAAAAAAGTCTCCGGTTTCTGGTATGCTCGCGCGTCGCCGTAGCCATGTGCGTCGGCAAAATGAAAACGTTTTTTTTTTCAATGAAAGATGATGCCTCAAAACCGCCAAACTCACTGGTTTGACTGGAATCCTGCTGCTGCACAATTTTAACGTGTTTTTAGATGGGGTTATGATCGAGAATATATCTTTATGTGGCCTCTCTGGACTCCCATATTATATTTGCACTAAGTTTAGTCGGGCACCATTTGCAGTCATCAGCCGACATTTGAAGCAAAAAAAAAAAACAGGTAAAAAAAAAAGCCGCGTCACCGCACCACTTTCTGGGCAAGCTCCGTACCAGAAACCGGAGACGTTTTTGGCCTAATGGTCTAGGGAACCGATTTTGTTTTGTTTTAAAAGTAAACGACGAAGAACAAATGCAACAATTTCATGCAATATGCTGTGACCTCTTTAGCCTTAATCTTTTGAAGGCACAGATATGCGAGTTATTCTTACCTCCATGCTCTACATGCAAAATTTCATGGGAACGGCCCAGACCTGGACTTCGCAAATCTGCAAAATGGCCCCGTCTCTTGGAATGTGAATAACGATCTGATCTCCCGCAATTGGCTTATCGCAAATGACGAGGTTCATCCCGCCGGGAATGTTGGCCGACTGCGCGGTAACTGGTGAGCCGCACGCTGGTCCGCCTACACGCACCACAGCTCCGGCCAAACGGTCATCTGTGTGAAAGAAATGATTTAATGTTAGACATAAGATGAGGTAAAATTAATGTTTCTGTTTATAATGACCGACTATGCCGGTGTTTCATCTACCACTCGTATATAGCCAGATTATCTCAAGACGAAACTGAATTTACAAAGAACATTGCTTTGAGCAAAGTTCGTATTTTCGAAAGTTGCACTCATCCCTGCATCATCTTTGGATACTCTAGCTCCTAGTTCATTATTGTAAAAAAAAAGAATGCGATAGCAAAATAAGAAAAGGAAGAAATCGATTATCCTTCTAAGATTCTAAAGAGTGAAACAAGGGACCAGACTGATTTTGGACTAAAACAAACGAAAAAAAACTTACCAAAATGACCAAAATAAGCCCCCAAGTTTCCCACAAAATGTGGCTACCAAATTTTCATTTTCAAAAAAAGCAAACAAAATAAATTAAATACTTAATTGTATTGTAGGAAAGACGTTTTTGAAAAGTTTGTACATGGAGGCAAGAAATGTGCAGTAATGTTAAAGTCACTGGTATTTATCACAGAGTGCTATGAATCGAGGCAGAAATCTAAAGTATTGTGTTTCATTATTTATGTGCCATCGACGTCGCACTTTTGTGCGTTGCATTTTTGACTTGTATGCAAGACGGCCAGAGCTTATTGTGCACTCGCTCTTGTTATAGAGACTCTGGTGAAAAGGTCGATCTATCCGACTGAATGAATTTCGTCTGGTCCCTAGTCAGTCATGGGAGTAAATGTCACTCGAATAGAATGACTTAAAAGTTTTATTCTGGAAATGAGGGTATATAAAAAGAGAGGCTTTATAAAATATTTAAACCAACTGGGCCAATTTTAAAGACACAAAAATCAGAGCAAACCGATCTTCCTAGTGTAAATTTGAACACGAGTTTTGTAACTCACAGTCGCCGTCTCCACGGTTCACAATGCCGACCTGCACAATACAGTGAGGCTCACGAAGATACACTCTCCACCACGGGTTGTTCTGAGGTGCTACAATAAACGAAAGTAAATAAAACTTGATATACATCTGATTCAGACGGGGAGTGTTACAAAGCATGCAAGTCCCAGGCTGAGATGTTCCATTGATGCAGTGGCGGCGCTACGGGGAGGGGGGGGGGGGGTATGCGTGTTAACGTATGGGAAGGGCTGTACGCACATTGCCCTGCCCGCCCCGCCCCGCCCCCCCCCCCCCCCAGTTTTTTCCCAAAAAATTATCAACAAATAGATTTATTTTCTTCGCTGTTAAGATTCATAAAATGTGGACACATTAATTTGTTGGCCGATGAAAGCATAATAATTATTGGTACTTTGGCAGACAAAACACGCCACACATGTATTCATACAGCCGTATCCGCTCTGTTCACAAGTACCCCCTCACTGGCAAAGAAGGAACAGTGGGGGTGACCGACCGACGCTGTCTTGCCCGACTGCAATTTTGCCGTGACGTGCGGCCGTACCACTGCGTGTGCATCACCCCCTGGTACATGGTGTACGTGCGTCACACACAAGGAACGGCGCGCGTTATCCAGCTAAATGTCCCGCCCATGGGACGTCGTTGCTAGGTAAAAGGGCGCCCTCTTTCGTTGGCGCACGGATCCCATATACTGTGCAGCCAACGTCTTTGTACATTTGGTATACAGACCATTCTGCGGTTAGATGCATTTCTCATTCATAAAAACGACTACACATCTAAGCTGCTCTAGTGGCTTATTTCCGGACCATTGACAATGGGCGTACACATGAGGCATAAGATTTTTTTTTGACAGCCCCCCCCCCCCCCAAAATATTTCTTTGCCCCCCAATTGCCCCCCCCCCCCATCCACAAGAGTCTGGCGCCGCCACTGCATGTACCTTTGAACATAGTGAAATGCGAGGAAAATATCACTTCACTAACCCAGCCCGTGAGTATCAGCTATCTATAGATAAACGACTGATTTACCTGTGTGCGCGCAGCTTCGTCCCTGGATCAGATCCGAGTTGAAATTCTTGTCCACTGCGTTACCAGAACCGTAAGTGACGTCATTGAATACGAGGGTGGAACTCTGTTCTGTTTGAAGGTTGACGATATCTACCAATGTAACCGCAGGAGCTGTTCGAACATGGAAAAAAACCCATTGAAATCGGAATAAAATTTTTAAATTGTTCAAAGATTGGTTGATGTTAGTCCGTTCCATTATACTTATGCACGCCTGTCCAACAAATTGGCGTATTGCATTGCGTAAAGGTTTGTCTAATAATTTTACCGATGCCGTATAGTAGGCCTATACAGTCATGTCTGAAATCTGGCAATGAAGTACCGGAAACAGCCTTCGATGTAATTGATAGTGGTTAATCTCCAAGTCCGACGTCCCATTGTAGTGGCGCACCCAGGATTTGGCTTTGGGGAGCCCCAATTTTTTTTCCAAACATTTCATAAGTTTAATTAAAAAAAAAAATGTTGCCCAATTTTTTTGGCCGCAGAATTTTTATTCTGGCGTCCCTATTACACCCCTATTATACTACTCGACAAAAGGCTCAAGCCCCCCCCCCCGCCCCCCCCCCCCCCCCTTGAGTGCGCCACTGTCCCATTGGTCAGATGAAACATGGTTCAGGTTGACTGACCCTTATCCTTAACCCCAACCTCGTCCCCAGGGTGTCGAGCAGCACGCGCCCACCACTACCTGCTCTCTCACCCTGGTATTGGATCATTTGCATGTGCAAAATTTTTGAACACGTATCCAAATTAAGACTAGTCTGGTGCCTGTCTGTGCGTTACATTCGCATTTTTTTGTATGTGGCGTCTGGGGTAAAAACAGAGTCAAATTGTCGCAGCGCGAGCATTGCGTGAGCTACGAAAACACGATTTTTTTCAATTAAACTGTTACGATCTTATCAAGACAACATGCAGTATCACATTTCATATTAATATGAACAAATTGGAAAGTAAATGAATATTTTCGAGAAGGCATGGACGAATGACCACGAAAACACGTACTGCACGTTGCGAATAACAACACCAAGTACACGATATAAATCCATTTCTAGCCAAAAAGTGCGATATCGAATCAGGATACAGGAAGAAAGTTTCCTATCCAGGGTTTACTATTGGAAACGATGTTGGAAATAAAGTAAGCACTGGGGACGAAGTTGTTATAACCCTAACCCTGAATGAGCCGTACGACTAATGGGACGTCGGACCAATGGGACGTATAGACCAATGGGACGTCGGGCCAGTGGGACGTATAAAACAATGGGAAATCGGACTATAGAGACGTCCCCATTGATAGTATACAGTGTAGTGATGCGAGTTCACTCGCCGCAAGAATTGAGCCATGGGGTTGTGGCTGATAGCTGAGAAAAGGCGGGAATTTAGCAATGGAAGCGCCTGAACTCTTATCAATTCAAAACAAGGCTTTATTTTGAAGGTCAAAGCCAGGAATTTAAAAGTTTCTAAGCCCGATTTAATTATTATTATTTATTTTATTTTAAAAATCAAAACCTATTTTGCCTTACTTAATTACCGTACCATCCCTTTTTATTTGATAACTTGATTTCAAAGTCTTTCTTATTACAGCGGGTTAAAAGAGGTAGAACGTTTCATTTTCCTCCAATGACACACAAAAAAAGGTTAAACTACATCTTTAATCTTGCTCCTTACTCTATAGGTTTGACCACACAACACATACCTGCCTGATCCAAGTACTTCCTTTCCAAGGCACGCTTTAACAGTTCAATGTCTCGTGAAAGTTCATCCTTGATAGAGAAAAACCAATGTAAAACTTTGATACTTCATATATCTGTATCACTCCATAAATAAGACCTGAAACGCTACAAGAATTTTGCAAAGCATGTAAATGTTTGCGGCTCGAAACGAAAACGTGGTGAAAGTACTCGAGTTCTCTTTTTTTCAGCTTAATATTATTATAGGAAAGATTCCTATATCTGGCCATAACTTTTAACCTTATTCACAAACCGTATGAGACTGGTCTGAAAATGTCTGTGTTTTCTCAGTAAATACTTCAATATTTTCCCTGCTAGATTTGACTTTAAGGACATTTATCACTCTCTGATGGCTGATAGGCCACTGAAAGGAAAAATTAGTGACGGCCAAAGATTGGAATCCTTCCTGATCCTTACTATATTTTCACTTTCCAGGCCTATTTCGTGACTAGTCAACACATACAGAAAATCTCAATTTTTTTAGTCTGATGTCAAGGCAAAATACCAAGGCAGAATATTAAGGCCGAAGTCATTCCACAACTATGTATAACTAGTATCAGGACCTTTCAGTAAACAGTTGGGCATGATTATTATTGGTTAAAACAGAAGAAATCGGCTCGAGAAGGGATTGAATCTATTTTGCATATTATCTGGCTTGCGTTCTACCACCCAGTTCAATTGCACACGATTCACTCCCTTAGAGTTTTGCAAGTCTATAATGTCAAACACAAGTAGGAAAATGCATATTTATAAATGCTTGCTCTGTGACTATAACAGTGCTACAAAATTGTTAAAAGCCCACCTCGTTATTGGCTTCCTGTGGAAATGCAAAGACAGCATGGCACAACGCCAGAGTAAGAAGGAAAAGACGAAACATTCTCTCTCTTGGTGGTTGACAAGGTGTGGTCGGCTCAACTGGGTCTGCGGGAGTGTGGTGTTTCCAGTGCGTAGACGAGAAGCCACGTATATCACGTATATATTTGTGCCTTCTGCTTAGCCTTGTCTCATTGTGCCCAGGTATCCCAATCGAGGCCATAATCGAGGCCATCAGCCTTGTCCCTTTATAAAACTTAAATATGGCATGACAAATTATTCTTTCTTACTCTAATTTTTGTTTCAATAGGTCTATTGATGCTCCGTATTCAAATGATGTAGTAGTCTTTTCGCAAGCAGTGATTTCTTTGATTAAGATTGTTTTTTCCCTTAAAAATGTAAGTTTTTAGGTATAAGGGAGATCTATGGAAGTGAAGCCAGCAATGTCGATGTTCCCTTCCAGGTGATAAATAGGGAGCCACAATTGTGGTTTTTTTTAATTCACAATTGATTGATTTGCTCTTTATCAGTATAATTCACGGTCAATTTGCATGGCAAAAAGAAGGCAACGAATATTCCTTTTAAAGAAATGTAGCCCAGCTGATTATAATGGTGAGTTTTATTGGCAACTTATTTTGAGTGTATAATTTTTTGGGGAAAAACTTTGGGAAAACTCACATAATGGAAATTTTGGACATTCTATGCCACCATAGCGCCAGAATATGTTGGTAAAATGTCGCCAACATGGGAAGACTATAGTAGATGTCTCCCACTGCGCATGTGCAGCAAGTATAACCCCCAAGTGAATACACCCGCAATGGGCTATTCATAAGGTCCCCTTATTCCTAAAAACTCAGATTTTTAAGGGAAAGAACATCAATAGACCTATTGAAACAAAAATTTGAGTAAGAAAGACTGATTATGTCATGCCGCATTTACTAAGCCAAGGCTGATGGCGTCGAGTGGGATACCTGGGCACAATAGACAAACAAAGTGGAAGGTTCTTTCGTACCCCGCCCTGCAAACTGATGAATTCACGCTCTGATTGGTTAGATTTTGGGCAACCTGTGACCAGAGCGTCATCAAGGTCATGACTCTGCAAGGTTTGAAACGGTCGTAAAGATTGATTCATTACTCTTTTATTCCAATTTAGAGACGTTTTATTTTTGTTGAAAAACGTAATAATGTAGGAAATTCTGTAAAACTTATCTGTGTTGTAAATTTACAATTCCCGTCACTTTCTCAGGCTCTGTTTCGAATCACGAACAGTCAAAATTTTGTCCACATGGTCTGCAATGAAACAGAAATCACATTTGGTGTGGAATGCGCGCATTTCTATGGGAAGTTTTTGGAGAGCATTTGCGCACATTGTATCATAACTGCGGTCTTGAACAGCTGCAGCCAGATGCTTTATACATAGGTCAATTCCTTCACAAGATTCTGTGAAGCTCATCAGAGTATCCCAGCGCCCTGTTTGCAGGGGTACGAGAGAAAGTGGAAGGCACAAATATACGCGATGAAAGGAAGGAGTCAGAACTCTTGGGCGATTTAAATTTTGACCGTTAACATTCCAATCCCTCGGAAATGTCCATAGCTAAAGCGCCATGTGACCGCAGGCCTCGCCCATTCAAAGCGTGAATGCAAGCGGCCTTCAGTTTGAACACGGTGATCGTCGCCTTCTTTTTAGTTGGTATAACAAACAACCTCCCTATATGCTGTATATTAAGTCATGTCACGTCGTTGCTCTTTTTGAAAAATATATAAATGTGATATTTTGGAAAATGTCAAAAGTTTTCATACTGAAGGCATAGAGCATTTTGTTAGTCATGAAATGATTGTTTCAGATGTTGACCACATTGATATAGCCAGTATTATATTAGCCAACTCCGAACAAACACTTTCAAAATTATTCATTTTTGGCGATGTATGACAACTGTGCATGCGTATTACGCAAACTCTTTCTTCTACCGCTAGAGCCGGATTTCTATTTAATATATTAGCGTAGGCCTATAGTGAGCGACTGAATAATCTGGCCGCCAGGTGCATTTCATTGTTGCTTTCGAGCGCGGCGATGATCTTATAATACTTTGAAATACTGGAGTTCTGACTCCTTCTGTTCATATTTCCATGTTAAAACCACAGTAAACGTGTTAATATAAGATGGAATTTTTGTTGGAGTTGGAGGTAACACACTGAGTACACAGTGTTTAAACGTCGGTGAAGGGCAAAACCTAATTTGATAAAACGTGTTATGTGTTCTTCTTATTATTATTATTTCGTTCAAAGCGTTTGATCACCATTTCAGGTGGAAGATGTATTGAAACTACTTTAACGTGTACTAGTAACCTAGATATCACGGCTAGTTGGCTATATTTATTGGAAAAGAGAAACTATAGTACACATGCACATGACGTCACTTGATGACAATGTGTTGGGCGGTGTAACGTATGCGCAATGCGCCTCCTATAGGCTTGACCAATGCACAAGCTATTCAATATAGCTAAGTGACTGCACGACCTCCGTAGCCTTGGTTCGAAGGCTTTGTTTCCCAGCTTCATTCTTTTTAATGGTCACCGTGCTTAATTCTTACAAATTCTAAAATTTTCACCGATTCCTAGCGTTGATGTGAGTAACTTCCATCGTGTAGTAATACCAGTTGGCGAGAAAATTGCGCCCTCTGTCTATGACACTTGTAAGTATGCAGATTTTCACAATGTGCTCTCTAATTATAGGGATCAGATGGTTTAAAATGAAAATCACTATCATTTAAGATTTTAAAAACTTGAAAAAAAAACCTTTAAAAAACACAGTTCGGTGACTTGAGTGCAAACTAGGTTTATTCGATACTGAAATTTGCTATAAATCGTATTTTCCATAGTTACAGTAGGATCTATTTTAACCAAGTACATGTATAACCAAGTCTAGGGGAACGACGCTTCCATTATTTTCAGAAGTGTAAAACGAATGTCCAACCAGATCAAATTGACCGATAATTATTCACCGAGTGATACCGGGAGGAATCACATGTAACAAGCCAGTCAGTCTCACAGCCATTGTAGGAGATGTTCCAACATCTTAAACGTATTTACAGAAACAAAAGGAGTGAGGCCACAGTTCTTTATGTAACTCTACTTCAAATTTGGTGAGTGTACAAAAATCAAGACCCGTTTGGTCACAACCGTGAAGAATTGTGAGAAAGGGCTACTCTCTGAATATCGCAAAGAAATGGAAAGATTAACCCTTTATCGAATTTCCTCTGTAATGAAAACACGTCAATAAGGCACACTGAAACAAGTCCATTTGCTTTATTGAATTAGCTGCCACGCTATTTTATTAACGAACTAGCACAGAATTAAACTACCGTGCTTATAAGGTTACTACACAGAAGAACGAAGAAAGAACTCAAGATTTCTGATTGTGAACGAGTGTATTTCGTTTTCAATACAATTATTGCGTTAATTTAAAGTATGCAACTTTTCCCTCATTACGTAAAGAGGTTTGTTAGACGATCGTGCCAAAACGTTGTGAGCTCTAAAACGTATTGGGTAGTAGAAGACACGCTATTTTCGATACTGGTAATTTTAATCACTGACTTTTGTTGTATGTATCTGATATTATCATTGTTTTTATGATGAAGACCACTGAGAATGACTAGTCCACTTTAAATTTGTGGCATGTTAGTCGCCGTGTTGGTATTTTAGTACTGTACATGTACTCCCCAACGAAAACTTCATGACGGGTTTGAGGAACTAATCCCTCTCAATTGTTTAGACACTAGTCAATCGGAATATCTCCTTATGATGCATGTGTTTTTTTCCAAACCAATATAAAGACTGGCATGACCATGCATGTGGTCTGAGTTTGCTTTTGGAGAAACTAGTGATTTTTATAATTGTTTGTGAATTCAGAACTGAGGAATGGTTATTCATTTAATTGAACGATAAAAGTGACAATCACTTGAAATGACAAATCACCCATGAAAAAAAGGAAAAACAATGCAGAAATGAAAAATCTTGTGAACTATACGACTAGCTATTGTGGCAGTGGAAAACGAAAGTCCGTTGTCCGTTGTCCGTGGTCGGATCCCGAGGCCTTGTCGGTCTTTCCCGGTTGCACTACCCTTGTCACAAGAAATCACAACAAATAGATGGCGTTACAGGCTTTGGAACGATAGCATTGATAGACGTTACTGTAGCAATGTAACGAATTCTTTGAAAACTCTGCTATTAAAAAGACACATGGGAAACTCCGCGAGAAGACTTATGTAACAGCATATTTTTAGTAGTATAAATGCGTAGGCCTATTCTCCCATGATTATACTACCAACTTGGGTGAGTATGATCGCCATTCCAATAGCTATTTCACCAGACTCACATAGTTACATCATGGGTTACATCTCAATATTTTGATGTGAAATGCACATTACTGCTTAAACGCACGCGTATCATTTTGGGCAAGTTGAATCGCAAATCAATCAATCAATCGTAAGTCACGTAAATACCACTTGGAATTTCCGCACGCAATATGTGACTGTATGACTTGTGATTGGCTAATTAGCTTACGAAGACCTACGGCTAGTTGACTCCATATCTTGAGGTGGTAGTTTGAGTAAGAACAGACCGTATGCGTTGCGGGAGTCCCGGAGGGTATGCCTTGTTATTTTAATTAATTAACAGTGAATGCAAACAGATGTACTCATTCCTATCCACAATACCACTGCCCCCTAACTCTGCCCTTTGACATAAGATATATACGCCGTAGAGAAGTGTGACGTCACGCGGGGTCGTCTACAAAAGTGGTCGTTCCACACAATGTCCCGACCGCCATTTTCCCCATGTACGGGCGATTTAAGTGAACGTTTTATAGTTGAAATTTCTCAGACATTCAGAACTTAAAACTGGAAAATGGGACAGTGCTTTGTGTTTACTCAGAACCGTTATTTTTCTTGTTGAAGGAATAAAAAATGATGAAAAGTGGGCACCGTGCGCGTATCGCTACGTAATTATAAGTACAGGTTTGTGTGGACAATTCGCCCCAGGCAACGCGTGACCTCAGCGGCGTATGACGTAACCACTTTCTACGGCGTACAAACTCCCTAGCGCCCAGGCTTGACGGTGAACGTTTTACTATCCACTGCCGGACTAACATTTTCATTCAAAAACTTGATTCATTTATCACAGAATAAAGTCTGAAATAATCCCATCTCTTCGTTGCAATCATCATGACACTATTCGAGATTCTTACCTCCTATGAGTTTACTTGCGCATGTCTTTCTTCTTTTGCTCCACTTTTCGGGTTAGCTTCTCCCACTTTTCCTTAGGAGCTCTCTTATAACCTATGAAAAAAAGAAGAGTAAGTCTGGGCAGAGACGGTTTCATGTTTTTCCTCCTTTTGGGGGAATACCTTTCACTAGTAGAAAAAAGTGTGTTTAACTTGACTGTGTTCCACGGAAACAGTAACATTGGATGCAGGCTGACTCTATCAACTGACTACAACTGAATGCCGTGGCCCTGATGAAAAGCTATGTAGTTCAAAGATCAGTATGCAGGGTGAGTAAAAAAACCGCAAAAAACCCTAATGTCGGAACCATTGTTTTAGTGAAGTTCTGCAGGTAGCACTTTCAAAATTCTAGAATATATATGAAAGCCCATAAGCTTTCTTTTAGTACAAAAATCATTAAAATCACTCATTTACTTTCAAGTTATGGAATTGTAAATACAACCACTGTTTTAAAGTTCTGTCCATGGATCACAAAAAAAATTCACACACATCCCTTTGTGATTTGTTTTCGTTTTGCTGAAAGAACACTTACATTCTTGTGATCCGTGGACAGAACTTTAAAACGATGCTTGTGTTTAACTTGAAAAGTACATGAGTGGTTTGAATGATTCTTGTACTAAAAGAAGGCTTATGAATTGGGCTTATGATATCCTAGATTTTGAAAGTGCTACATGCAGAAAAAGAACTTCACTAAAAACACTGGTCCCGCCATTTGGGTTTCAAGGTTTTTTTTTTTACTACCCTCTATACCCTTCGTGGAAATTTAACCCTATCAGGACTCGGGTCACGATCTGCCCCGCTATGAAACTTTTTTTATCCTAGCTCTTGAGCACTTTGTTTTGTAGCCAAATTGGGCACACTCCAGGCCATTTTGTTCCCTTAACTGCATTCCTTTTGCACAATGATTTGCCCGGCAGTTTACATGCAGGAATAATCACACCATCTTTTTCTCCCTCACTGGTCAGACTGAATGAAAATTCTAGTGCAACGAATTAAGAGGAGGCGTATACAATGTAGTTACTTTTTGAATAGTATATAAACATAAATCCCAATGCTTCGCAAGACCAAGTTACACTGAGTGATTCGCATAAGAATGCACAACTAGGCATATATGGGTAAAGTGGTAACCGCGTGCATCACTGTATTCCGCTTTGCAAAAGAAACAAAAAAGGTAAAGAGGGCGAACCTGTATTCACAGGAACGCCCATCTCTCTTTCTTTAGCGATTAGGCCAGACTCATATGCTGCTGTGGGGGGATCGCCACACCTCCAAAAGAAATACAGTTTCTCTATTTTGGCAGTGTGTATGTGTTTATTATTTGTTCCTTTCCACGTGCTTACTTAACTCTAACTTACTTGGGCAGTTCATTTCGTCTTCTCCACCATAGCAGTCATCCATGCCGTCACATTGCCAATAGCCGGGAATGCACCATCCACTGTTGCAGGTGAACTGGTCTGAGCTGCAGCCTGTACCTTAAACCAGAAAAAAAGCCAGGTGCTCATTTTGTAGCAACTTTAAGCACATTGACAATTCATAAATACCTAAGACACTTTACGTATTCCTTTTGGTCGAGAACCCGTCACGTGGGTGGTTTTAAACAGTTGATGAAACATCAACTGTTTTTAAACACATTTAAACACATAATTCCTGCACCGCTGCGTCCTGCGCGACATTGCGCATTATACGCACCGTGTGTTTGCAAATCTCCATATAAAGGAGGTTTTTAGTACGAGGGGTGTTTCACAAAAGATATGGTAAAACTGTGCTTGGCCAAAACAAGTATACGTATAAAACCGGCTGCAGCCGATTTCACGAAACTCCGCAATGGCGTAAGTCCACTTGCACTTGCGCCACAATGTATTACGGAAGCTGCGCAAGTCCGCAACATTTCACGCTGCGCAACATTTCAGTTATTTCACTTTTAAGATAGTTAAATAGTGCACAAGTCTTCGACTTGGGCAAGAAATTATGGCGTTACTTGCGTAATCATTTTAGGTGGCGTAAGTTGTGGCGGAGCGACTGAAAATGACCTACATGTATTGCAATAGGTCATTTTCATATATTGTACCAGCAATATCGTGATGGATTTGGAGCCTATTATTGCACACATTATCAAGGTCACTGAAACGAAACAATCACAGCTTTGTGTTTGAAGTAAAATAATTGATATTCTATTCGTGACAGAGTTTTTAGTGTTGCCACACGATTCCAAAGAACTAGAGTCAGACTGTTATTTAAATGCATGTCGGGCGGAGGTGATTCAACCACTGTTTCATGCACGAACAAAATCATACACAAACGGCAGTCGTAAATGTTGTTATTATCCTCGTCCAAGATGTTCAGATTATACGTTGCGAAGCTAGCTACGCAAAGTTCCTGCGACCCGAAGTTGGCAAAAATGCAGTTTGCCAACCAAGCGTAGAAAGGTCTACACCGAGAGTTTCGCATGACAGGGCGCCACCAGGAGGCAGAGAGGGCAGTTTACATGCAGGAATAATCACACTTTTTCTCCTCATTGGTCAGATTGAATAACTCGCAAAGTGTCAAGCGAAATGCATGTAGTCAACAATGGTGGACGCGCTTCGAACGTATTGTTGACCTTAAGAATTTCGCTTTGCTTTTGCGTGAAATATGAACTGGTGTAGCATGACTTTATGAAATACGGACTCATTGGTGGTATTGCGCATGCTCATGCATAGATAATCAGGAGAGGGACCGGTCACGTGAGAGGGTTCAACCAGTAAAAGGGAAAAAGAGTCAGATTTTCATACAAATCCAAAGTTCATATGACACCGGGCTTTTAGAGTGGTAAATTTATAACCACGTGCATTAACTGTATTCCGTTTTGCAAAAGAAAAACAGTTTCACTATTTTGGCAGTGGTGTGTTTATTATTAACCACGTGCTTTCTCGTAGGCCTTCGTTGACGGCAGCTTTATTTCATTCTCACTTACTTGGGCAGTTGACCTCGTCCTCTCCACCACTGCAATCATTCATGCCGTCGCATTGCCAGTAGCCGGGGATGCACCATCCACTGTTGCAGGTGAACTGGTCTGAGCTGCAGCCCGTACCTTAAACCAGAACAAAGCCTGATGCTCATTTTGCAGCAACTTTATGAACATTATTGATTGATGCGTAAATATATTCATAAATACCTAAGACACTTTACCCATTCCTTTTGGCCTAGAGCCTGCCATGTAGGTGGTATTAAACGGTTGATGAAACATTATTCCTGCACCATTCTAAGCCACATTGAGCAGTACGCGCCGAGGGAGCACAAATCTTCCCCAAAAGGAGGTTTTAGCACACTGCGCGCGCAAGGCGTATTCCATAAACATGGCATGAGGGTATATACGTGATTCACAAAACATTAGAAAAAAAATGTTGGAAAATTGTGAATGTTGGGCATGTTGTTAGTTTTTGAGAGAAAGGTATTTATAACTGTCCTGAAGTTGGCCGAAACAAGTACGTATAAAACCGGCTAGGGCTTGCAGCCGATTCCACTGTTATGTTAGCCTTTAGTCAAGTCCCACGCGCCTATACCCGGACCATCCGGACACGTAACGTACCCCGGATGCTGGCAAATAAAAAAAAACTAACACGAGCGGCGAAGCCGGGAGGGCCTAATTACTATCTCGTGAAACTAATCACTTATTAATTTATTCACGTAATATAAATCAAGCAATATAAACCAATCATCTAACGGTGGTTTGCGGCACGCCCGCCTTGTGTCTGGCGCCAGACGACGGCTGATTTACGTTAGTAATTCTGCATTTTCATTGGTCAATTCACAACGGGTAATTCATTATGCATGTCTACGTACCAAATCGGTAGAAAAATGTAAAGAAAAACATAAGTGAACTCCACGAGATGGTAAAGGCCCTCGCGGCTTCGCCGCTCGTGCTAGTCTTTTTACGTGTCAGCATCACGTGTCCGGGTAAGCGGACTTGACTAAAGGCTACTGTTATACACTGTTAAAAATTAAATTAACGAACTCCGTTAAGTGAAATATTCCGTATTTTTTGCCGTAATTTTACGGACTTTCCGTAAATGCAAATATTAATTATGCTAATTAGCGTGATTACAACCAACCACATCGGCACAAACACCTACACATAATATAGTACATCCAAGTACATGTTGTTATTTCACCCACGACCGTGTACACGTCCAAACTCATGTTAAGGGTCTGTTTATTTTACGGAATGAAAAAAATTTCCGGAAATTTTGCTGCCAGCAAAAAAAAATAGCGTTCCGTATTCCTGCAAAATTACGGACATTTTTAACAGTGTACGCAATGGCGTAAGTCCACTTGCACCTCAATTTGTTACGCAAAGATGTATAGGCTACTTGCGTAATCATTTTAAGTGGCGTATAAAGTTGTGGTGGAGCGACTGAAAATTACCTATTTTACCAGCAAATCGGCACTGTCGTAGAGCCCGTTATTCGCTCTTTTCACACTTCCGCCATTGGCATGCAGAGTCTCGATCTGGCAACTTTACACAATAAATATAGCCGGTTCCGTCATTCCCGTGTCGGGGTTCAGATAACTGAACCGGCTATTTTTATTGTGTAAACTTTTGCCAGGTCAGAGGTTGTGCATGCTAAATGGCGGAGTGTGAAAAGAGCGAATTGCACAACAGTTACAAGGTTGATACAAGACACCCACAACCTTATGTTTGAGGTAATTGAATTTCTATTTTACTCGTAACATAAGTTTTTAGAGTTGCCGAACGATATTCCGAAGAAAGTCGGCCAAAATCTCTTTCAAAATGGCGGGCACACACGAACAGCCGTCGGGAATGCTGTTTTTGTTCTCGCCGTCCAATATATTTGAAGCCATTTAAAACGTTGCACATCAACGCCAAGTTTCGTGAAATCTCGTAAGTTTATTGCGCAGCTGCACAACAAATTTGTTGCGTGAGACTTACGCAGGGCGCAAGCTATGCACTTTTTCGTGCAATCGGCTGCAGATCGGTTTCAAATGCAATGAATTGAGAGAAGGCGACTCGACTAGGCACTTAGTACATCTACATAAAGACATAAATCCCAACGCTTTGCGAGACCAAGTCGCTGACTGCAATTCGCATGACAGTGCGCCACAAAGAGGAATGTACTGATAACCGCGCGCATTAAGTGTATTCTATTTCGGCAGTACTAGGACAGTTTTACTTCATTCTCACTTACTCGGGCAGTTCAATTCGTCTTCTCCACCGAGACAGTCATTAAAGTTGTCACATTGCCAGTAGCCGGGGATGCACCATCCATTGTTGCAGGTGAACTGGTCTGAGCTGCAGCCTGCAGAAAAACAATCACAGTAATCAATATAAGTAGTTCAGGGATTGTAGAAGGAATATAGTGTCTGTATTTTTGCAGTGTCTACGTGTTTATCATTGTTCCTTTCTTTTCCCGTGGGCCTTCGTTGACGGAAGCTTTACTTCAGTCTCACTTACCTGGGCAGTTTACCTCGTCCTCTCCACCACTGCAATCATTCATGCCGTCACATTGCCAGTAGCCGGGGATGCACCATCCACTGTTGCAGGTGAACTGGCCTGAGCTGCAGCCTGTACCTTAAACCAGAAAAAAAGCCTAATGTTTATTTTACACAAACTTCATGTACATTGGTTGATGCATAAATACTTCCATAAATACGGAGTTTACCAATTCCTTTTGGCCAAGAACCCGTTACGTGGTAGTCTATATGTATTAGACCGCGGCGTCTATTATGCACGAACAGATTTGCTGATTAATTAGGCAAGGCCCCGCCTCTTGACTTCCTAGATTTTGACCAATCAGCGGACGCTTTCTATATCGGGTCTTCGGTCATTCGTTGCGCGTCATAGACGAGGGATAGAAAAAAAAATTGTCACGTGCTCTGTATCACGTAACGCAATATCGCACCCGGCTGTTGTTGTATTACAAACACTGCATTCGAATTGACCAATCATACCATTTAGTCCTGATTTATGAAATGACGTCACGATTTATTAAAGTCGACTCCTATCAGACGTTATACAGGACTAACTCCACAGATTACGGGTGATACTCAGACTACCTGCACCACTGCGCTTTGCGCCATATTGCGCAGTGCATTCTTAGTCTGTGTAAGACATGGCGAAAGCCATGGTCTATGATATGTAAGCACATTCGCTGATTAATTAGGCAAGACCACGGCCGCCTCATGACCTCCTAGATTTGGACCAATCAACGGGCGCTTTCTACATCGGGTCTTCGGTCATTACCCGTTGCGCGGGAGTCATAGACAATGGTAAAAACACTGTCACGCTTTCTGTATCATTTTACGCGATATGCGCCCGGCTGTTGTTGTATTACAAAACACTGCATTCGAATTGAGTCAAACCATTTAGTCCTGATTTTGGAATGAAATGACGTCACGGTTTAGTTAAGTCGAATCCGATTGGCTGGTGCGCGGCTTGCATATATCTGCATGTTTAGACATATATCAGACGTTATACAGGACTTGGCTCCTTAGATAACGGGTGATACTTGGGCCACATTGCGCAGTACATACACTGTAGTCGCCGATAATGATCCTCGCGCACCAAACCGGGCGCCACCAAGAGGTAGAGAGGGGGAATTGAAATGCACCCATTAACTGTATTCCTTAGGCAAAATCATGTGAGCATAGCAGTCTACGCGTGTTTATTATTTGTTCCTAATCCTATCAACGTACTTTCCTATGGGCCGATGTTGACGAAATATTTACTTTATTCCAACTTACTTGGGCAGTTCGACTCGTCCTCTCCACCGATGCAGTCATCCATGCCGTCACATTGCCAATAGCTGGGGATGCACCATCCACTGTTGCAGGTGAACTGGTCTGAGCTGCAGCCTGCATACAAGTCAGAGGAATGAATATAAGTAGTTCACAATTCGTAGATTACTAAAACCGTTAACCAATTTATCTTAAAATTGTGACGGAATAGGAATTATAAAGTCAACAACTGTACGTTTTGTATACATTAGAACACATGTGGGCCACCCACACTTTGCATATTGGGAATCCTTGTTTCTGCTTGGTCAATCGGATTTATTTGCACTGTCTGTTGTATGGCAATGGGAATCCTGGTATCTGATTGGTTAATTTACTTTATGCACTGTTGTATGGCAAGAGAAGTTGTCAGCCTATATGGGGAACCTCAAAGCCTATAAAAGGAGTTGCAGGACTTGGATTTTGTCAGTAATTGCTTGATTCTCCAATGATTACAATTCCTGCTAAGGCTCTTGATTAGGATGGAATGACATGAAGGGTAGATGATGATTAAAGACATGACCACCGTACTCGATTACTGTCTCCGATTACTTACTAGTCTGTGTCATAGGGTAGGATCTACTTAGGACTAAGTCAAGGGCAAAGTCCCAAGGGAAATAAGTATGTACATTGAATAAGTATTCTTCAATTTGTGAAATTTCGGCTAAGTTACATTATTTTTCATCAACTACGATGATTGGTGCATGAATGTACGGTTAACAACCAAAATTGGCTCGTGTTACATCAATTAGCTTGTGGTATAGTAAGTATGGATTATATCATTATATTAATAGGAGAAGAGTAATTGTTATCGAATGATAGCTCGGGTAGTAATTTGAGGGACTGTTTTCAAAGGAATAAACTAATAAAAGGCAGTGTCTGACATCGATGACGCCTTGCCTCGCAACGAATTCATCGATTCAGTGCGTAGCTGCAATCGGCTGAATGAGAACGTGTCCTGGACTACTTTTTTTGCAGCATACATCGTACACCCAAAGCTCAACTGGCGTTACAATACTCAACACTGCTAATGGTATTGCTACAACTCCCACAGAGCAAATGCCTTAGATAGCCATTTTCAGTCTATTTTTTTTCTAAGGAAAACTGTGACAACATCCCAAACCTTGACAATCCGAAGTTTTGTCTTCTATTATTGCAACTGCGGGCATCAAAAAGCTGTTGAGAAAGTTAAAACCACAGAAAGCACCAGGCCAGGATGGCATCTTTCCAACGATCTTGAAGGAATGTGCTAACAGTGTTGCTCCACTCTTGCAACAAATTTTCCAGAAGTCGTGTTATACATATGAGGTTGTTAATGACGTCAGAAATCTTACCTTGGCGGGCTTGATGACGTACCTTCAGATCCTTCTTTGATTGTTTTGCCGTGCATAACCCTGTAAATTAATGACACATTCATAGGTAATCTCGTTGGCAATTAAGTGCTAAACTAGTACACTATTCAGTATCCGAGGCGTATTGCCATGTGATATCGGTCTTGCTTATTACGGTAGATAAATCATAACCATTTCAAAAATCAGTGAACATACACTTTCTGTAGCGTTTTCTTGATGTCGATAGAGAACGATAATAAGGGCGTATACAATCCCCTCACCTGTCATTATCCTTTTTGTTAAAAAAATAATCTTCAAAACACAAGAGAGACAAGCTCTTAAAAATAATTGAATATAGATATAAAAAAAGGCCATAAAAATAACGCCATTGGAAATATTGCATTCACGTTTCATTCATTATCGTAAGAAAAACGAATGCAGGTAACCAGCTATATTTCGGGCTCTTAAAGAAATATCGCGATCGGTCCAACTCAAAAAAATAAATAAAATCATTGGATGAAAAATCAGAATGAATTGAGTATATTAGCATATCCATATTACGAGACTTTTATTCAGTATTAATTTAGCAGGGTTCGACTTTAACTTTTTTGTTCACTATCCAGTCAGGCTACTGAAACAGACTCTTAACTAGCCCACGGGCATTTACACTAGCCGGCATGTTTTTTTTGTTTATATAGTGTCTTATAAACAACAATGTGCATACACGTAAAACGTGTATAGAACCTGGTGGCGCGCTTCAAGGCCCCTCAAAAAGGAAAATTAACGTGTAAAAGTCAGAGTCTTTATAATTGGTTTTGGTATATTAATTTCTTAAAAAATCACCCTCGTAATTTTATGGACACTGAAAAATCGCATGACGTGAAAAAGAAATGTGCCAAAATTTGATCTTTCACTTCCGAAAACTTCCGCGCGGACTCGTGGAACTCGATCATTCGTTTAAGCATGACAATTTATGAAATAATTTTGTGGCGGACAATTTTTGCGAACAAACTTGAATGATTTATTTTCATTTGCAAACAAATCTAAAATGACCGTGCAAAAGAACTGTATTAAGACGTAATCCAAACGAATAAATCTAGAATTTTATATCATTTTCGTTCTCACGCAAGAACGAGATATGAAAAAGACGTGATCGAACAAGGAGACCTAGGCACGAAAATAGGTCGTAAGTGAAATCGTTTTTACCCATTTCTAACTGATTTCTCATCTATTCTGAGGCAATTTTGTCAGTGTTTTTAATAAACAGATCTTATAATTTACCCCTTTAACCCTACTAAAGGGCTGGGTTATTTTGACCGTCTCTTAGCCGGTGGGGGGGGGGGGGGGGGTGAGGCGGGTTCCCCCCTCCCCCCAAGATCTCAACCATCGAGTTACGAAACATTTTGAAACTCAGTACATGCATAGAGCAACTCATCATGAACATACCCAAAAAATGTCGTGACCATAGGTCAAAGGGTTTTGGAATTATGGCTAATTAATTATTCATATGTACGAATGGCAATTCTGTTCTGTGTACACGACGTATATGGGAAAATTCAGTTTTCATGGCGCGTTAGCGCTGGAAAATTTTTATGTTTTTTATGTTTTTGGTATCAAAAGATGCGCAAGGCTCGAGGCTAAAAAAGTCATAACAGCTTAGGTCGCAAAATGTTTTTCTTTCAAGCTATTTTCGAAAAAGTTGAAGGGGGGGGGGGCGGCCCTTTTAGGGTTAAAACAGTTGAGATGGCTTTTCCTTTCTCAATACCAGGCTGAAAACGGTTCAGTGTGTGTTATATGCAGCGGCCCGTTGTAAACTTTACCATAGTAGATGGCAACTTACCAATCAGTAGAGCTCCGAAGAGCAGAGCGAAGACAAGGCGTGTAGCTTGCATGATGAGTTCTGTCGAGATTCTGTCAGGTCTGTCGAGATGTGGCTTGGTATCAGACACCGACAATCCACTCACTTTTATAAGGTTTCTGGCACAGTTTGTCACGAACGTTCGAGCAACATTGTGTACTTTTGGTTTCGTTCAGATCCATCATTTCTACCTTGCTTGTCCCTTGTTTGTTTGTTAACTCGACCCAAAAGGTAAATGACAAATATTTTCTTGACTTCGCGCACGTACTTTGTAAATAGATATTTCAAACAAAACATCTGCACATCTCTACTCGTGCTTACTTTTTGTTTCAAATCTGAGTTATAGCTTTTAGCATCTCCGTGTGCATGTGTCAGTGTTAATATTTCAACCGAAAATATTTAAATAAACATTTGATCAGAAGTACGTTATGTACATTTCAAACGAAATTTGCGGCTTCTTCGCTTCTGGTTAACTGTTTTCGATTTGGGATTTGGAAAAGGATTCGAAAAAGGAGCAAAGTCAGCATGAGCTGGCGATTTTGTTGTTGTTCAAATTAAACTTTTCGTCTTGCGGTTCGTGTGATGTTCACTATTAACTGAGCAACGCCGACCAGTGCACAGCTATAGGTTAATTGGTAACCAGAAAGTTTACTTATAAAACAACTATACTTCGATGCGCATTATTTTTTTGTATGTCTTTCAATTCAACTCAACTTGAGTTAATTTTCTAAAGTTTATGTTTTCTTGTCGTCAATGAGACGTCTGAAATTCATTTATACAAACAAATCCTTCCTTTTGAATAACACACACACAGACTATGACAGCGTAATAGTCAAGAGAATGGGCCAGACAAAATTACTCAATTATTTCAAACATCTTTAAAATTGTTTGTGATGCCCGTGAAACTTGTCCTCTAACAAATCTTGTCTCAGTGGTGCCTTAAAAGACACTTGGTGGCAGCACATTAGCTTCCAAGACCACCTACATGGCGATAAAGGGTGCACACCGGATAGGCCTAAACTCCTTCCGCCGAGCTCATGAATAAAAGTTATACCCTCAAAATACTCTATATTAGAGAGTTCTGAGAGCCATAAAATTGGGGAATTGAAGAGATATGGCAAATAACCTCTGTCCCGGACTTCATTGGGCTTCCAATTCTGAGCATTTTGGACGGCAATTGGGCTCGAAAGTGGCGCTATTTTTTGCCATGTGGAGGGATCGTTTTTCATCGTCCTCTTTGGATGAGAATATCTCGAAAAGTCAATGTCAACCCACAAAAAAAATGACAAGAAAATGAAAGATGACATGTTGATCATCATTTTTCTGTGCAGCTTAGATACCTGTGGGAGTTATGAGTATTTTTAAAAGTATTTTGAAGTATGCAGCATTTAGCACTACTATACAAGGCTGTACTCATAAAGACGGCATTGCCATCCATTCAGTACCATTGCATGCATAATGGGAGGTAGTAAAGCATGCTGAATGTGAGCAATGCGGTCTCAGTTAACTTTGTCGAATACAGAAAGCGATCATTATTTTGCTTACTAACTTAAGCATGGAGGAATCCTCTATGCTTAAGTAGAACCACTTTGCAAAGTCACCATAACTTTTGTTATCGATTAAACTAGCAGCAGCTGTTGCTCCTTCCATCCGTATAAGTCACCCAATCTGACGAAGACAGAGTTAAACTCAGACAGAAAGCTTCCCTCCGCTGCCGTTGAGTTTGCTACATTTTCCCCACATTGTGCAAAGCTAACATGAAGTTTACCAAATAAACTAGAGATAAATGCAACAACTGGATCGCTGTTGGTTCTCCAATTCGTAAAAGTCACGCGATCCGAATAAGACAGTAAAGTTCAAACAGAATTGTTCCTCGGCTACTATTTAGCTTGCGATTACTTTTTTTCCCACCGCATACGGAAAACAGAAAACAAACATAATCGTCTGTCCCCCTCTTCATTGACACAATCTTTTGACTGACAGGGAGTAAACAATTAATTAGGCCAAATCGTTAAACCAAAAGTACACAGACTGCAGCTAGCATTTAAAACAAATTCATGACGTGTTAGGCCAACAAAAATAGTTCTGCTCCCGATTACGTGGCATTCGAAAATAGGGTAGGTAGGTAGGTAGGGGAAAAATTGCCATTTTTTTGCGTACGATCATATGGAGGCGTCTGCGTGTAGTCGTCAAGGGTAAAAGGCAGAAATTGGTGGTTTTGGGTGCTTTTTTCCTCATTTTCTCCATAAAAAAATTAGGGTAGGGGCTGTCAGAATAGCAGCAGAACTTTTTTTTGCCTTATAAAGAGTGTGTAAAAAAAAAAAGGAAACCCAGATGTAAATGGTGTAAAAAAAATCTAATAAATATTTTCAAATAAGTTAAAGATCATGACACCTTGTGTGTCTGTGGCCACGGATAACTGGGCATTCATTGCTATTCTGTCAAGGGTCAACCTGTACTGGGCCAAGTTTTACTGGTAAAAGATTGACAAAAAGTCTGAAAACTCTCATGCCTGTATAAAACAGAAAACTGGATGAAATGGACCGAGAATGAAGGGTTACCGGGAGGGGTTGGGTCAAGAGTAGGGAGGTAGGTATTGAATGGTTATAATTACCATCCTAAAAATTGCCAAGTAGTTAAGTTGCTAACTTTCTGCAGAGGATGAGGCTCAAGAATTCAAATAAAAGTGCACATCAATCAACTAAATTTCAATCGAGAATCTGCGAAACTATTTTATTCAAGCCAACAGTATGTACAAGGACCTGCTCACTATTATAACAAAGGGATAGCTTAACATTCAAGACACAATAAACACATTTGGGTGGTGTTTTACAGTATTAAATTTCCACGAAATACAATGTTATTCAAAACATGAAAAGTATGTACAAAAAAGCAAAACATGACTTAATATTTAAATCATCAATTATGTGGAAAATTCATGCAAATTGTCTGACTGGACGGAACTCTTGAATACAAAGGTTTTGGATGTTATGAAGGCACCAACTGGTTAAACACACGTACATCACAGTTTAAATTATCTCTCTCCTTCAGTTAATTGGTGGGCGTTAGGAAAACAACTGGGCAAATTTATCAATACCTTGTTATTTTACACACGTAAATATCAGAATTCTATCAACAATGATTATTTTATAATTTGAAATAAATGCATACTTTTTCTGCAACTCAAAATGTTAACCAGGGCGAGCTGAAAGACTGAACGTTCTTCTCAAAGAGCATTTCAATTGAAAAACATGAAATAATAATGATGCTTGAAAAAAAGTTAAAGTGTTATTACCGAGTAAACCAAGCAATATAATAGTTAAACTTTTAATCTCATATCAGTGTAGTTTGACAATACTCAAAGTTTTCAAACTGTGCTGTACCCTCACTGTTGAAGTGCTAGCAAGTATGAGCGACTGAAACAAAGACTACTATTGTAGCATTTTACTTTTCACAAGGATGGTGTATTAAACTCTACTCTGGAGGGTGCTACACATTGTGGTTAAGAGGACATTATTAGTACTTTCATTTTAAACTTATGATATGCACTATACAAACGTGCATGTGGGCCAATTTGCATTCACAAAAGTGAAACTTTACTTGATATGGCATTGAGTATGTGCAAGAGTGTCCTGATAATAAAATGAGAGCACCATTCACAGTGTGTTTGTGTGCAACGGAGCTTCCGAAGTGTTTGCACTATGCAGTTAACAACCGTTTTTGCATGAACGGGCTATAGTATACTTGAAACACATACCATTACCAATGCTACATGCAATGATTTCTCAAAAGCAATATGCAAATTCGTATATCAGTTTTAATGCCTTATGAAAAAAATGTAAGTTTGAAAATACCTGAAAACAATGTTTTCATGATGGAAAATAAGTACCAAATCAGAAATCATGTCTGGTCATACTTGCTGCACTTCTAGAAAACCTTTACAGGAGTCATTACTCCCCAATTCTGGCCGGTATGTTGTTATCTTGTATTCTCCAGGTCAGGGTGTAATTTAAGCCACTGGTTGGTACTGCTCAACTCTCTCCAGCAGAGCATCTGAGTAGCCTGGGGAGTAATACCTGCAAGCAGAAGACAATATCAAGAGATGTTAAACACACCATTGGAACGCTTTGGGACATTAGTTCAAAAGTGGCAAAACAGACCTTTTACCATTTGAGTTTTATTCAAAGAGGCCTAAAAACTTTTCAACTGATGTTTTGAGCCCAAAAGGATGTTTGATTTTTGACACTTGTTTTGCCTCACAAAGCCTGAGAAGCCTTTTTTAAAGAAAAGAAGTGTTGAAAGTTAAAAAAAAAAAAAGGTGCACGAGTGAAGCATAATGTTTGATGGAATTTTCTACTTTTGGACTACACAGGCTAAATAACAACTTACTATGAGACTTAATTTGAGCTGTGTATAACACATGCCTTCTGGGTTTTTATGGACAAATATGGTAAATTGTTAGTAAAAATCTGACTGAAATTTCAAATTATTATTACAGATATACTATCTGTGCTCTTCAACAAGTTGGATTTTTTCTCTTAACAAATTTTGACAAAATTAAAACTGTTTCCCCCCTTTTTTAGGCACCTGCAACCCTCTAGTAAAACAAGGCTTATATTTTGGGTTGCTTTTGCACAGAAACAGATCCCTCTATCGATTCTAAAAGGGGGTTGACGAGACTCAGCCTTCCTTACGAGAACTGAATCAATTTAAATATTCAAAATTTTGTAAAGTACATTGTGTAATTCTACCCTAACCTAACATGGGGCAATTTCTGTGGTCAATGTCTCATTCAAAAGTGAATAACTTTCATATTGCCCCCAAAAAGAGGAAAGAACCAATTTTGTTGTGTCAGTGTAACAACGTCGTTACTCAGATTTCACTCATCTTGAATAACTCCCATTTTTAACTTTTGTAGCACCATGTTTCATATCAAACACAAATTTATATGATGCTACTAAAGTTGAAAATGGGAATTATTGGAGATGAGTTAAATCCGAGTTGCGATCTTGTTGCACTGACGCAATAATTTATGAATAAAACCTATTTTTCAGCTTGATACTTAAATTAACATAGACAGTTCATCTTTAACCCTAACCCTGCCATACGCAACACAGTGCGTCAGGTGGAAAAGTCTGGTGCACTTTGATGCATTCAGCTACCAACACCAGTGCATAAACGGCCAGTACTCAAACACTGAGAGCTAATCCCATTGAACAATGCCACAGTTGTATCCTGCTGTGTTCAGTGACCATGGACTCTGAGGCAGTTTGGCATTGAGACTTTTGACCTGATGGATCTTGCTACGTTGGGCAGGCTTGTCACTTAGACAAGTGTTGCAAAGTTGCTGTGTTTGGCAGGGTTTTCCGCTAAAATACTCCAGACATGCTGGAGGGTTAGGGTTAAAGCACAGTAAGAATGCAAGCTGACCTGACAATCTCCTCTGGGAAGCAGTTATTGATGGTATTGATGTACTCATGCAGGGCACTGCCGGGCTCGGCCTTGATCTCCTGAACCTTCTTCAGCCCTCCGCTGGTGACAAACAGACGACGTGCTGCTGCATCGTGAGGCAACACCTTGCTGAACTGACCCACTACGTGCTTGAGGATGTTGGCTGGGGCATCGTGCAGCAGGGGCTCTAAGGCCGGTAAGTGGACACACTTCTGAAGGATGTTCTTCAAAGCCTTCTTGGCCTGTAAAGGACAAGGAAGTAATTCAGGTTATCCATTCTCAATATCCATCCAAGACTGTTGGTTCCAAACATGAACACTCTTGGAGAAAGAAGCACTACCTATGGACTCTCTGTCTCAGCACATGTGCCTCTGTTCAAATAACAAACACTAAGATATGAAAAACCTGTGAACAAATTGCTGCTGCATTCTTGGCTTCCCACACAGAGTAGATTCACGTTTATGCACATTCAAATAAAAATTCCTTGTGCATAAACGTATGCCATATGTACATAAACCAGTACACACATGTTGTGTGTCGCACTAATAGTAATGCCCAAAATGGCTAAAATAATTGGTTTAATATTAGGTTTGGAGTGGAAAGAAGTATAAAGTTTTTGCAGTGGCGCTCATATTGGATATGGAAGTAAAGTGAGTCTGGCAAGGCTATTTCTGTAAAGAAGCTCAAACCATAAAATGTTTACTCTTGCTCATCAGGTCAGTGAAGCATTTTTAAATCGAGCTCTTTTTGATTTGGAATATACAGCCCATGCTGCTATTTTTAATGACAAAAACTCAAACAAAACAAATCTACACCCCCATGTGCCCTATGTCGTGAGTTCATGCCCACTAAACCTTGTAAAGACTATAATTATCCATTTTCGTGCAGTATTAACACAAATTAAATACTCTCAAATGATGCTGATCACGGACCAATTTCATGGCTCTGCTTACCACAGAATTCCGTGTTTATGATCACCATTCTGTGCTAACAGTGCTAGCAGAGAAATTCTTTGCTAACCTTGTAAGCACAGAATCCTTAGTTGCGGGATGTACGCACGAGCAGAAGCTGAAACTCCTCGCTAATCCGTGAAACACGCTTACAGTAAGCACAGAATTTCCTGCTATAGTAAGCAGGGATTTTTCGCTAACGGTAAGCAGAGCCAGGAAATTGGGCCCAGGTCATTACCTTAGTCTGCAGATCTTCCGAGGCATCAGCTCGGAGGTAGCACTGCAGGAGTCTAGGGAGCACATTAGCCACAGCCACAGCCTTGGCATGTTCAGGAGTGTGTCTGCCTATCTGGCCTAGTGCCCACGCAGCAGCCGCTTGGATGTGGTCCTGAGGTTCTTCGGCTAGGGTTATGGCTAGCTGGGTCACACCCTGAGCAGGAAGGAAAAGATAGCAATGAGAGCTGAAACAAAGTGGTTCTAAAAATCATCTCGTGGGAAATAGGTAATTGCACAATACAGCTTTCATTAAATTTAGGATTGTGCTTTACTGTTATCACGACCTGTGTTGTACAGAGAACAAAAATCTCTTGTGTCAAGAGAATTTTGTGAGTAATTACAGTATGGAGGCAACAATAACGAATTCTCACCTCAATTGGTAACCAGTTACTTTTAATTTAAAAGAAACTCATAGCACTGAGCTTGTGCCCCTACTACCGGGTGCAGCATTATGATAAAACAAATTAAATGTAATTAACAAACTTGAAAAGGAAAACGTACTTGAAACACCCCCTGTAGATCTGTCACTTATATCAGCCTTGATGTAATTGACAAATGTATTTTGACAAGAGAGGATAGAAGTAGTTTGTGTACAGTATTAGAATATTGTTATAATCACCCATGAGAATTTAAAAGGATTTGGCAATTGTAAAACGTGGGTTCATTATCATAACCACTGCAGCATTCTAAACAATCACTCACACACCAAAAAATGAACAATCTCTGAGGGGTTTCAAATATCAGTATTTTTATTTGACATAAATAGTATGGACCTTAGGTCCACACAAGTCAATGTAAAACCAGTCTAGGTGGATGCCGACATCCAGGATTTTTTTACATTGGCTTGTCTAGCTCCCAGACCTATGTTCTTGAAACTAAATAGTTCTTGAGCCTGGAGTGGCAAATGGTCACACAAAGCAACCGCTGAAAACTGACGCCACTCTGCCTCAATCTAGAATTTAATAAAAAGTAAACCAAGATTCCTACCTTGGATACAATAACAGCCATAGCAAGGTTCTCAGAATGAGCAGCCACATAGCCCAGCATCAGGACACCAGGCAGTCTAACGTTACCCTCCGACTCCCCGACGTAATCCACCACAGCAGCCACCCCTCCAGCATTGACGATCAGCTGGGACAGCTCTGGGGTGTGCTTGGCAATCTCACGGATCAGCGTGGCCACGTTCTTGCGCACATACTCATCAGAGTCCTTCAGGCACGTCAGGACCGCCGGGAAGATTTCCGCTTCCACGACCATCTCGGCCAGGTCCACAGAGTGCTTGGAGATCTGGCTCAAGGCTGAGAAGACTTGACGCTGAAAATGAACAAGTGCCTGCTTACTTCACTTATATCAAAAACAGTGTAAGGGCCGGTTAACACTTCGCGCTAATTCAGTGAGTGATGAATTCATTTATGGTAACACGAACAGCAAGCATCAAAATGAATCTTCACTTGCTGACATGAAACTTGCTTGTATGAACCGGCCTTAACCAGTGTAATACCTGGCAAGCAGGCTTGGTCAAATTCTTATTATTACATCATAAGAGGCTTGAGGTCTCATCCACAAGGAATGGAATGTAAACACAACTTGTTTTTGATTAGATTGGAAAAATGTGCTGAATACTGACAATGGCAATATGTCGCAAAGTTCGCATGATTGAAAATAGCCTATTCAAGTTGGAAAAATTTCAAAATAAAATTGCTTAATTGAAAACATTTTCAGATATTCTTTCAATTACACGATACAACAACAACTTTTATTTTTAAACCTAACCTCCCTAACTCCATCAAAATCCATCCCCCCATTTTAGAGGACTTCGTCCTGCAGGCCTAATTTGACTAAATATTGATGGAGTATGATGGAGTTGGGCCTGGAGGCATAAAGCAAAGCATGCATTAGGAAGCAGTGTGATTGATGGATTTTGGCGGACTTGGTCCAGTACTTAGTAAAAGACAGTAGGGAGTTAGGATACTGCAAGCACTTGTCAGCCTTAGGTGAATTACTAATTGCAAATTTGTTCAAGAATGAAATAGAAAAATACAGTGCTAATTTAAGCATTGATTGATTTATTGATCTTGCTGTAGGTATGTCCTACATCAATGGTAAAAAAAACCCTCAATGTACCCTTTGAAAAAAAAGCCCGAAAAAAAACTATAGAGCTAAACCATGTAATAAATCTGCTGTACCTTGAGTTTCTGGTCTGGGTTGAGAATCATTTGTGCCAGGTGAGCTATAGCACCAGCATCTACCACAGTCTGAGCCAGTTCAGGGGAATGCTTGCAGATATCACTCAAGGCTGAGGCAGCAATACGCTTCAAGCACAGCTCTGGCTCCTGAATGCCAAGAACCAGGAGAGGGACGGCCCCAGCATCCACCACTGACTGGGCTAACTCTGCATGGGCAAAGCATAGCAAGTACCAGCGCCAGATTAATGAACAGTGCTACTCTGCATTGGTACACTCATGCAACACTCATGAGAAAACATTTGATTTCAATGAAAGAAAAAAAGGTGTTTTTTAATTGTACCTAGAATTTCTGACAGATCTTATGTCTATAGATGCTGTGTTTCTGTTTTTTCTTTTATAATTTTGATGATTCCTTCTTAAACAATTATTAATTTCATTCCAAGTTGGTAAGCAAATGCAGTAGCTTTTTTTCAGTAACTTTTCAAAACGAATGTTGCTCAAGTCCCCTGTAATTTGAAAAAATGTGGGTCTCCATAAATTAGATATTTTTTTTGCCAGGACAATTCTGAGATGTTGGTTAAGTTCTGTGCAAATTTGGACTGAGAGATTAGAGTGACGTTGCTTTTATCTGTATTTAAAAATTATATTCTCTATGTGCAAGCTCTCATCTGAAGTGAACAAACCGTTCAAACAAAGAATGCATTGTGACAAGTGTAGAGGTTTCAGATCACATTGCAGAGATGATTATTAAAGTGGTTTTGGGCATTGGATGTGATTTTGAGATTCCACCTTCCACTTAAAATCACATCCCTCTGACTCCTCTTTCAAATTGGGACAGCAAACCACAGTCAGGATCTTCTCAAAGCAAAGGTTTCCCGAGCAAGTGCAATGCCTAGCCTACCTGCATTGTGTCTCGCAATGTACCCCAAGGCCCAGGCAGCAGATTCTTTGACGCTAGGATCAAACTCTTCCAGGCAGATGACCAGGGCATCCAGGGCACCGCAGTCTACCACAGACTGGGCTAGCTCAGGGGAGTGCTTGGCCACGGCACGCAGCACAAAGGCAGCTGCCTTCTTGTAGAATCTCTGTCAGGACACAATATACAAAACATGTACATTACATCTAGATCTCACAGTTGAAAAGCGGCCAAAACACAAATATACGGTGTTAAAGAGTTAGTTGTTCCTGTATTATTAGTTTTACAAAAGTTCTGTAAATTACCATAAAATAATTGTCCAAGCATAGTAAAGGTAGTAATTAATGCAGATTTTGGCAGACAAAATATTTTTTTTTATCTTAAATTTCTAAAGTTTATAAAAAAAAAAGTGGGTGGATGCATCTGTCTACTGAAAGTATTTCTTCTGAAGAAAATCTGTGAATATCACTGATTATCATTTAATATATCAGGCTTCCAGTGGTAAAAATAAATCAGCGTATTGTATGTTTTCGTAAAAAGTACCTGGATGACAGCAATATTATGTCAGTAAAAGTACCCAGATGACAACAATAATATTTGAAAAATTGTCCTCATCTGGGAATTTTAACATATTTCGCTGGTTCCTTCTCAATCAAGAGTGTAGAAACTCACAGTTTTTTTACAAGAATATATTGCACTCGCTATAACAACATTGCACTAGTCAATTATAGCTTGTGCAATATTTTTGTATCCCCCTCAAAGCCATTCATATTACATGTATAAAGGGACTATTTCATTCCTGTCTTTGTTATTTTCAGCTTGGTAATCAACCTTAAATCCAATCTCTTTCAGAAGCAACTTGTTGATAGGCAACTTTGTCCCTAGGTAATCATTGCAATTCCCGATGATTCATTACTTAAAGTTCTCCTCTTATATATCGGGGCCGATCTTTTCTCAGTGTGTTCTATCAAGAAAGATTCAGTAATGAGGCGAGGTAAAATGATTGCCAATGGTTACATTCTGCTCAGCCAGGGAGTAGACAAGTTGTGGGAGGATGTCTCCCTTAACCACCGCCTCGGCTAGATCCTCATTGTAGTTAGCCAGGCGACCTAGAGCCAACGCTGCAGTCTGCTGGATGGTGGGAACGACGTCCAGCAAGAGAGGCCGCAACAGGGACATCACACCTACAAACAGACATCAAAGAAATAGCTGGAATGAAGTGTATGATTCCAAAGAGGGGTGGTATCACATTCATTGAACGTCGAAAGGACAATGGCTAATTAAGCAGAGGGTAACATTTTGTATACAAAACTAAACAGAAATATTAACATCAAATTAGGTTTTGCCCTTCACCAACGTTTTTAAACACTGTATACTCAGTGTGTTACCTACCGAGTGAAAGTTGGAAAAAATCACTCGGGTGGGACTCGAACCCACAACCTCCTGCTTTCTAGTGCAGATGTCTTAAAAACGTCGGTGAAGGGCAAAACCTAATTTGATTTATATCACCCCGATGCAAAATTCCATCTTATAATATTAACATCCTTTGTTCAATATAAGGCAGTGTCAAAACCCCATTTATGCGACATTAGAAACAACTTTTGAGCTAAATAAAAAAAAAAAACGAATTATTTGTGCAATTGAGCCTTTGACAAAATATGGATTAGAAATATGAACAAAACTGCAACCAAGTGCTTGCTTACTGGATTAACCTAAAACATACAAATCAAACAAACTTAGACAGCCTAACCTTTTGATTATAGCAGCATCTTTGTCAAAGTTTCTGCAAGAATCAAAACATATTAGGCCCTCCAAGTTTGCTTGGATTCATTAAATCAACAGAACTCTGCATTTTGTTTTGCATTTGACCAAAGTGAATAAACATAAATGAACAGATGGAAAATGACCTAGTGCATATACTGTAGTGTGTACTGATAGAAGCTTGAAGTCTTTAGCAAAAGAACACCTTTTAGCTCAATGGTTGAGAAATGTCCACATTAGTGCATATGGTTGTGGGTTTGAGCCCCAACTCATCAGATTTTGTTACAAAACTTGTAAAAGGTACAGTGCTTACAGCTAGCACCTGAAATGTTGATAAGGATGAAGTTCCTTTCCCTGTACCCTTGAACAAAAATTAACTTTTTTCTATCAATACATTTTCAACTTGTATGTTTTATACCAACCAAAAAAACTTTTTTATTTTGGAATCATTCAATAACTAAACAGGGCAGATTTGTGTTTGGTCAATTAATGTCTTATTAAAAAATGAACAACTATTTGTATTGCTAGAAAAATAACCATTTAGAAAAGGAATTTTTCTCCGGATGAAGAAACTCGAAAAGAGCATAGAAATTGCATACTATAGTAGCAAACTGGTTCATACACTTCCCTATTCCATTGATACACCACCCTGGTAAGGATTTCAGCAAGATGTACGTGTGCAAGGTTTTAACATCAACATTACGACTTCATCTGATGCAGTCACCGTGATCTACACAGTGCAATTCTACGAGCTTTCTGTACATGTAGATCATTTTCTGTGTGCATATGCCTGAAGGAACGTTCCATCACAAAAGTTGAAACACTTGGAATGTCACCTGCTCCAATTGGGAACAATTGCCTGTTCCAATTGGGAACAGCCTGGGAACACCAGGTGATGCCGCATGGAAACGTTGGTCTATGCACAAGCAAGGTTACTCGGGAATGGCCTGGTCCAGTTGGGAACAGCCTGGGAACACCAGGTGATGCCGCATGGTCTATGCGTGTACCACATGGAACGTACCACATGGAACGGGAACGTTCCGACTTTTGAGATGATCACTTACCTGCATTTTGTAGGAGCTCGATGTTCTGTGATCTGGAGGCCAATTCAGCAATAGTCTGCACAAAGGTTGTCCTGGCCTTCTGGTACTGCTCAAAGACTGTAGGAAGGAAAGAATTGGTTTCGTAAATATGAAGTTCAACCTTCAATTCAACTCACTTGAATTAGTTTTTCCTCGGGGAAACCCAAGGAAAAACTAATGCTGCACACGCAGCTGTTCCGCACACAGAATGTTACCACTTGGTTTACAGTTTGGGTGTACTGCGCTAGCACTATGCAGGCGGGATAGACGATTGCGAAGTTGCAGTCTGGCCTAGGTCTCTAGTACTACTACAAGCGTGGTGTCAAAAATCATGAACATACACCATATTTGTATGTGGAAATATGCCTTAGTATTTCAATTTTATGCTAGGCCTAGGGTAGTGTGAGTAACTTGGACCCAACTTATCGCCTTTTTAACATTCAGACATGGTCTGGCGATAGTAGGGTCCACGCTAATCCGTATATGCCAGGCAACACAATTTTGTCCCTGACCAAAACACCCAACATTGCCCCCCCCCAAAAAAAATCAGATTTCACCCTCAAAATGGCCTACAAATTACTAGATATGCCACCTGAGTTACAAGTAGACATCGGTGATTAAGATGGTTGTACTGAAGTTTTCTTGTACATGTACTTACGATCCGGATGAAGTGAAATTTCCCATTCGATTCCGAGAGCTCCCCTCGCGATCGTGAACACGTTAAATTTCCGACTCGTGTTAATGCTTGAACGACGCGATGTGATCTTCATGCCCAGCGTACATTCGTTGGTCCCCGTACCCTGAGTGCGATTCCGTTACCCAGTGCCATGCATCAATTATGACAATGAGAAGACTAGATCACGTTTGCAAACACAAGTGCATTTTAAACGGTAAAAGGGAGTCGGGAACTAGCTTTAACTGGTTTTCACCCATTAAATTTGCCCTAGTTCCCGACTCCCTATTATCGTTCGAAATGTACTTGTGTTTACAAACGAGATCCAGTCTTCTCATTATCATAATCGATGCATCGCGCTCGGTAAAGGATCGCACACAGGATACGGGGACCATCGAATGTACGCTGGGCATGAAGATCACATTGCGTCCATCAAACATTACCACGAGTCGGAAATTTAACGTGTTCACGATTATGAGGGGAGTTCTCGGAATCGAATGGGAAATTTCACTTCATCCGGATCGTCATGATCGTACATGTAAGTAGCCCCACTTGTGTGGCCTCCCCATTGCTGCGCTGTACCTTAGGCCACATGCCTGGTTTCCCAACCTACTGAGGATTTTAGTCCCAAACAGGCGCATATGGACTCCAGAAAGATGTCTGAATTTCTCGAAAAAATTTGAAGAAATATCACCTAATCTACCCGGGGAAAAAGTTCCGTACTCGATCGCCACTTTTTTCAATTAATTTTCTAGCGCCAAAAGTTACATCTTTTAAGTTTATTCCTCCACTTTCCCTCCTCTACTCTCACCCTCTCCTTTCCTTAATTTCTATTTATTAATCAGTCAGTTACTTCACCAAGATTCGAACCACGGACGCTTGCTTGATACACAAGACTCTGAACCGCAAGGCCGCGCACAATCGCTGTTGCAATAATCAATCTTTGGACGTATTTGAAGTATCCATTGAAATAAACTAAATATTCATGAGAAAATAAATATTCATAATGACGTATTGCACTATTGTAACCGTGAAAAATGACACACTTGGGGAACTCGCACAAACTAAGACTCTATGGGGATTAACTAACAAAACTAAACTAAACTCAGGATCTTTGAAGGGAAAAGTCGCGAGGAAATTGAATTAATAGAGACCAGAGACGAATTCTAGATTTCAAACAAAAAAAAGACCAAAAAGAATTTATTCACAAGAACCTTAAACCAAAAACCAGAAACTAAAAGCAAAGAATAAAACCTAAAAACCAAAGACTAAAACCAAAAAAAAAAGAAATTGAGACTTAAACCCTAAAATCTAAAACCAACACAGTGTGAATAGTGGATCTTTCAAAGAACACTCAAGCAGGAATAAAGTCAAATGACTCGAGCAGACAGAGCTCAAACAGGACACACCACTCCAGTTAGGAGGAACATAAGATACCGGTATACTATGAAGTTGTCTCTGTTGGTCTGCTGGTGGATTAAAGTGTGGCTTGACCATGTGGCAGCTTTTATAGGGGGAACATGTGGGCTACTAAAGTAAACAACCAGGGGGACACACTACCAAGAAAGGGGGGAATCTTAAGTAAAACTAAAATGATTTCTTTTTGTTCTAAAGGGGAGCTACTCCTATATACTATACACTACATACATGAAAAATATACAAGATAAATTTGGCCCTGCCACACTATCATTGGCCGGCTCATGCGACGTCATGGTTGTCGATGTCATGCGTATAACGTACCGCTGTCTTTCAGCCACTACAATCAGTTTTGACCAGCTGCTTCAAGTTAGTTCTGCACGACGTATGCATCCAAAATGTGCTCTAAAAACACATTTTGAGTAAATTTTTTTCACCTTTACACAGCTTCCTGGATTTCTCTTGGTTCAAATGAACAGGTGAGGTGACAATTAAAATGTTTGGCAGCAGATAAATTGACGATCGAGTACGGAACTTTACCCCAACAGATGAGAAATCATAGAATACAACCATATCAGTGGTATGTAAAATGAAGTGCCAAAAAGGGCGCGCCAGTGTTTGGAATAAACTCCTCAGTACAACTAGGTTGGGAAACCAGTCGTGTGGCCTTACGTACAGCTCAGCAATACGGAGGCCACACGAGTGGGGCTAGATCGTAAGTACATGTACATGTATGTACATGTAAACTTCAGTTTTTCAAAAACCATTTGACCAAAATTGATGATTCAAAAAGATTTTTCTTTCTTATGCCAAGATCTTTCCAAATTAAATGTAAACAGAAAACCCATTTTCTTTTTTAAAAGATAGTGGATATTTTGCCGGAGGTAATGACGGCAAACTAACGATTACTAAAGGTTTGCCGGCAGCAATCCATATCAACAGAGGGCGCTGTACTCTTTAAAATAGGGCTGAATTATAAGATGTATTAAATTCCCATCAAAAGTTGTGTAGCACATTTGGTGTAATGGTTAAGCAAAGGCTCTAGCAAGCGGGATGACTCGCGTTCGATTCCGACCGCATAGCATTTTTAATTTTTTTTTTCTCATCCCCAAATAAATAAGAATAGGCCTATTCTTCTTTTATTATTTTAACATGTCTTAAACATTTTTTGCAGAGTATTACATTTTCTTTTTCAGATTTGTGGCTCTGGAGGATTTTTTTTAAAAGGGAAATGAAGTCCGAAATTATAAAATGGTCTGAATCCCATCTTGTGAATACGAGGTAACAACGATAATTTTGGCATGGAGCCAGACTAAAACTTGTCACCAGAAAATGTTTAAGTACAAAAAAACAGTAACTGCGCATGTTCAGTGCATATCCAGCAAACTAACGTTTACTAAAGGTTTGCCGTCTCCGGCAAAATATACACTGCCTTTTTAAAATGCAGTGGCTATCGTTACGGCAGTTGTAACGCATTTCCCATTTTCTATCATTACGGTAGTAGTAGGCCTACTGCAAGTGCAACTTTTGTAAAAACATGAGAAGAAAATATAAAATTAGAAGGGAAAAAAGTGAATTTGACTTTTTGAGCGTTATGAAATTCGGACTTTATTTCCCTTTTAAAAAAAATCCTCCAAAGCCTCAGGTTAGAATTTTTATAGAAAAGGAAAAAAATTCGAGTGCAAACTGAGATGCGAATCCGCAACCTCGCGGTGCAAAATCCTACCCTCTTTCAACTGAGCTGTTGCACTGCTCGCTAAAACGTGGGGAAACAAATTATTATATACCTGCGTGCGTATCAAAAAAGTATCGTAGAGGGCGCTAAACAAAGGCTGCCGTAACGATAGCCACTTCGTTTTTAAAAAAATTGGTGTGACATGCCTATTCTTAATGATTTTGGGTCAACTCGTACCCGAGTTAACTCGTACCCGAGTCAACTCGTACCCGGGTCAACTCGTACCCGAGTTAACTCGTACCCAAGTTAACTCGTACCCGAGTTAACTCGTACCCAGGTTAACTCGTACCCGAGCCAACTCGTACCCGGGTCAACTCGCACCCAGGTCAACTCGTACTCCCCTCCTTTTTTAGTTTGGAAGTACAGATGGATGGTTAACAAAACTTCCGATTTTACCCTCAAAAACGGCGACTGAGAAATACTAGTTACGCCGCCAGAAATACATATAAAGTTCAAGGATTAGTTGAAGGCGGTGGTATCAAATGTTGATCACAATCTGGATGAAAAGGGAAAATGTACCGTTCATCGGCAAGGGCTTCATCGCGAACGGACGGGTACCGCGCGGAGAACATTTTCAAATCGGCATTAGTGTGGTACTCGCGAGTCGACGGAGCCCTCGCTGATAAACGGTAAATTTCACTTTTCATCCAGATCATCAGATGTGTTATTTTAATATTTGTGTAGTATTTTCTCTTAGTAATGATGTTTTTTCTTTCTTTTTTCAGAGACCCTGGATCACTGAGATTGCGGAGTGACTGTGCGAACTGCTACGTCTTTTTTTTGTTCGGTCGAACGTGTTTTAAGGGCATAGTTTTCTTTTTACGAATTTAGTATCTAAGACCTTTTTTTTTTTAAAGAAAGCTGCTATTAAAAACGAATTTTGTAATGTAAAAGTAATATTTCAACGTTCACTCACTCCATTTTTGGCATCATTTATTGAATAAAAACTGCACATGGCACAAATCTCTTTGGGAAGATTGGGGGCCCTGAAAGTACAAATCTGAAGAGAAAATATATTACAGGAAACTTAAAAGAGTCACACGGACATCTTTATTTAATTTATAATGATTCTTTAATATGTTGGTCATTTTTTGTACAATTAGTTCGGTAAATGTCGTAAAAAAAATCTTGTGCAGCTTAAATAAAGTTTCTGCGATAAGTTCAACTAGAATATTATTTTGGTAACAGAAATGTAGGATTTTTAATTATTTGTTTACATTTGAGGCATCAAGGAAGTAAACACGATAAAGGAAAATGGTGGCTCGTTTCATTCAGAGATGCTCTTTCTATAAGTTTTAGCGGACCAATTTGTTAGTTGATCCTTGGGTGTGAAAGATTGTTTGACATTAGCAAATTGTAATTCAAGTGCAAGAGAAAATTTTATTATCTTAAACAAAACTGAGCTAATCGGGTTTCGTCCTCGAAACTTGACATCCGATTCGATTCATCATGAACTGTGTGACATACCATCCGATCGATCGGTTTGAGCAGCAGAAAATGGTTCATCGGAAAACCACAGGATCATCTGTAATACAAAAATAAAATAAATTGATAAAAGCATGCATACTTTGGCCGATGAGTGCGCGCACAGGCCCGGGAAAAACGATGTCACCGTGCACGGTACGACCACGTTGGCCGATGAGTACGCGCACAGGCCCGGCAAAAACGATGTCACCGTGCACGGTACGACCACGTTGGCCGGTGAGTGCGCGCACAGGCCCGGCAAAAACGATGTCACCGTGCACGGACAACCACGTGGACCGGCGAGTGCGCGCACGGGCCCGGCAAAAACGATGTCACTGTGCACGGTACGACCACCACGACCAGCGAGTGCGCGCACAGGCTCGGCACAAACGATGTCACCGTGCACGGACAACCGGCCATATCCCTCCGATCTTCCGTTCGTTTCACTGATTTTCTTTTCGAAAATAGGCAACTATTTTGAGCTGCGGGTACAAGTTGACTCGGGTACGAGTCGACTCGGGTACGACTTGACTCGGGTACGAGTTGACTGGGGTACGACTTGACTCGGGTACGACCTAACTCGGGTACGACTTGACTTGGGTGTCAATTTTGGGGTACGAGTTGACTCGGGTACGAGTTAACTCGGGTACGAGTTGACCCATTTCCTTCTTAATAATGTGCGCTCAATCTGGAACTGGAAGGTTTTTTTTGCGAAGATTGCGCAAGGAACCAGTTGCGCAATCATAAGAATGTGTATGCGCATTCTTACGATTGCGCAAATCACAAAAAACGAAGTGGCTATCGTTACGGCACTCGTTGTTTAGCGCCCTCTACGATATTTTTTTGATACGCACGCAGGTATATAATTATTTGTTTCCACACGCTTTGTCGAGCAGTGCGTCAGCTCAGCCGATAGAGGGTAGGATTTTGCACCGTGAGGTTGCGGGTTCAAATCTCAGTTTTGCACTCGAATTTTTTTCCTTTTCTAACCTGAGGCTTTGGAGGATTTTTTTTAAAAGGGAAATAAAGTCCGAATTTCATAAAGTTCAAATTCACTTTTTTCCTTCTAATTTTATATTTTCTTGTCATGTTTTTTTATAAAAGTTGCCAGGTTGCAGTCTACCGTAACGATAGAAAATGGGAAATGCGTTACGGCTGCCGTAACAATAGCCACTGCGCACAAAAAAACGCACAACAGCCTCGACCGGCATGCTCAGCCATGTCACTGTCAGCAGTTGAAAATCGCTTCTTCGATAGCACGCCACTGCGATGCGATAAATTTACGAATACCACTTTCCTTCAACAAAATATCATACTAGTACTAGGGCCCACCTTGTAAAACTTGTCTTGAACTCATCTTGAAACGGTTTATTTCTTTGCTTTATTTCGGATATTTAAAAATAAAATACAATTCCAATTCTCAACTTGTTCTCTCAACTCCGCGGTAGCCTGACGTTGACGTTTCACGTGTGTTGCTATTTTGTTGCCAAGGAAGAAGTTCATTCACCCGTATAAACTCAAAAATATATATTTTATTATCAAAAACTAAAATGAAAATAATTACAAAAACAAATGTAAAACTTATTCAAAATATATAATTGAAAAAAAAGTAGTATTCGTCGCAAAAAATGGATTGAAATCTTAAAAACAATAATAAAAAATGGGTCATAATTTTTGCCATTTTGATTGAGCTTGATTGAGTCTTAATCCCAGCCTTGTCAAGCTCCATTCGTGTGATTCGTCAGGCGGCATTGGCGAAAACCGGGCGCACTGTTGCCAGACTATTTCAAATGTAAACAGAAAACGCGAAGATCGGTCCCGGTAAAAAACGTAACGGCGTCTGCTCTGAAACTTCTTCAAAATGTCTAACCTATTAACGAAAACAAGAAGCCTTCTTGCAAGATATAGAGGTGTCCAACTTTATGGGGATATTGTGGTATGTTTAAATCTGTTTTGTTATTTTCCCATGGTCGTTCAAACGCCTCGAGGCTCGACTCGTGTTGAACGATGGCTCATCAGTACTAGCTGGAGTTACCCAGCCCTGAGTTTTATCATTGGGTTGTCATCTAGGGCTGGAGCGCATTTTTCTCAAAACTTGTAGTATTTGCAAAAAAAATTTGGAAAATGTTCAATTCTGTCCCCGTTACACACTAATTGCAACTGCAACTCACCCCAAACTTGCCTGGAATAACCATTACACAGGTCCTTGAAGTAAAAAACGATCCACGATGAAGATTCAGCCTACAATTGCAGTGAAAACAGGAGGAATAACCGCTAACTTGACAACCTTGCTGGATTGACCAGGACCGCTATTGGTTTGTGCACAAAAAAAATTGTGTACAATGAATGGCGGTCGATTAACAGGCACAGAGAGCGATCGCTGTCAACTACTCGTTTTTGCCGGCTGCGCTGGCTGTTGGCGCGTGACGTCACGCGGAAGCGTAACACCCGATGACTGTTTCATGCACTAATATAAGGTTTACCACTCGCATCACAGCTTTGGTACTGGAACCGCAACCAATAGTGCATGAAACAGTCATCGGGTGTTACGCTTCCGCGTGACGTCATGCGCCAACAGCCAGCGCAGCCGGCTAAAACGAGTAGTTCTGTTCGGCAATTTTATCATTCCATTCGGGGATTCCATCATTCCATTTGATGATTTCATCATCCCATTTGGCGATTTGTTCATCATTCCATTCGGTGATTCCATTATTCCATTCGGCAATTCCATCATTCCATTCGGCGATTTCATCATTCCATTCGGCAATTTCATTATTCCATTTGGCGATTCCATGATTCCATTCGGCGATTCCATCATTCTGTTCGGCAATTTTATCATTCCATTCGGTGATTCCATTATTCCATTCGGTAATTCCATCATTCCATTCGGTGTTTTCATCATTCCATTCGGCGATTTCATCATTCCATAATTAATTTCATCATTCCATGATTCGGCGACAAAAAAGTCCTAATTATGACTTATTTATCAAGTCATTGTTATGACTTTATCTTTGACTTAGTATTAAGTAATAATTATGATATATCTCATAATTACAACTTATTATTAAGTCATATTTATGACTTATATCCTACATTCATAAATACCTCAGACAGTTTAGCTATTCCTATTGGTCGAGAGCCCGTCACATGGCCGGTCTTAAACGGATGATAAAGACATGGCTAGCTGGTCTTACACACTTTTCCAGTGTCACAACAAAATGTGGACTCCTAAAAATCCAGTGCCTCTTACCGTTTCATTGGTTGAACGTTCACAATCCTCACGTAGGCATGCAACACTACATGCGAGTCAGAATTTTATAGTTCTAAATTCAAAACGCAACGCCCCAGGTGCGTTCTGCATGACATCGCGCAGAACATACTACGCGCGCGTCAATCTCCATAAAAGGGTTGTTTACATCTTAATCGCCAGCTGAACACTCCATTATTTTGCTAGAGGGATGTTTCAAAAAGCATGAAGTGAACTTGTTGAACAAAATCAGGATTTTTTAAACGAAATATTTGATATTTATTTACGGATAAGGTATTTATGAATGGGAATAAATATGTGCTCGGTCGGTATTTATCACTCTGTTTAATACCACTTAGAGTCTGGGTGCTGATAATTACCCTCGCCTCCGGCTCGGGTAATTATCAGCACCCAGACTCTAAGCGGTATTAAACAGAGTGATAAAAACCTCTCGAGCACACATTTATTCCCTTAATAATGACTTATTATTAAGTCATAATTATGACTTATATGACTTTTTCTGCCTAAATTACCCCACATACTAAATACGAGCAAATTTGAAGGGGGTGGGGTTTAACCCATTGGGTGATTTGACATGGAATGACCCAGAATCTGTCATGAAAAAAAAAAGCCATTTTCGGACCAATATTGTTCAGGAGATCACAGATCTTATCCAGTTCTGTGTTAAGTGGCCTTTACTCTACCTAAAAAGTTTCATTTCCAAGTAGAAATCTGTTTGGCATCGCCCCGCAAAGCATTTATTGTTGTCATGCCATTTTTCATATACCCTGGAGCCATTTTTAGAGCACAATTGCACATAGGCAGAATTGCACATGAGTCACTGCTCAGTTTTTGTTTATGTATGGTGCCGGCGTTGAAATGAATTTTCTTTAGATATCCTTAACATGCATGTAATAAATCAATGTTTTGATCAACTTGTAACAAGGTAAATCGATGGAAATCAATTAACAACTTTAAACAAGCGTGACATGGTGACAATTTTTTTTTGTAAATCATTATCTCCATTTTATTTCATTTTTTTGAAATACATTTTACAATATATATGCATGTTGTGTAACAAGAAAAAGATATGCCGCAATTCTTTTTAAAAATGTTTTATTGCTTCCTTTACTGTTTTTGTCGTGTTATATATACTAAAAAAAAAGAAGAAAACTTGAATTTACTATAGCCTTAAAAGTGTTGTATGATCCATCATCATTATTGATGAGGAAGACCTGACCCGCAAGCCAAAGTACATGTATAAAGCTTATGCAACTTCAGAGTTTTTGTTTTGTTATGGTCCCAGCATTATGCTTTTGTTCCGGGAATTTTTACATGAACTTTGCACTTGGAAATATTGACTTTGACCTTCAATAACTTATTGGCATTCAAAACAATAAATGAATTTATAATGGTAAGTTTATTTTGTGTTTATTGGCCAATCTGTAAAATTGACATTTGTCACATTACATTTAAATACCATTACTTTAAGTTTTGAAACGTAAATGCCTTAAATAATGAGGCTGATTTCTAACATAAAGTGCATTATTTTTTCAAATCTGTATTTTCCAATAATATGTTTGTATCACCAAGAAGTTTTAACCTGAGTTCATTTGGTGAAATTTTGTAGCAAAATAACAAGTTGGTCCTAAGTAATAGAAATCGGGGTTGCGTCACCAGAACAATTTAAACAAATTAAATATTAGAAGAGGCATAACTCCTGAACCAAAGCAGATAATGGAATTATGTTGCCACCAGTGAGTTTCTCTCACTAAGACCTTTAAAAATAATGTATACTTCAACCATCTTTTTCATAAAATTAGAAATGGGTTGTCATTGCTATATGGGCAATTCCATGGTTACTCATGTCACATTTTTGATGTACCTTTGAGTTTCCTTGGACTGTATAATTACCTTACTGAAAAGGTTTAATAACTGTTATCCCCATGGTAGATAGAGTAGACCTAGACCTACTGTACATGTACCTAAGCACCAAAGATGACATCCAGAAAAATGTGTTATATGTATGATAAACAAGACGCACAAAATTGGTTACTGACGTTACATTTTCGTAACTTGAGTGACGATATCACATAAAAGCCTGACTATTTTGACCCCATTCCATTTGGGTCCTTTTACTAGATCCAGATATACAATTAATTTATGGAAAGGGTGTCAATTTTACTTGGGCCACTCTCACCTGTGATGTCACTAACTTCAATGTCTATTCAGTGCTTAAAGAGAATTAATTATATTACTGTAAATACAATATTTGCAAACATCAAATTACAAAATTACCAAATTATTTTGAAATACCTTACTGGACTGATAGTGAATGACAGTCTTAAGCATCCTGTTAAATCATGGTGCCTGGCATTTTCAAGAAAAGTGGTATTTTTTTATCAATTTCCAACGCTGGCTGGTAGGTCAACCAGTGTTGGAATTTTTTTTTTTTTTTAAATACTGCCCCAAATATATCATATTTAGTTAGTCTTAGTTTTGTTTGCAATTGATTACACACATCTATGAAGGGTATACAGTTCCCTGACCATACAATTCCCCGACATCTATAAATTGCTCCATTTCAATTTAAGTGGTGTCAGGGAACCAGATTAGAAGAACATATGATTGCCTTTCTTTGCTTTCCCAGCATCTACAAATACAAAACTTTAAACAAGTCAGTGTAACAATATTTGCTATAAAATATGTATTGCTACAGGAGATGATTGCTAAACAAGACAAATTTAGGATGAATTGGTATGCTAAATATTTGAATTATATTTCATTGAATGAAATCAAGTGCTGGCTTTTTTAAATTCAAATTGAGAACTGAGCTTGGCGATGTTCGTAATGACAAAATTAAAGTATCGATATAGGGAGTTTGTGTGATACAAGTGTTAAAATAACCAGGAAAACCTAAACTAATCCCGCAAATCCATCCATTTCTAAAAATTGCAGCAAGCAATTAATGTTGTTTATTCCCTTTAACCCAGGTTGAGCAAGTCCAGGTGAGAGTGGCCCAAGTAAAATGTACACATTTCACTTAATTATTGATTGTTTTCTGGATCTAGGGATCCAAATTGAATGGGATAAAAAGGAGTGGATTGAGAAATAGTTAGGCTTTAATACAATAATGTCATTGAAGAAAAAAAATTAAACAGTTTTATTTATTTGTTTTCTGAATGTTGCACTTTTTTGGGGCAAACTCAGTACATAGCTCTGCACAATCATGGAGATTGGAAGCCTACAGTAGACCCTACCTCCCTGTCACATGTATATACTACCAGTAGGCCTACCACACACAGAATATTGCCAGAAGGGCTCAACACACATACATGGGCTTGTGTTCCAAGGCCAGCATGTCCTTAACAAACAAACCCAGCCCAGCTTGTCACTGTTTGAATAATTGCTTCATGACCTATGGCTTTACACATCGTATCTCTCAAGTGTTTTGTTTGTCCAACAGCCATAGTGTCCATTGGGTATCTTTATTTGTGCATTAATTTTGGAGAGAGAGATAAACACTTTATCCCACTTGGGAAATTGAAATGGCCTTGATGAATATGTATACAATTACCTTCACAACATTAAATATTTGCATATTAAAATATTAAACCAATAAAACAAACAATCACACAAAAAATAACCTTTATATATTAAACATTAAGTATAAAAAAACCCAAATGTATGCTACTGAACATCTTATTGTGTAAAGTCATCCATGGGCAACATATTAACTTCTACCAACTGACCAATGTCCACATAAACATACCATAATAAAACTTGATCATTTTAATTCTTCCGTGCTGTTATTTTGGAAAATGATGTTAATAATTACAATGTTATGCACATTTTTTGCAAAGAGAAATTAGAGCTGGTCATATGAATGTAATTTCTGTATGTGTACCCATTGTAAAACACAACTGATGCACAGAATCTGCATGTGTACTAATTGAAATTGGAGCTGATCGTGGAGTATTTTTGCCTTGATGGGAAGTCAGGAAAAAAGTTGTCAAAGGGAATTTGAGTTGCAGTGGAACAGTACATCAGGCTTTACAAACCTTTTTTAAATTTACATTCTCATCCCTTTACCATGTTTACAGGGTGAGTCAGAAATAAAGTGACCAAAGTGGGGGAAAAGGGTGGCCTGCTCCATTTAATGAAAACAACATAGGAAATTTGTTGAGTAGTAAATGTGATAATTTCACTTAATTTCAGGGGTGTGAAATCTCAGCTTTAAAGCTGATTTCAGCTTTTTGTGTGTTGGATTTCAGGGTTTTTTCAGCTTTTTCCCTCACTTGCTGTGTACAAAAGTATAGGAGATTTCCAAAGTTCAGCTTTTTTACAGCTATTTCAGCTGTTTTCAGCTATTTTTATCAGTGGTCACTCACATCCCTGTAATTTGCATACTCTAATTAGGTGTTACTTCTCTTTAAATACAAATGCCTCCACAAATTGAGCTGCCTACAACTGATCAGCATTGATGAATACCCTATTCCCCTTTAAATACAATGAAATTATCAAGGTTTTCTAGGTACAATGTACATGTACCTCCATGAATAAACAAAAACTTGCAAAGGAAACCAGACAAAAATCACCATCGTCGTTTCAGAAAGAACAGTAGACTTGTTCCTCATATTTAAAACACAAAATCTGACAGTAATATTTAAGTCTGTACTCAAATTTATTAATTGGATTCACTTAGCTGACTAGCTTCAAAATAAAATTCCATGAATTTTTGTTAGTAAAATATGTATTTAACTTCTGATAGCATGGATCAACTTCAGTAATTTTTGACCCGCCCTGTACTATTGTTACCCCTTTCATTGTTCGATCCTTTTGTCAACTTTGTGAGTGAAATGTCATTATAATACAAAATTTGGCTTTTATTATTGTTTTTGTATTGTTTTTATTTTGTCATACAAGATTTAAAAACAAAACCAGCAGTTCGCTCTAGAAAATATTTCAATAGAGTTGCTTATTTGAATGTCTATGTAATCTTAACATCTGACATTAAAACTTGAGTTTAAAGTCAGTAGCAGTTTGAGGTCAAAGGTGAAAAGTTAAAGGCCTTTTTTCAGCAGTTTTTGTCATCTTGTATTTCATATTTTTTTTCAGAGACTGCAACAAGTTCGCTATCTTGAGGTTGGGCGCAAGGGGACATACATCGCTAAGAAAATGCCAACCACAGCCAAACTAGAAGCAGGCAAGAAATACTGGTGGTGTAAATGTGGCCTCAGTAAGAAACAGGTACAACTCAAGAACAGTTAGTACTGGGAAATATTCCTGTTCAGAGCTTTTGTGAATCTGTGAAGTTTTTTGTTTCTTTGCCTATTTCCCTAGGCCTTTTTGCTAGGATGTAGCCTCAATCCTGCAAAATCCTCTAATTGGCCTCATTCAAAAAATAGCATATAGCCTCAATCCTGAAAATTCCTCCATTATTTCTTGAATATGGTCTGTGGAGGGGTGACCACTGCCTGAATCCTGCACAATCCTCCGGCAGTGACTTTCAATATGTTGAGGCTTGGCCAGTGACATCCTGGAGCAGTACGGAAGATTTCAAGCATAATCCGGGCCTATATTTATGCACAGCTGAGCAAAAACAACACAAGGTCTGGCCCAAGACCTTGACAAAGTGCATCCTGTGAAATCAGTAATGGACTTTTGCCGTAACCTCAATCCTCCAAATTCCTCCACTTTGGCAAAGAGGATTTTGAAGGATTCAGGGTGGTTAGGCCACAAAAAAAAATTTGTCGGGCTATTGTGAGCGTGCGCGTTCTTAAAATGTGTGCGTGGCATTTAGAACAGTGTCATGCAACTGCCATTTGGAACGCCGTGCCAATCTCAATTTGTAGGGCCAAATGGTTCTAAACGCTGTGCTATCGCCATGCCGAATTCAAAAAAGTCAAATTAATTGAGTTCAGCACACCAGTAGATGACGTGTATGAGCCTTATACAGCCTGTCTCAAATAAAATGGTACAATCAGAAAAAAAAATTGGTTAAATATGAAATTTCAAAATAAGTCATTCTTACTTGGCATAATATTAAAGAACAAAGACTGGGCTTTCCAATAGTGTTTGTTTGATCTTATTTGCTTTTGTCAATTCAGAGATAAAATCAATTTAGTGCGATACACCGAAATCGATTTTGTGCCACTTTTTTATGCATGGGCAGAGTTGTTTCGAGTACTGTGGCACAAACTCGATTTTTGTGTTCCGCAGTAAACTGGAGTTATCTCTGGATTGACAAAAGCAAATGAGATGAAACAAAAAGTATTGGAAAGCCCAGTCTTTGTTCTTTATGAGATGCTCAAAATGACTTGCTTATGTTGAGATTTATTATTGAAAAAAAATTGTTTTCGATTGTACCATTTTTTTTTAGACAGGCTGTATGTACTTGTATGGAAAAAATGTTAGAAAACACTCTTTGTTTACACAGCAGTCAATTTTTTTGGCCCTGCCCATACAAATTCTAGTAGACATCAATTTATAAACCAACTTAGTTATCAGCATTCGACATGTCACACTGGCATGACTGTGGCCAATATAATGCCGAGTTGAACTAAATCTGATAAAAATAACATTTTATGCTCACACTAAATAAATCAGGTTTGTGTATTTTAACCTGATTTCAAATTGCTATAGGAACCCACAGAACGAAAGCAATCATGTCATTAAATTGGAATTTTCAGCTTCAGTGCATTAAAATATGTAATTTTTAAAGTTAAAAAGCTTCTGACTAGCACCCCTTGAACAAAGACTTTGACATAATGTGGAAGCGCCTTGGAACATAGGGCTGGATAGCTCAGTTGGTAGAGCAATCAGGAGGTCACAGGTTCGAACCAGTTACTCTAGTCAACGTCTTTATTCAACTTCAAAATTATTACAGTCAACTCTCGTTAATACAAACTCTGTTAATACAAATTAAATTCTGGTTACAGACACAATTCTAATACATGTACAACAAACATTTTGGCTAGGTCCGACTGAGTTTGTTTTAACAAGAATCATCGATCTGTATAATGCACCTATTTGTTTTGTGGTTCATTAAAATGTGGTAGAGGTGACAATTGCACCACCAATCACTTTGTGTTAAGAACACTTGTTTTATTTTAATATTATATTTTCCTTTGTCCCTACCTGCAGCCTTTTTGTGACGGCGCTCACAAGCCGACCAAATTCAAACCTGTGATGATCATGGTCGACAAACCCAAGACGGTTCTACTATGCCGATGCAAGCAGACCAGCAAAGAGCCCTACTGTGACATGACTCATGTCGGAGTCATGTTCTCATCCTTTGGTAAACGACTGGGGCTTGTCAAGTAAACTCAGTTACAGTCATGGTGCTTTTGCAAAAAACAGAAAGGAAAAAACACCTTTAATTCCTGTGGTGTTTTTTGTAGTTTGTTGAAACTTGTGTACATGAAATGTGCCTTGTGGATTCAAGTTCTAATACAGATGCAGCTGACAGGAAACTGTTCAAGTAGAGAAAGTAGACCATTTAGGAATACATGTTAGACTAGTTCGGATTAAATGGTAAACAAGTTGAATAGCTTGTCAGAGGTGCTTGGTTTTACTTCCATGTGAACAATTTGTGTCGAATAATCTCTAAACTTGGGTCTTTTTGACCAAGATCATAAAGATCAGTTTTAAATGGTGTGTGGTGATATCCTTTTTAGTGGGGCTGCATTCCAGACAAGTTTGCCAAAATTGGTAAACCTTGGAAAAGCATACTGATTTTAATTGGTATAAATGGTACGACGCCTTGGATGTACATGTATGTATGTTTTGTGTGTCTTACAATATTTCCATGATGTGATTGAACCAATAAATATTAATGGAATAAATATGTGCTTGGCCGGTATTAAACAAGTACGTTTAAAACCGGCTAGAGGCCTGGATGCAGATAATGACCCGAGTCATATATGACTCGAGTCATTATCTGCCGCGGCCATTACCGGCCAAGCACATAATTATTTCCATTCATACCCTTTCGGTCACAATTTTGCTCAACAAATTGTACTTCAGGTTTTGTGAAACATCCCTCTAGCTACATTGTATGTTTATGGTATGTGCCTTGCGTGAGTAGTACAAAACATCTTATATGGAGATTGGCGCGCTTGTGGCGCACACTGCCCAATGTGGCGCAAAAAGCAGCAGTGCTGGTGTAGTGTGAAGTTAGGACTCTATGAAATACGGACTCATTGGTATTCTGTGCATGCCTAGTGATGATAATTAGGAGAGTGACTGGTCACGTGTGGGCAAAAGGGACCAGATTTCATAGGAGTCCAAATTTCGGGAGACACCAGAAAAATGTTTAAATATCAGTCCATCTTTTATTAACCGTTTAAAACCACCAACGTAACATGTTCTTGACCAATAGGAATGGGTAAACTGTATTTATGAATATTCAATATTCCACTGCAGTTGGTTCCCTTTCAGCATCTGTGCCAATGACAATAATTTGAAAGATGTAAAGTGCATAGCTTTGTTGTGAATATCTAACCAGTGTGGTACACTGTGTAGTGTACATCAAGGGTAGGCACTGTGAAAATACTGATCTAAAATGTTCAAAGATTATGTGATACTAAAGTGACTTAACCTTAAATCAATTATTCACAATAACTTCTATTAGCTCTTTTTCTGGTTATTGTGCATTCACTCTGCATGTCATTCACAATTTTGGACTTGCAAACAAAGTGATACAACCTGCAGAAATACACTACATGATGGAAATCTGCATATTTATGTTTTGAATCTAAAAAACCTAAATAAGCTTTAAAATATTGTCAGCCACCTAAAAAAAGCCGTTAAAGAATCTTTTTTTTTTCAAAATGGCTCTGATGCTGGAGTTGACGTGGAGTGCCTTGGCCTTGTGGTCTGGGGCATTGAATTGGTGGTCTGCGGGTAATTCTGCAGGTTGTGGGTTCGAGTCCAGCCTGCGGCTATGATGTGTGTGCTCTTGGGCAAGGCACTTTGTCACACTCATTGCTTCTCCCCGCCCAGGAGTATAAATTGGGTACTTGTGAGGGCAAATATGGCAGCATCGAGCTGTTTACTCCCAGGGAGCTGAGAGTGTCTTTATATTGTTTCATTGGCCCAATGAGCAGGGTAATAATGATGTAGCGCCTTGAGCACCAATATTGGTGGATACTTGCACTTAATAAAAAATACACATTATTCCCCATCATCAATTGAAAGGACAAAATGTGAATATCCACCATGCAAAGAGTTCTCACAGATTACATCATTTTCACGATGCTGAAAGTGCTATTCTCAAGTATTAAATGTTTTTGGTTCAAATCTACAACACATGCAGTTTTTGCAGTTCGTCATGTTTATGAACAAAAAAAAGATTATTCAAATTTTCTATTCCAAATCAATCTTGATGCAATAAATGTAGTTGATATAATTATACTTATTCAGCGCTAATTAGATTACTTATATGTGATAATAATGTTTCCCATGGAAGCATTTTGTGTGTTAATGGTATACGATACCTTTTAAAACTCAAAGAAACAAGTCGGACACGACATTGTAATGAAAATAATAAATATTTTATTACTTCAAACAACTTAACTTTTCCTCTCAACGTTTCTTGAGTTTTGGCGTAACATGACGGTCCTTACAGAACAGACTGTAGGTAGTCCTTGCCTGTGACATGGATATGCAGTCACTTATTGCTGGGCATTAAACCTGGTAAAACTACCGAGGAAAATCGAGCTTCCCCCATGCACATCACTTGTCCTCACAAATGGAGTACAGAAGTGAATACGTCGCACGAACAAAATGTGTGTGAAAGACATTACCGCGTGATTCAGATCGTGAACCAACACTCTTGCGTAACTCCATTCGTTTGCACTACACTTTCCAGTTCTAAATGACGTCACACTTCGGTACTCCTCGTACTAGCAAAATAAGACAGAACTGGGCACAGGCCACAGTGGCGAAAAATTAAAAAAAAAAAATGGGGTGATTTTTTCCATTTGTTTTTTCTATTTTTGTTTTCTTCTATTTTTTAGATTCTTTGACATTTCTACTACATTTTAAAGAAATAGTATAAAATTCGTGGATTAAAAGTGTTTTTATGGATAAATGATTGGCACCTTAAATTTTCATGACTACAAAACTCAATAATTTAACAACCTTTTTCTCAGTATTTTACCTTTTGACATGTTGATAAATGCGACGATAAATGTGATGTTTAAAAGGACATTGCAGCCTGGAAAGTGCCCAATTGGGCTACAAAACACGTTTTAAACAAAATGTTAATTGGAAAGAGCATTTAAAAGTAGGATATAAACATTCCACACAACCATCCTTTAAAAACTGGGTGTTTTTGTGTTATTCTTGTGAGAACGAATTTCGGGGGTCAAAATTTTGACTCAAAACTGAAGCTGTTCGTGCTGGGTGCTAGTTGTGGATCCTACCACATATGTTGCCCCAGTGCATAGTATTCTGCAGACATGCGAGAAACAACATTTGTGTATTGGTGCTGTGTGTATTATGTGTCGCGCACACAACATGTACCGTACATGTACATTGAATGGGCAGGGCTGGAAATATGTATGCCACAAAATGTCCACCGCGCAGAGGTAAACATCCAGGATTACCGGTAGTCAACTTTGCTCAGGAACAGTACGACATTAGGTTAGTTTTCTTTCAACCAGACCTTTAAATTAGGATAAATAAACAATCCAAAACATACAATTTTTAGGAATTTCCTTTCAACAGCCATAACTTGTCAATGGAATGCCCGATGGAAGTGCAACAAAAAGGAGCATTTTTATTCTCTTTCCTAATACCTACAAACCCTCATTTCAACCTCTGTTCAGTTCTGTCTCATTTTGCCAGAACCCCTCACAAATTATGTGATCCCAAAGAAATGCAAAGACATTGCAACAGTTGTGTCCGAAAGTTTCTTCACTTTGCTTGGCCTTCATGAAGTGCAGCAGTACTCGTACTCTGCTTCTTTGTATGCACACTTGTATTGTTTGTACTCATCATGTACTTGACTACGGATATTTTCTATAAACATCTTGATAGTTTACACAACAACAATGTAAAGAGCTAGTAGCCACAGGATAAACTTATTGGATGAAACTTAAAATCCTGGTCATCCAATGGGGTATTTCAAAATGTTCACGATGTTCCTTTTCCATCTGGGAACACAGAAATGCCTTCTGCAATTGGCAGACTTTCTTGATTGTCTCGTAGCCAAAGTATGTACTTCAAGTCCATGGATTTCTGACCGAAATTGATGTCTTCCAGTGAGTTGAAGATCATCTAAACTTCTTGAAGAGTGGATGCTGAGCTTGGCCTTTCCTTGACTTGCTCTGATACTCTACGTAGACCTGGTCATCAGCACCAGACATGGAGCTCATGCTGCCCACACGACGTACATACTGCAATGAATATAAGAAATCCAATAAATCACTAGGCACATCCACATTGAGTTACAAGAAACGGTTACGACCAGAGTTGCAGTTGTTCTCTGAAGGCTCAAGAAATTTAGACCAAGATTGTGATCTGAAGATCCAACACCGAAACAGACCTTATGGACTGAGACTAAAAATCGACCAAAACCTGTAGTTATAAGACTGATACCGACACCAAGACCTAGACGTAAAGGCCCAAGACTGCGAGCCAGAACTGAAGGTTCGAGACCTGGATCTCAAGACCCAGACTGAGACCTAAAGGTCCCAGACAGACAGAGACAAAGGCCAAAAAATGAGTGCAGAACTGAAGGTGCGAGAGCAGAGTTTCAAGACTTCTTGAGAAGTTAGACCTGGAGTACCAAGACTCAGACCGAGACGCATGCCTGAAGACCCAAGACTGAGGTCCAGAACTGAAGGACCAACACCCCAGTGCCAAGACTGAGAACTTAGACAAGGTGTTCCAAGCATTAGACTGAGACCCAGACTTTAAGACACAAGACTAATTACAAGATCCAAAACTGAAGGCCCGAGTTCCAGACCTGAGAAGTTAAACTTGGAGTACCAAGACTAAGACTGAAACCATAACTTAGACCTAAATTAATGAGACCCAGAACTGTAGGTCTGAGACTAGAGTTCCAAAACTGTGAATGAGACCCAGACCAAGACCTAAAGTCCTAAGAAGGAGTTCCAGAACTGAAGATCCTAGACCCAGAGTTCTAAGACAGAGACCAAGAGGTCCTTGACTGTGACCTGGACCTTGAGATCTGTGACGGAGACCTAGAACTTCAACAACATAATAACAGTGAGTGATTAACATATACTTTTTAGAAAATAATAATAATGTCTGAATGTGGTCATGAAAAGGTTTAAAGGAAATTGCGACTGTGCAGAACATAAATTCAGTTCAAATTTACAGTATCTAAGACAATTTTCTTTTACATGCCATTGGAAGTCCTGGTTATACAGTGCCAATATACAATATATCTACACAGGCTGAATCCTTCTGAAATATACATAATAGCCATGTAACAGTTGACCAGTGAAATCCTGATTGTACTTTGGTTTTGGACACAGCAATTCATGACCACGGGTCCGTTCTCTTACCTGTGAGGATGACTTGGTGTTGCTTTCACCGGGCAATTTCTCCTCCTCGGCATCCAAGTCTGATGCACACAACACTTGCTGCAGTAACTGCTGCTGTTCCTGCCTGGAGCTGTACTTCAAATTACTCTGTGGGAAAGACAAGATCAAATCAAGACATCGGAAAAGAACAGTTTTACACTGCCAATACAATAAAGACCTTGCACAACTATTGATTATTGATTTAGTTCTGACCACAAGCACTGACAGAGGGTGCTACTAATAAAACCAACATTTTGCTCCAAAAAATTGTTATCTACAACTTAGCAGTGACTGGGTGCATTATCATGAATAGAGAGGTAGCGGACGGGGCCCTGGAATAACAAAAAAAAACATGCAAAGAAAAGAACATGTGCAACTACAATGTTGTATGCAAGAAAAAAGTCTTATTGAGAATATTATGGTAACCAGGGGAAAAAGAAACTTTCCCTTCTGGTATCACGTTTTATTCAACACAATAGTGTGGGGTTTCTACTCTCCTGCCAAGGGAGTGATGTGATATGGGCGAGTAGGGTGATGGGGGCAAAGTTTTAATGACTTGAGTCAATGACTCGAGTTGGACTCGAGTCACAATTTTAGTGACTTGACTCAAGTCCCTATGGGTAAATGACTGGACTTGACACGAGTCACTGATTCGACTCGACTTGAGTCCTTCATCAGAAGACTCGACTCGACTTAAGTGAAGGCATATATTAGACTCAAGTCCCAAAAATATAAGCAAAACTTTGTGAAAAATATTTGCAATGACTTATGGTGCAAAATTCATGTTCACGTCACTTTGCGAATACAGTATGGCACAACAGTAGCTTGTTGTGTACAAACATACAACATGTCACAGACTCGCACTTTGTGGTTCTGGAATGCACAAAATACTATCCCGGAACCGGACTTTAAACACATTTTCCAATTCATGGTATCATTATTGGCTTTGGACGATTTCGTATTCAGCTCTTGGATTTGAACGCCGGCTAAATGTATGCCCTCCTTTTAAAAATTAAATAGATACATGCCCACTTTTAAATCATCAGAAACAGTTTTGTAATGTTGTCAGTGATCAGCGAAAACAATTCTAGATCTGAAGCCAAACCAGATATCCTATAGGATCGAAGTTTCACTTCTTGTTAACTGTTAGTGATATAAATGACTTTCTCTCTTGTCCTTACTTGGTATATAGTGCAATATTCGCGACTCAATTGACTCGAGCTTAATATTTGACTCGACTCAACTCGACTACACACTGTGACTCGACTTGACTCGACCTTCTTGACCAAATGACTCAACTCGACTCGAGTCACTTCTTTAAAATGGCTCGACTCGACTTGAGTCACAAACATCAGTGACTCGTTACAACTCTGGATGGAGGTTACTGGGGTGATAGGGGTTTTGTGTGGTCAGAGGGGGTGAGGGGGGGGGGGGGTTGACATCCATTTTCACCTCATCTATGCCAGCTAGTTTGGTGATGATTTTGAAGCTATAGCCTTGGTTGACCAGGAAGCGTTGTCTCTTCATGGAGTAGTACATCTCCTGCGTGTCCTGAGAGACTAGCGTGTAGAAGAAGGCATTATATTCCTCTGCTGCCCCGCCTGAAGGAACAAAAAAACTTGTGTAGATCAAAACTTGCAAGAGAAGAGCACAGGGGAAGCAGAATGCATCCCATACCCAATACCTGTCCACGTAGCGATGAGTATTGTTAACCCCTGGTTAAGGAATCAGCCATTATACTAGAATGGCAGAATGAGCTGTATACTTCTTAGGGAGCTACAATCGACTTCATGGAACAATTCTTAGCTTACGTATGTAACAAATTTACAAAACAAATTAGTTGAGCAGTGTGAAATAAACTCATGAATGACGTCATGAAACTTGGTGTAGCTGTGCACCATCTTGGATGTTTGGGAGCATTTCATGTCAATCACAAAAACAGTTGTAGAATCATCCCCGTCTAACATTTTGAAAACTGTTTTGTCAAGACTTTCTTCTGAATCAGGTGGCACTCAAAAACTCTGGAAAAAAATAAAACGGCATTTCATTTACCTCAAATACAATGCTATGAAATGGTATGTAACAACTTTCACAAGTTGAGCAATGAGAGGATCTGAAATGTTCCATTACCAGTTTTTTTTACGTAACTAACACCGCCGAAAATGACTGCAAAAGTTGTGCCAGACGTCTCTTGATATTTTTGCTTAGAGGGTTCCTCAATCTTCCAATATCCAACCATTTTCATTAAACCAGTAGCACATTCTTTGCATTAACCCTAACAGATCTCAACCTATCAAACCCCAACAGCATGTTTTGTTGGAATCTGTCAGGATGGGTACAGTACCCCTAAACTGACAGTCTTTTACATTGGGTTGGCACACCTCCAGAATCAAAGTCAGAAATATGTGCGTGCAGTTTCCCATATGGTGTTGGAATTTGCCAGGATGGGTATGGTTCCTAGTCAATCATGCTAGGGAGGTAGGGTTAACATATTGCACATCAAGCATCATACAAAGCAATGCTCGATTTTAAACAGATGTAGGGTACTTGAGAGATATGAGTTTCTTTCTTGGCGAGTATTGGGCGTACCTTTCTTGGCCCTGAGGATCCGCCCCAGTCTTTGTGCCTCTTGCCGCCGCGAGCCACCATGGGAGGAGATCTGGATCAGTACGTTGGCTTCAGGCAAGTCAAAGGAGTTGTCACCGACCTTGGGTCAAAAATAAAATGCATTTTCATACCTCATACATATTTATGAAGCAAACGCACTTTTTTGATTGGTCAACGCTCACAGACATCAGGGAAGTAACAGTACTAAACTTCTGGATGGGCGATGCGTATAAACTCCAAGCTGGTCAGTAGCACTAGGAAGTAGTACTGAAAGTTAAGTCCATGATACTAGTCAATGCAACATCCCACTTTTTTTGTACACAAAAAGTAACTGACGAAATTATTGTTAAAAATCTTACTTGTTTTAAAGATAATAATGGCAATAAACTGCCTCTGAAATTATTCTTTCTGGTATGCTGTCATTTTGAAGGAAACAATAAAAGAAGGCCATTTCCAAAGAAGCGTCAAGTGATGCTTTTTGGACATTTCCATTTGTAGTTGGTTTGAAATCGGCCAATCTGTGCATGGGTGCACGCAAGCTTGACACAACGCACACGTGGTTGCTATTATTTGTCGGTTCAGTGCGTGACATCACATAGCTACAATCGGCTGAATGAGAACCTGTCCTAAATGGTGCAATTCAAAACACGACTCTACAACTTCTGAATTGAAATCAAGATCCTAGAATATTGTTTTCTCGGAATATACAGCATTCACTGAGCTAAAACTTCATCAGGTTAGTTGTTAAGCACCCGTCTTTAGATTTTGAGTATTTTTGTTGCTTCAAACAAAAACAATACACAAATGACAAATGGTCTACCCTACAAGTGACCTCACTCGACAGTCATTATGATTACGGTGGCTCAGTCATGCAAAGAGCTCATTACTTGTTTCACTGACCTCACTTCTTTACAAGAACCAAAGCTGGACTATGGAAGTGCACCTTCAATGGTGACATGTTTGAATGCTTTTGCTGATGTGGATATGTGCACTTCATGCAACACTCTCACAAATATTGTCCACACTAGAGTTTCTCGTAAGTAGGCTTCATGGTACCATCCACTCTTCCTGCACAGATAATGCAGCAGCTAGTTTACTAAAGGGTTAGGTACATTACACATTTGTTTAAGTCATGAGCTGAGACCAACAGACCTTGGAGATGAAGATGGTGTTGACCAGGGGGTTGTGCTGGAAGTTCTGTAGGATCTGTAATCTCTCTCCCTGGCTGGTTGGCCCATAGATGTAGGGTCTGATGAATGGAAAATATCAAGGTGTCAATCAGGTAAGTTGGACTTTAATAGGCTGATTTGTCTTCTTTTGAGACTTTTTTGTGGAAATGGTAATGGAGTCTGTCATGTCTGTGTGTCAAGTTGTTAAATGAATAAAACCTTGTATATTTGTACCTGTAAATGACATCATTTAAAAGGTCCATAGGAGAATTTGCTTTTTGTAATTTTTTTTTAAAATTTTGTCTCAATTCCTCAGTTCCGGACAAGTTGCGGATGTTGTATCGGGTATAAGTTGCAGGATTCTGAACAACTTCCCCGCAATCTTCCTGCAATGAAATTAGGCCCCCCCCCCCCCAAAGTTCTGCTTCCGGTTATCTTACCTACCCTATTTTGACAGCCCCTACCATAATTTTTTTGGGGGGGGGGAAATTAGAAAAAGACCCCAAAAATCAACAATTACTACCTTTTACCCTTGACTACACGCACACACCTACATATGACCATACACAAAATACATTTCCCCCCCTCCCCAAAAAAAAAAATTCCCCACCTACCTACCCTATTATTAAAGTGCCATGTAATCGGAAGCAGAACTTTTTTCTGGCCTTATCAGTATTGGTGAGTCAAGCAGTTGTTTAAGAAAATTTCCCCGAAATATGTCCGGACAAATGCAGAGCTTCTTCCAGACAAAGTGAATGATTCTACCCGCAACTTGTCCGGAACTCGTCCCAGATATGAATTGAGACGGGCCCTAGCTGAATAGCAAATAGTGAACCGCAAAGCAAAGTTAACTGAAGCCATACAGAGGAGACCATGTCGGTGTTCTGAAAAGGACAGCTTGCCGTCTTAGATCTGTCCTCAAACGTTGTGATTCACTGTTGTCACATTGTGGTTTACCGTTTGTCCTTTGCGGTTCACATTTTGAGTGTTACAGAAGCTTGTCCTTTTTGAGCATTATTTTACATGTACGTGAACCAAAACCGAATCAAATCTTGATACAGCACATGCTGTACTGTACGCATAGACCCGGGGTGGACTGGCCAAAAAGCCACACAACTAAGTGTGCAGCATATGGGGTATGCGCTCAACAGTCAGTAGACAGAGATCAGTGGTTTGTAATCACTGTATCTACATTGTAGCATGCATTGCTGCACCCTGAAACAGCATTTTTTTATTGCAAAGTTGTAAAAGTCTTACTTATCCATGGCGATGGCGTAATGCTTGAGAGCAAAGACATTGTCGGAGAAAACGATGACCTTGTCATTCTGCTGCTCATGGAAACGAACCAGGAACTGGCAGGCACGGAATTTGTTGGGATTCATGACATACAAGAGCTGTAAAGGCGAATAAACCATTGGTACCGAGCTGAGCAAAATTGTAACTTGATGAAAATGAAGTAACATTGTCTTTCATGCATTTAAAAACACTTGTTGCCTCTGTCCAAAGCTGTCCATTACATAAACAGGCAAACTGTACAACAGGCATCATGTTGCATGCCGGCACATTACGGAGCTGAAATGAAGAATCTTACAAAAGGCTGAAGGGGCTGAAGAGACACTGAATGACACGGTGGCTCTGACCATTACAGAAACCTGAATGTTGGGGAGGGGGGTTGTAAAATTATTATTCCATGGTTTCAAAAATTAAAGTGGACATTTTGGTAGTATTTAGGCAGATTACCACAGATACTCATGTAAGTGTAGTATGTTTCATATGAGCTATGCTTTAAATCATCTAAATCAATATTTCTAAACGAACAAAAGACGACCAATGCAAACGTTTTTTTTTAATATACTTTTGTTATTATTTTCTACTTCCGAAGATACTTTCACATAAAGAATGTCATCAAGGTGATCTGGAAAAAAACCAACCCAGCATTAATATTGGCTTTTGCCATTTACTGACGTATTGTTATAAACACTGTATACTCATCATTGTCCCGAGTGACTGTGAGAAAAAATTCACACACTTCACGGGTGGGACTCGAACCCATGACCTCCTGCTTACTAGTGCAGACGTCTTACCACTTGACCACCGAGCTTGCCGGGGTCAGCTGGCTGGTTTGAATCTGATGTAGCTGCGGGTACCACAACCAAACTATTCATAAGATGGAATTTGGGTCTGGGTGATGTAAACTTTATATTGGGTTCTGCCCTTTAAATCTTGTGAAAACCAGCATTAAATTTGGTTTTATATCAAAGAGCTCTATAAAAATGACAGCATCTACTGATGTAGTATGAGTTTCACTTGTGCACAAATATTGACAGAGATTGAGTAAGTAATGCATGCATGCATTGTTTTTCTCCATTGCGAATATCAAGACCGACGCTCTTAAAGCAGCAGACAATGTTTATTTGTTTGCATTTAGAACCTTAATTAAAAGAATATTGAAACCCACCAGTTGTTTTCGTGTTCGGATGCCCAAGTACTCCCTGTAAAACTCCGGTGTCATAGGGCACCAGACCTCAGCACACTGTACCCGGGCAATGAAGTTCATTCGTTGTAGCTCCATCCAGTTGGCTTCATACAGCTTGGGTCCAATCAGGAAGTTGAGATCAGCGATCTTATCATCCTCTCTCACCAGCGTGGCGGTCAGACCCAGCTTGCAGTGGGCTTGGACTACCGTCAGGACTCGACGAAACTGCTTGGCTGGGATGGTGTGCACCTCTGATGACAGATGGTGGGTGGGGAGGGAGGGGGAGTAAGAATGGTTTAATTACTGCACCTTTGATCTCCATTTAATTGCACAGGTTTGAAAAGTTGCTGATGTTGCCAGCATCACGAGTTTGGGCATGATCCATGGCTAATGGCATATACGTTTATGGCTTCTGACTAGTGCCCCTTGAACAAAGATATTCACAAACTAGAAAATGCCAGCATAGGGCTGGACAATACAACTGGTAGAGTACAGGGCCAAATTCCATGGCTCTTCTTACTGTTAGCGAAAAATCCCTGCTTGCTGTAGCTGAAAATTCTGTGTTTATGGTAAGCGTGTTTCGCGGGTTAGCGAGGAATTTTGGCTTCTGCGCATATGTACATGTACATCCCGTAACTAAGGATTCTGTGCCTACATGGTTAGCACATAATTCATAATTGTTCTGCTAGCACAGTTAGCACAAAATGGTGATGTAAGCATGGAATTCTGTGGTTAGCAGAGCCATAAATTGGGCCCTGGTATGGTATTCTGGTGGTCGCAGGTTCAACCTCCGCTCCAGTCAATTTCTTTGTTCAATTTTGTTCAAATTGAGAGACTGCCAGCATAGTGATAGATAGCTCAGTTGGTAGACCCTCAGTTTCATACAGGATATGTTTCAAATCTCACAAAATTTTTTTTTTGGTGCTGAATACATACAGATCAGTGAAAAAGGTTTGATTTGTTTTTGTTGAGGGAATTCAGCGAACTCTTTACTCTGTAAAGAGATGCACAACTTCAGGAATTATCTTTACAATGTTTGCTGATTCTGTTTATCCATGTTTATGTGTTATCAACACCTTGAAAGACAAGATGAAAAACAACCATATTGGTTCACACTGTGGACAAATTGATACTTTGATATGTGCACAGGGTGTGTCCCTCCCACTGGGGCTTTCCAAACTGGTCACAAAGCACAACTTACTGTTAGTGAATGGAGTCCATTCGCCCTTTTACTTGAGTATAATATTAGTGCTGCAACTGATCCTCAAAGTTGGGTTCGGTTTCGTTGCGGTTCGATTTTTTTCCTCCGAACTTTGGATCGGTTCGACTTCGGAAGTGCATACATAATATACATGTTCAATGTATAGGGCTACAATGAAAAGCATATAGGCCGTTCCCCTGTTCGAACAAACACGTGTGTACCGTGCACGTATAAAAGAAATAGGCACCGCAATTTCCACATGCTATACAACACAAGTTGAAGAAAGAGTCTCATTTTTGATGTGTAAACAAAATACCGTTACAATTTGAGTTTATGACATTGAGAAATGAACATCGTCAATTGCGACATGTTACCGGTACCTATCGCGGCCCACAGGCTATCCCTGCCAGGTGCGTACGATGATTTCAAAGCGTATCGGCCCCAATATCCTATTGTATGCCTTGCTAGAACATCGCAAATAATGAAGATGAATGCGGAGACTTTTCAACACGTTATTAAAATTCAATCATTCGTACGCGTTAATTTTGCCCTTTCATTGCAAGCTTTAGCATTCCTAGCTAGCACTATCAACAAATACTTGCCAAACATTTGGGTTCGGTTCGGTTCGGGTTCGGTTCGGAAGGCCAAGTTCGGCTATTTTTAGTTCGGTTCGGCTGCAGCACTATACAATATATCTTACTTGTACCTGTACCCATGTTAATAAATAAAGCAAAAAAAGTAAAGCCTGTCACGAGCCAATGTGACCCATCAGTCCGGCGTTTATCTCCAGTTTCAGTAGCATGAAACGACTGAGAATATTTCTATTCCTCCCTGGATGGGATGCTAGTCCATCGCAGGTTACTCCCCAGCTAATGCTGATACCCATTTATACTCTTGGGTGGAGAGAGGCAAGTGGGGGTGCAGTGGGGGTGCATATGACGAGCAGCTGGATTTTAACCCCTGACCTTCTGATCATGAGTCACGAACCCTAACCACTACGCCACACTCCCTAATTAACAAAGTCCTTGACTATAAAACTGCTCTGCAGTACAAATGCCAAATTCTTGACCTGAAACTAAGAAAGTAATTTTGGAACTTACCATCAAGCAGCATGAGTCCCCACTCTTGTTGTCGTAACCACTTCATGACCTGTTCAGCTTCCCAGGACCTCTTGGTGGTATGTGCTACCATGGAATAGGTGCTTATGCTTATACTGCACCCTGATACAGTAAACAAACAAATGACAATGACAAAGAGAGTTAAGTGTTCAACAGAGTGTGATTCAAAGCTTGTGGGATGAAGGCTTGGATAAATTAAACAGTTGTTTTGACATTGCTATGTTTTTTTAGTAATGCTAAAGTTTTTCACTTTCATAAGATTTTCAAATGAACCACAAAGGGAAACTCCTTGGGTGAATTCACCTAGTCAGATTCCCTTTGTGGTTCATTTGCATATTTGTAATAAAAGCTGTATCCTCTCTGAAGTATGTGTATGTATCGTAACTTTGGGTGTGATCCCTGGCTACATGGCACATACAGGTTTATGGCTTCGGACTAGTGCCCCTTGAACAAAGATCTTGACAAATTGGGCAATTGCCAACATAGGGCTGGATAGCTCAGTTGGTAGAGCACCGGAACGGTTATCCGGAGGACGCAGGTTCAAACCCCGCTACAGTCAATATCTTTGTTCAACTTTTCAATAAACACATTTAAAAGAGACACAGAATGAAACAAGTAGTCCAAGTTCAGTTAAGGAATAAAGGTTGCAGACGATCAAAATGGAAACAAAGCATTGATGTGGTTAGAATAAAACAATACAACTTGAAAATTTCAATGGATCAACAATAGAATTGGGTGAAGAGCACAGACAGTACATGTACAGTAGAATCACAGACAGTACATGTACAGTAGAATCCCGATAAGTCAAACCTCAAGGGAACTGGCTCACATTTTGAGTTAAGTAGAGTTTTGAGTTATCCAACAAATTTTCTATTCAACAACAATTGACGGGAATAAGTTTTTACTTTGAGTTAGAAGGGTTTTTGAGTCAGCAGGTTTGAATTATCGAGATTTCACTGAATATCTAAACACTACAACCTTGTTGAGTTCAAAACACAATGTGTGAAAGATTTCAAATACTACCCATGGGTTTGTCTTTGGCATCGGAGGTGAATCTGCAAATCATGGAATCATCCACGGTAGACCACATCTTGAACTGTGACCTCCACTGTTCCACGGCAACCCCTGAGGTGCAGAGTACCAGGCAACGCTTACGTATTGTGCAGGCTGCCGTGACACCAACTAATGTCTTCCCAGCACCTGTTGCAGGAGAGTAATATAATCAATCAATCAATCAAATCTTAAATTTTTCCAACTTATACATGTACATATATAATTATTTAACGTTTGAATTATTGTGTATGGATGGATGGAGGTCTCCAAAAAGCATGAGCTTGTCGAGTGGAGACCCCACTGTATGGAATGAACCAAGAACAATTACAAGTACAACGACAGAAGTTAAATAATATCACTATATAATCTCTCATATAATGCACTAGAATGTATGACTGACTTCAAAAATCTAGGTCATTATGTGCCAAAAAAGCAACAGCATTTATTTGTGACCTTTCACAATAAAATGAGCATAAAGTTGGAAATTGTCATTTTGCAATACAGTGGGGCAAAACCAAAATTTGAAGGGGTGGTGAATGTTTTTTTCAGCTGAATCGTAATCTGTAAGTCCTGCGCTACCTTTCTTTAACTTATTAAATTTTCTCAAGAATCGGTTTTATCACTTAATGTATCTTACCACATGGAAGGACAATCACCCCTGACCGTGCTCTGCCGTTACCAAACATTTTACGTAAACTCTTCTCTTGGTAGGGACGCAAGACGGTGGTTGGTTTCAGGTCAATGCTGCAGGAAAAGAAAATGTCCAAAAAATATAGCCTTGTGGTTCACTTCGGGAAAAAGTGTCTAAATTGGAAAAAAACATTGAAACTTGGAAGGCCTTTTTCTCAGTATTTTACTTTTTCACATTTGTGAACATATTTTTCATAAATGCCAACATCAAACAGCCATAACTTGTCAACAGAATTGAAGTACAACAAGCAGTACCTATTGTAGGGATAATGAGGGATAATTGTAGTCTCTAATACCTTATATGCACAAACCCCCTTTTCCACCCCTGCCCAGTTCTGTCTCAATTTTCCAGAACGCCTCACATACAGGGAGAGTAAAAAAAAAGTGGAACACAAACCCCCCAAAAAGAAACTTAACTATTTTTGCTCTGTATGTCTCTAACCCCTTGCCAAATTATTCTTGAGACTTTCCCCAGTTTAAATAAGACATATTGATACTAAGACATATTGATACTACTAACTTGAGGTCTGGGTTGTGTGTGTCGTTTCTGAAGTCATACTCAGCTAACAGGGGAAACTCCAACTCGATGCATCTGTTGGAAAACGACCAACAAATTGTTAATCAATCTGATCAAATGAAATGCTGTCTGGTCGCAGAATGACTATGAAATCCAAGTGGGTTACTAAATACAGCACAAATGTAACAACCATAACTATTAACCGCATTAGTCCTAACCCTCCTCAAACCTCCAAAATCAACCAGGTGCTTTTGGAGGATTGAAGCTGTATGGCGGTTGAGTGCCTGTCAGTTTTGGAGGATGTACTGTGTCAAGGGGTTCAGCTGTACCTTGCATTATTGATGCTTAGACATAAATTTGCCTAGATTATACTGGATATAATCTGCACTGCTTCTGGATAGCATTGGCACTGTATTAACAGTAATTGTTAGAGGATTTTGAAGGATTGAGGCAGTGGTCACCCTTCCAAAAAAAAAAAACTGTGGTAACATAACAAGTCATCCACTTATCTTTTCAGCAAATCCTGTTAATGTACCCTTTATTAGGAGACATTTTTTTAGTCATAAGTTATACCTTAGGGAGACACCGGACATTAGGGAGACATTTCAATGTCTCCCTAATATATATATCATGTCTCTCTAACCAAGGCATGCAATTTCCACCACACCAGCAGGTTACAACAGTTTTAAACAATTTGCATTCTCAGTGCAATCAGCCAGATCTTTTGGTGTACACAGGTCTTGTATCTGGCGATCTGAGCAGCACAATAAGTGCTTCATTATTTGAAGTTCCCCACAATCACAGTTTGTAGTTTGGCCGTCCTGTAGGTATCCCAATTTGTCCATTAGGACCCTAATGCCACAACTCCTTTTAATTAGAGGCAAAATTTTACTTCACAAATGGGCTAGATCAATTGCTCGTGGTCCAAAACATAGATGTACCGAATTCGTGGGGTAGGATAAGGGAAAATAGGGGTTACAATTTTGTGCAAAACCCTATTGGAATGACTCCCTAAAGGTACCATTTCCCGTAATAATAATGACAATAATGATATTAAATTTTGAGTTAACCATACAAGCAAGCCCTCACCGTCTTTGTAGGTTTTCAATCTCTTCTTGTCGGACCTCAAACGACACCGTCTGTAGCTCCTCCCCTTCCTCATCTTCCCGGTCAATCTTCTGGTAGAAGTCGTAGATATCCGAGGGGATTTCCGTCTTCTCCTCACCGTTCTGCTCAGCGCCGTCTTGGCTGGCAGACGAGCCCGGGGTACCGGTGGAATTGGCGTTGGGCTGATTGAGCTGAGATAAACAATACATCATCACGGTCATTAAAGGCATTTAGGATCAATTGCTTTTCAGTCACTAATTTGTCTGTTGCCAATAATAACACGACTCAAAATCCAACGCAGAATGTTCAAAACCTGAACCTTTGAAGTTTCAACTCAGTGGATATTACACTTTTTTGTGAAAACAGTAAAAAAACTGCTCAATCTTTTGATCATAAAACATGATTTTGTCTATAGCACATTTCCAAAAATCAGTCAATCAAATGATCATTTGATCAAACTACATTTCCTGATTTCTTCTTAATGACAGCAAGCCTCACAGAATAATTTCATGGGATGTTTTGTACCAGTATGATCTTTAATCCAAGTAAGCTTTTTGATAAATAATTCAAAATTCATATCTTTACTTTCTTTAATTCTGAGCCATTAAGGACTCCTCGGCAAAATTTCGAATAGAAGGTCTGACATGGGACTGCATACTGGAATTTCATTAGTTAGAAGTGTTGCTGGTTGCAGCAGCAAATCAAAACCATTGATGTTGTGGATGTAATATATCAACTCACTGTCTCCAGTGTGCTTTAAGGCAAGCCAATGGCTTTCCATAATGCAAAGTTAGTCCCTGTTCCGCCCTAGAGCAATAATATTCTTCTAGTGAGTTGGACAAGTTTCTCCGAAGATTTAATGCCCGAGAGGTGTATACTGCAATGGGAACATTCAGCAACTGAATATGTATGAGGTGTAGTAAAACAAATATAACATGGTTTAGTTCGGGTGGATAGTCCATATTAGCTCCCCTCGGTATTGGAAGTTGACAAACTAGTTCCCTTTGTCAACTTCCAATACCTCGGAAACTAATATCGACTGTCCACCCTCAAACTATGTTACATTTGTATGATGATCTACTTTACCTTTACGAATCTCAAGCCACCAGCAGTGTTGTAGTACTCGTACTCGAGTAATACTCGAGTAATTTTTTTTTAGAGTACTCGTACTTGTACTCGAATGTCAAAGTACTCGTACTCGTAATGACGGTACTCATACTCGGGCAGCAAAGTACTCATACTGGACATGTCGAAATTGTACTCGATCATCACAGGACTTGTACTCGAATAGCAGTACTCAAAAAAGGGTATAGCTTGACTTAACACAGGACCTAGTTTATCGCTACTTTCAGTTTGACCGGACAAACAGATTTAACAGCTAGCCATGAGTGGGTCTGTATATCAGTCTGACTGGGCCTGGGCCAATTACGCACAATGAACCATTTGCCGTATGGCCGTATTCGGAAATGCAAGTACTTGTGCTCGGACTCGTAGTACAAGTACTCGTACTCGGTAACCTAAGTACTCTGCAGTACTCGGTACTCGGAAAAAAGTACTCAACTACAACACTGCCACATGTGATGGTGTCTTGTGTCCTACCTTCAAAGCAGACTGGCCAGACAGCTTAGACACTAGGAAACCTTCCTTAGTCTCCTGTCCATCCTCATCAACATCTTCACGTAGCCGACACTGCTGCACCACTGGATCCTTCAGCAGTCTCTGCAAAACATCCTGTCAAATTGGACAATTTTCCACATTATGTTAACCATGTCAACACCATTTAATAGACAGTCGACAGTTCAAGACCAATGAAATGGCCCAAAATCGCCTATGCCAGCTTATCACGGTTTGCATACTGTCACATTCTCTCTTAACCAGTTTGCACCGGATGATGTGTAAATGTATACCCGCAAAGGTTTTGCGGTATTTGGAACGGATGACGGATAAATACGCAGGGAGCGGGGCCGGAAATATCTGTCAGTAACCCCCTCGCAACGATAGAGGCCAGAAATATGAGTGTGCTGCCCGAAGGTGATGGCTTCAACCCACCTGGCAGGTTGAGTGAAAAGTAATCCCAAGCCTCGTTCCATTCATGTCAAAATGATCCCAGCGTGAACTGGTTAATAGAGAGTTTTGCGGCCCCTTCATCTGAGGGTTTGTAGCAAATAAAGGGCACCGGTCCTGAAGCGGTCTTTAAACCTGTATTTCTGGGGAATTTGGGGTGAAAATGGACCTGAAAGTTGCTCTCTTTTCAATGGAGTGGAGGGATTATTTTTCAAAATGGCGACAAAATTCAGTGCTATTTTTAGGGGTGATCATCTTTGGAGTGAAAAATCACCCAAAAGTCACTGGTTAAGCCCCCCCCCCCCCCCAAATTAAACAAAGTAAAAGAGGATTTGTTGTACGTCGTGACCACCTGTGAAGTTGGGAGTTTTATCTCTCGTTTTTTTGGTATTTATCATTTCTGTGTCCTTTTAGAGAGTATTGATGTAAAATAACCTGGAAGACTTAGAAGAACTTTTGTTACTTATGTCTACAAATTGTTGTCATGTCACACGATGTAGCCAGAAAAATCTCCAAAGTTGTACTCTTCAAGCTATTTAAAATGGACAGATAACAAAACTGCAGTTTGGACAATGCCACGCAGTAACCAAGGTTGACATACTTACTGGATGTGTGCTCTCCACAAAGTAGCGGTTATGCTTAAGGACTAACTTCAGCTTGCCATAGCTCAGAGTGCACAGCTGTAGAAAAGATTGAAATGTTTCCAGACTTCAACCGGTCATCAGGAGATACAGATAAACAAACTCAACAAACTCAACAACAAAACTCAACAAACAGGAACATAGCAAATGCATTTCCGAACCAGACAATGTTATGAATGGTGGTGCAGCTGATATCTGTTGACAACAGGATGAAATAATAGTAGGAAAGATGATAATGATGATAACGACAGTGAAAATATGTTAATAATGATTCTATTATTTTAACCCCAACCCCCTTGAATGATTTACTAGGAACCTTCCTCACTTTTGCAAATTCCAACACTATATGGTAAACTCAACACCCAAACTGTTGGACTCTGATTATGGTGGTATGCCTGACCCCATGTAAAGCATAATCAGTTTACTAGTGCAGTACTCACTCCAACAGATTCCAACAGTGTTGGAGTTGACTGGACGGGGATTAGGGTTAAGGATGAAGTAGGTGACATATCTTCATAGGAATGACAATGGAGATGATGATGTAAATAATGAGAGGTTCCAATGCTTTATAAATTTAATAGGTTTACTGGGATCCTCCTTTCTTTGTAAGATAAACTGGAAGGCAAGCCACGTATACAAAGTCCCAATTCAAAAATGTGGGTTATGTTTGAACACTTTGGGAAATTGTAAATGAATTTTTCATTCATCCCCTAAAACTTTTCATGGTGTAAATGTCAAGCACACACAATGTAGGCATACATGTACAAATCAAATGAGGGCGGTCTGGCCATGCTGCAGGGTGTTATTTATCTATTAATTGTGAAAGATCTAGGTCATTTACCTTGATGAATTCAATGATTCCATCAGGGATGGAGGTTTTGCTGAGTCTGCGTAGATACTCAATGATATCGCTGGTCTGTAGGCCTACTGACACGGCAGCATAGAGGGAGTAAGCTGTCAGCTTGTACTCATGGATGTGCTCTGGTCTGCAGACGGGCTCTGAGATAGCAATCAAGAAGTCATGGGCGCGCTTATAGACCGGCGAGAAGGACTCTAAGAATATATGACCATCTGGAGCCTGTTGACACAACACCATACAACTTTTAAGTTTTCAAAAAACAAAGAAGTTGATAAAATAAAATTAAATTGCTATTTTTCTAGCATCACGGGGTGGACTGTTTCCTGCCTCTAATCAGAATCCTTGGGAATTGGAACCAGTCTATTTGCAAGTGAAGCTTTCTTCAGAAGGTTGCAGATGCCCAAAATAGAACAATATATTTTTTTCCATTAAAATAAAATTAGTTAGGAGAAAAAAAGAAACAAAAATGGTTGAAGACCAGGGACAGTACATGTCCATGGCAAAGACCCATACACAACATGCACAACAATTGCGGTTGTAACATCAAAATATGTATGACTGCATAGTTAGGCAAAAAAAAAATTGTTCTGCTTCCGATTACATGACATTTGAAAATAAGGTAGGTAGGTAGAGAATTTCTTTGGGGGCAATTGTTTTTTGTGTACAATTATATGGAGGTGTCTGCGTGAATGTTATGGATAAAAGGTAGTTATTGATGGTTTTCGGGTTTTATTCCTCATTTTTCAAAAAAAAAAAGAAATAGGGTAGGGGCTGTCAAAATAGCGTAAGTAGGGTAACCGGAAGCAGAACTATTGTTTCTGTTTTAATATTGCGCCAGTGCATTAGTTCATTTTTGTCCATCACATTTTATGTTCAAATTCACCCACTAGAGTAGTCTTGGCTCAAAACTAGATCTGCATTTTATTCCCCTTATAGACCGCTTGCAGACGTGATCGATAATTGACGCGCTAAGGTGAACGACGCCATGTTATGGGACAAAATGTGCGTGAATTGATATACGCCTGTCCCACAACATGGCGTCACGCGCCTTCGCGCGTCGATTATCGAACGCGTCTGCAAGCGGTCTATACAAGCAAGGTCACTATCAACAAGAGAAATCAAATCCAGTTTTGGCAATATTGCCAACACTACCTAGGACATTCCAAGCATACCTCACCATGCTCACGCACACTGTATTGAAGCTAATGCATGCCTGTGAGGTATGCTCAGAATTTCCTAGGTATACAGCGCTGCCAACATTGCAAAGACTGGATTTGATTTATCTTGTTGATAGAGACCTCCACCGCCGTGACAACTTAACCATGTGCTGCAAAATATGGGAATAAAAATTCAAATCCAGTCTTGGACCAAGTCTACCACTGCAGTAGCGTTCTGCTGTCTGTTGTCAGGTACAATAAACATCCCTGGGGAGGGAATCGAACCTAACACTCGATGTTTCTAAGCACTGTGCCACAAGCACACTTACCAGCCACAGCGGCCGGGATTTGTGGTCTAATTTCAGCTGCAGGAGTTGGCGGTAATCCTTAGCACCAAATTCATCTTCCTCAGTCACTTGTTCCTCTACATGTCTGGACGCACTCTCTGGTAGTTCTACAGTCCCTGTGTTTAGAATCAGATGGTTGTGAGTGAAGGGATAACAATGTAATGAAGTTCAACAAGTTATAAACATGTGATTTAAAACTGGTCAGGGGCCCGACAGCAGATAATGGCCTGAGGTAAAGGTGTGAGGGCGGCCAGGCTGGTTTTATACATCACGTTCATATAGTTCTGCTTACCACAGAATCCAACAGAATTCCACGCTTACGCTCACCATTCTGTGCTTACCGACCTAGCTAGTAAAAAAAATCCTGTTTGAAGTCTGTATAAAAAAATGTACATGTACATGTATGCGCATACTAAGCCCAACTTCCTTGCTAACCCATTTTATATGCTAACTGTGAGCAAGGAATTTTCTGTTACAGTAAGCGGGGATTTCTTGCTAATATTGGGCCCTGTATGAAACATACAAAGTAGGTACATGTATGGTGGTACTGAAAAAATCAATCATACAAAATGAAATATGGAACTTCCAAAGATAAATGAACATCAACAATGTACATGATATACATGTATGATGAGTGACCCATCACTTTACACTACTCACCGTCCACCCCCAATGAATCTTCATCCTGGTCTATATTTGCCACCTTGGTTCGTTTACTGTTTTTACCTTTTGAGCCATCTGCAGAGAGATCCACATAAAGCGTTTGTAAGACACCGTGCCGGGAAGGGGTTACTTAGCGGGGGGACCAGGCTGGGGCGGATGGGGCTGTTTTTTTGTCATTATACATCATACATCATTTGTGGGATACACCGGGCCGGTCAACGTGACCGGACTGTGTGAAGCTTAGGCCAAAAAAATATATATATATTCGGTCTCAGGTCAGACCAAAGTTCCGGAATTGATGCAGCGACGCGGCTTTTTTTTTTTTTTTTTCTTCAAGCTTGGATTGTACAGACAGAAGGTGGGGTACTATTTTGCTTTTTTTGGTGTCCTCATGTACATGTACATTGGTGTCCTCCATAATTTACCTTGGTGCTTTCGATCATTTTCCTTGGTGCAATTTCCCTTTCCTTGGTGCTCTTTGGTACAACAAATTGGAGCTACCGCGGAACATTTTGGGGGAAAAAAAGATCGACGTGCATGATTAAAATCGACGCGCGTGCTGACCAGAGACCGACTTATTTTTTTTTGGCCTTAGCGTGGTCAAGTTGTGGTCGAGTTGTGTGGCCGCCCTGCAGGTGCAGCGTACATGGTGCACCACACCACTGTGCATAACCACGTTGACGTCGTGGCCATGCACAGTGCTCGGTCCTGGGTCCACCGCAACGCCCACCATGCATGCCGTGCCACCACACACTTGGCCCCGCATGGTCATACGGCTAGATTGTAAAGCTTTGACGCGTCTACGAGTAATTAGCCTACATTATAAATTACCATTTGTGCAGCTCCTGTGGCTGAGTGGATATAGGGCGTGTACCTCATGAGTGAGAGATCCCTGGTTCAACTCCCGGATAGCAACTTTTTTCTTTCCTTTTTTTTTTCATCCAAAAGAGGAAAGAATATTCTTCTTTTTTACCTTCAAAAAATGAAGGTTTTTCAAACCAAATGTGCCAGATTTCTCTAATCTTTTTCATTTTCCTTCATCTTCATTATTCTGTCAAAAAAAAACATTCTGCTGATTTTCTGTACAATATCATTTTTTTTTGTATATGCAAATATTCAGTCAAATGTAGCCGAAATTCGGCTAGAACAGTGACTCCATCTTAGTAACCGCGGATCACAATAGACACCTAGACCAGATAGTCCTGTGGCTTATAGCTAATTTTGGGCAAGATCGTGACACGCCGGATTAAAGCACCAAATTTGGTACACTTACTGTTTAGGTCCCTAGAAGATATTCTAGAGGGGGGGGGGCCCTAGGTCAAGGTCAGGCCAAGGTCAAAGGTCACAAGGTGTACCATTCTGCATATAGTTGACGTAAATTTCCCCAAAAGTCTGAAATTTAAAGTTCTGAATAGCATAAAAGGATGTCAGGCAACTATGAGACCAACCATATCAGAACAAAATCTATTAAAAAAACCTTTGCCCAACAAAATAGTCGAGACCACGCCATTTCCAAAAATGATGACTCAGCACTTTTTAGAAAGTTTGATTTCTGTTATATTAATGTTATAGAAACTAAAAGCTTTGTTATCTTTTCATTATTTCGTTGGAATGTGAATAATCACAGGCATAAATAATGTTCTTTTATTCTTTTATTAATTAGTTATGGTTTATTAATTATCTTAATTAAGCAACAGTTTGCTTCAAAATAATGATAGTTTTAAAGTTCCCATTATGCATGCATATATGTGTGTGTACAAATGTATGTATTCCCATCACACTTTACTCATAAGGCATGAAGGTGTACAATCAGTTTCCAGTATTCTAATCTTGGTCCAGTGTAATGGCTTGGTCATATTACATGTAGTTACCCGTGTTTGATAATCAATATCAGTGTGGAAGGTATACATTGTGTCGAGAAAGGACAGTACTGCATACTACGCTCTTTAAACTGTTTGTTCTTTTCATAAGAGTTTATTTTTTGATTTACATTAGGCCTATATTCATTCATAATTTTGTGTCCTGCCCTTAAAACTGAAGAGAATGCACTGTACGATTACAATCTTTCCACATCAATAGCTTTGTATCATCATAAATCTCAGCAACTTACGGATTAGTTGGCTATTCTCTAGCCTTTGGCTCCAGTCCAAAAAGTTGATGAGTTTGTGTACCTCTTGACTAAATTTTCAACCTAGCTCTACGTGTATTTTATCGTTTTCATCATTTTATCGTTTTCATCATTTTCATCATATATATTTGGCGTAATAAGGTATGCACATTTATAGGCATTTAGGTTTAACAACTCGCAATTTTTAAGTTTGGTCCGAAGTTCACTTGAGCTTTCATGGAATGAAAAGCGTTCTTGTAAATCTGTTGCTTTGTGAATTGTGAATCAATCACACACAAGGTATAGGACAGAATTTCAGCGTAGGCAAAATCAATCAATGAGCACATCAGGGTGCTAATAATTATGCAAATGAAAAACAACTTTGACATATGTCATTACAAGTATTCGCCTTCTCCATATACATGTACGTACACTGTATAAATGTAGGTTTACGTATAGGCTTACCGTGCCACCGTGAAACAATGACACCCAAAGAATAAAAATGTGAACTGGAACGACCAATATATTTTTAGAAGAAAAAAAACATCATAGAAAGCCAGAAACTGACAATTCACTTTCATGCCTTGTGAGTTAAAAGTGATATACGTATATACAATACATACTTATATACAGACATCAGCTATAGAATCATGATTGAAATTAAAGTAACAACTAACATTGTAATTATAATAATTAATAAACCACGAATAATTAATAAATAAATCAAAGGAAGAGCGTTGATCATGCTTGCTAGTAGTATCCATGTGCTTAAGTAGTGATGCGAAAAAAAGAACAAAGCTCCCTTTTCTATAACTTTAACATATTAATAAAGCAAACTTTCTAAAAAGTGCTGAGTCATCATTTTCGGAAATAAAATAAACTCCCCTATTTTGTTGGGCAAAGGTTTTTTGATGGAACTTTTTTGTAAAATGTGAGGTCTTAAATAAAAACTCTTATAAATGTCAGACATCCTTTTATACTATTCAGAATTTAAAATGTCAGAAGTTTTGTCGAAATTTACTACAACTACGTACCGTATTATACACCTTTGTGACCTTTGACCTTGGCCTGACCTTGACCCAGGCCGTCAAAATCGGGTACCCCCCCCCCCCCCCCCCCGACTAGAATGATTTCTTGGGACCTATATAAGTGTACCAAATTTGGCGCTTTAATCCGGCGGGTCACGATTTTTTCTTTCGCAGTGGCTATTGTTACGGCAGCCGTAACGCATTTCCCATTTTCTATCGTTACGGTAGACTGCAACCTGGCAACTTTTATAAAAAAACATGACAAGAAAATATAAAATTAGAAGGAAAAAAGTGAATTTGAACTTTATGAAATTTGGACTTTATTTCCCTTTAAAAAAAAATCCTCCAAAGCCTCAGGTTAGAAAAGGAAAAAAATTCGAGTGCAAAACTGAGATTCGAACCCGCAACCTCGCGGTGCAAGATCCTACCCTCTATCGGCTGAGCTGGCGCACTGCTCGATAAAACGTGTGGAAACAAATAATTATATACCTGCGTGCGTATCAAAAAAATATCGTAGAGGGCGCTAAACAACGAGTGCCGTAACGATAGCCACTTCGTTTTTCTTTACCACTGTCTAAACTGTCATGACTGTACCCAGGCTCAAGTGTCCCCCTCTCATCCCAAATTTGTAGTCAGTTGTAACCGGTACCCCGTTAGTGTGGAAATTCCCACATGAACTTTCTTCTCACCTCCATTTTTTCGTTCCCTTTTCCCCATCATTCATGTCATTTGTTGGCTACGTCTTGCGATTACACGCACCATACCGCAACCGCATTGCACAATCGTTTGGTTCGCGATGGTTCGGCGATACCGAGTGTACCACACTGCTAGCTGTCCATCTCTTGAGGGCGCAATTTGATGAACCGGAGATGTGATGAATGCAATCAAGAAGTCAAAGTCAGTACCCCACAATTTCTTCTCTTTTAATTCAATTCACACGTTTACTGGTGCACCCAGGATTTGCTGTTGCCTAGGCCCGGCCCTAGCTGGGGAAAGCTCAGCTGTTAATGTTATTAAAGTGTAAGCGTCTAAACTCTATCGGGAATTCGCTATGCTTGCTGGATAATGCAAAACAAGAAATATGCACCATACCTATGGGGCAGCTTAGACATGTTAGACCAGTGAACGTCATGAACGTGGCTTGTATTTGTATAAAACTACAACGCCACGTTCACGGGTCTATGGGGCTGTGAACCAGTCAAACCTTTTTTTTATTTAATTTATATTATTTAAGTTAAGTATTTCCAAAATATTTTGATCATCAGTTCACCTATCATGTTATGGGAAATTTAGTTTGTAAATATGGTATTGGTAAATAAATTCAATTGAACTTAACAAACATGACAAATGAAACTTTAGCAGATAATCTTGGAATTTATTGAATTTCAAGGTATAGGCGTACAATGAGGCCCAGACGAATGATTGTGAATGATCATTGTTGGATGCATGACTAGCCATGAGCTTGAATATCCCCATAAATGTGGCGAATTTATTGGAATACTTATAAGGTAGTCCAGTATTAAATTGGCCACAAAATTATGGGGCTATAAATCTTGATTCCAACTGGCCATGAACGGCAGGGACATAGTCCACTAGTCATGAAACTGGTTAAGGGCTAGTTGAGATTCCCCAAAACTGCCTTCATTCACTGAAGCTTTTTAAAGAAAGCTTATAATTTTATATGAAAAGATGATCATAGGTTTATGCACCAATTGCATGTTTTTGTTGTTTTAATTTGTCATCCATACAAGATGCATTGCATTCATTACAATTGGCAATTTTCTGATGAGCATTAGAGCTAGGGTTTCCTTAGTTAGTTGTTGCCAAACGTAATGAGTTTATTTACAGTACAACACTTTTTTCACCGGCATTATTGATATTCTGCATGTGGGTTCACTTATCAAGTTTTAAATGTATCAAAAAATGCACTTTTTTTCACAAAATTGCATCTCTCTGATTCCTCCTTTTATTCCATGAAACAGCTGTTGGGCAGTTTTGAGACATTATGTTGTGTGATGGACTAGTGCTTGCGCAGTGGACTTATGCATGCATGAATGTAGTGTAAGCAATTGATTTTGCAAATCCACTGTACCTACATTTGTAACAAATACATCATAAATTGTAGGCCTATGACGTATAGGGTTTCATAAACATTTTTAGGCCAAACAAAAAATAGTCGGTCTCTGGTCAGCGCGTGCATCGATTTTAATCATGCGCGTCAACCTTTTTTTCTTCTTAAAATTGTCCGCGGTAGCTACAACAGCGCCCTCTATTGCTGCACCTCCTCAAATTTTTGTACCAAGGAATGGGGAAATTGCACCAAGGCAAATCATGGAGGGCACAAAGGCAAATTATGGAGGACACCAATGTATATGAGGACGTCCACAAGAAAAGCAAAAAATAGTACCCACCTTGTCTGTGCAGTCCAAGCTTGAATTAAAAAAAAGCCAAAAAAACCCCCAAAAATGCATTGTCGCATCAATTCTGGAACCTTGGTCTGACCAGAGACCGACTATTTTTTTGGGGGGCCCAACAACTATTTTTATTTTTAATTTTGCAGATGCAGTGATTTCTGTGCCAAGTATCTTGAAGATCCAAACTCATTGAAAGACTGCCAACGTATGCATTCTACATATATGCCCGTGTACATTTACATTGTACCTATGGACATGTACATGTCGATCCGACAAAGAAGTGCTTAGGAATGTTGGGTATCTTATGGTGAACGGTTTGAACGTTTCTGAACATCAGCTCTCACTGGTTGGATGTATAGTACATGTGCATATGTCAGCCGCAATGTTTCATTTTGACAATGAACCCGTTGAAATTCTCCGAGCAGAACAATTAAGCAGTGAAGTCTTTAACCAGAGATACAGAAATAAACATCCGATAATTCTCAGTCAAGTCATCTCTGATTGGCTACCTAAAACTAAATGGACAACCAGTTACCTTCAGAAAGCATTGAAGCATCAATTTCAAGACGGCCTCCCGGTTTTTGTTTCACATGACAATCGGCAATTCATTAATCACCCAGACGTGACAAAAACAATCACTTGCACCGCAGAAGAATTTTTAAGTCGTGTATTTAATGGTCAAGATGTTTGCAACGTCCAAATCCCAACCACTGCCTCTGATGAAGATGGCCAAACTGAAAAGCAGCGGTATTATCTCAGAACCTTCTCAATGCCCGAGATCTTGTTCCGAGACATTAATGTTCCAAATCAAATCAAGGCTCTCTTGGATGTTGTATGCTACATCAAAGATGAGGATTGTTTCAATCACAGAGAGCTGTTCAGCCAGGATATAAGTAGTAAAGGTAACGGGCATTGTCCGGTACATGACTTGGAGTCTGCAAGTGATAAAGAGATTGGTTCCCCATGGGAGGAAATGTTGTCACCACCTTGCAATTGTGCTACAAGTTGTAATGATGATTCTTCTCTGGCACCACTTGTGAAACAAAACCAATCACCGATCAAATCCACTAGTTTTCAAGTCCAGGACACAAACCAGCCCTCTAAATCAGAAAGCTCTGAACAGAGAGATGCCGTGGAGGAGATTCAGAAATCTGGTCATCGCCACAGCAACAAGTCAGTTGCATTGGAATGCCAGGAAATATATACGCGCATATTTAACCAGTCCACAATGCAGCTATGGATTGGAACGCGGGGTAACATCACTCCACTTCACTATGATCGCAACCACGGTTTGTTGGCACAAATTCTCGGGAGAAAAGAACTCATTCTCTTCTCACATGAAGACACGCACAATGTATACCCTCATGTTAGTTACCCTGAGCGTGCTCACACTAGCCGTGTAGATCTTCACAGACTTGCAGACGACAAAAGGTTTCCAAAGTTAAGGAATGCTCAGCCTTACCATTGCATCTTACAACCCGGTGAACTGCTATATATGCCTCCATTTTGGTGGCATGATGTCACCTCTCTTGATGACTGTATTTCAGTTACTCTGCCGTGGGACATCAGCAGTAATGAAGACGTTCCTGTTTGTATGTTTATGTAGAGCTGTGTGTGCAACAGCAGGTGGATTGTTACTGACTCCCATGCATGTCCAAAGGGACGTGGGAGGCTAGGATACGCCACACGCGCGCGTGTATTGATTCACACGCATACAGCGTTTATGTATGTACCACTATTTTGTTCCAAGTGTCCTTAAACACTCAAAGACATCTTCACCTGAGCGTCAGGCATCATTGGCAATATGTGTTTAAGAGTCCCCTGCTGTGGTCTCCATTTGTAACCATTGAGGGAATCTGTTTGGCTCTGTGCATGATATGATGGATGTATTGTTAGTATTGAAATATTACAAAATATCTTTGTAAAAGTCGTTTTAATGGCAATATCTGTATAAAATGTCATACATGTACATGTAGTTCCAAGAACAAAAGTTTAAAGGTATAGGCTAAAGTTGTACCAGTTTTTCAAGATTTATATTTGATATTAAACAAATTGATATACATTGTAAACTAGCAGGAGCCAATGGCAAAGCAACTGGGAAAAATCTGATATAAAAAAAGGAAACAAGAGATCGAGGAAATATAATGTGAGAACAAAACTTGAGCCAAAAAAGAAAAGAAAACAGAATATAGATCATATACATGTAAGTTTTATTAATATGTTGTGTATACTTTCATGTAGTTTCCTCCAACTGCTCTCAGTATTACAAAACCTCATTATGGATGAGCTTCAAATTCATTCAGTTAATATTTCTGCAAGCTTAGCATACTACAGGGGTGGTAAAAAACACACTGCAACCCATACTTCCACTAATCAGAGACCTACACTATTGATATATTTGGATAGGACATGTTGTTAGAAAGAAAATGATACCAAGTTCTCCCGATTTGGTCCAGTCGTTTTAATTCCAGCGTCATTTTTGTGAACCGAAGTCAGGGGCACTAATAAGCCATTTGCGTGTTAAATTTGAATAAAATCTGGAACGCTGACTTAATACGATGCTTTGCACGTTTTAACCTAGCAAAAGTAGCATTCTCCCGACCAAAGAGACTGTTACTATATCACGTGATGCGGGGCAAGCCTTATGCTAGCAACCCCCAGCTCCGGCATGGTCTGGTGTCTTTGTGCCATTCTCACCCATTGTGAACGATGTATTGGTGCTGAGCGTCTCTTACGTAACTATGCAAGAGCTTGCCCCGAATCATGTGATTAGCAGCAGTGTCTTTGGTCTGGAGAATTCACAGTTAAAATGTGCCAAGCATTCTGAGCAAGTCATTGTACCAGACGTTTTTCAAATGTAAATCCCAAAGGGTATAGGTTACTCGCAAATGGCTTATTAAGATTATTGCACACAGTGAACGAAAGGATTATCTTAACGAAATAAAATAAACTTAATTTGCAAACTGAACATCATGTACATGTATGTAGCCTACATTATCAGGGTTCCCACGGTCATGGAAAATCATGGAAAGTCATGGAAAAAAAGTTGCCCTGGAAATTCATGGAAAATTGGAAAAATAAAAAAGGCATGGAAAAGTCATGGCACTCAAGATCATGTAAGGGTTATTATTGACGGGCCGCTTTAAGGATGGCTGTTGGGGGAGGAGGAGGCCATTTAATATTAATTAAAATTTATTTTCAAAAGCTAACAAAAGGTTAACATCAGCGGTTTATCAGTACCATAATTATGGTATGCATAATACCAAACAAATATTCTCTGCAAAATGGCGTTAAATGTCATGGAATTGTCATATTTTAGTCCTGGAAAGTCCTGGAAAAGTCATGGCATTTGGTTCTCAGATTTCCGTGGGAACCTGATTATAGAAGTATGGCACATTTTGGCTTTTCCGCTGCTGACTCGGCTAAGACTGGGCCGAACATAACAAACAAACTTAACAAAACATGTACAGCACATTTTGGCTCTTCCCTACCCATTTCCCGGTGTCCATTATTTCAAACAGTACATACTGAATCATCACATGTCCATTGTCATCCAAGACCAAATAACCGCTGACTTTGGTTCACAAATATGGCGCTGGAATCAAAACTAAATCGGGAGTTCTTGGTATCATTTTACTTCTAACAAAATGTCCTAGCCATACATATACATATCAATGGTTTAGGTCCCTGGATATTGGAAGTAGGCCTATGAGGCTGCGGTTTTTGTTTGTTGGACCACCCCGTATATCATTCCAAAAAAAAGAGGAAACACACTGATCCAAGTAGACCTAATAGGTAACAGCTATTTTAGAGGGCAATGCGTTTGTTTTGCTGGGATATTATATGAGTGAACTTTTGCCTATTCATTGTTACTGAATTAAAATAACAAAAGATGCCCTCTCAGATGGCCGCTCTACATAAGGTCTATACGTTAATTTGTAATTTACGGTTTCATTTACATGATGTGATGTTACGCCATGAGTGTGATATTCATACTAACGGTGTGTACGTGTATATTAACTTCCAATAAAACTAGAATCAAATGCAAAAGTGAAATACATTGGCCATTTTGTAAGGTTCTTAGGTTCTGAACATTATCTCTTCGAGTCTTTGAGAGCGAACTGTTATTGCGACTCTAAAATAATTCATGATTCAAAAGCTTAAGTCGGTCTGCAGAATTTTAGTAATTTCAGACCAGTCGGGGAATTGTGACAAAAAGGGGGAAAAAGACTGCTGTACTGTTTCCGTCGTGGTATATCCACGTTTAAGACCCAATTTGTTTTATAGGCCTAAGGCTAATTAACCTTAACATGATCCTGAATTTTCCAATTTTAATATATTTCACCTAACACGAACCTACATATAGGGGGTTAGGATTAAAGAGTTCACTGTACAGAAATGAAGTACATGTAACATGGTTTTGGTCGTAACAACACTCCAGCATTTTCACTGGACCCATGGATCGCGGGTTTCAACAGGGCTTGTTACATGCACCACCCTTATAATAATGTACAGTTTTTCTGAAAGTAACATAAGATGAACCATTATTTCGAGATGATCTCAACTCTCCAATTAAATTTGTTGGTCGATTTCAGTTCCTGTTGTGTATATATCTGTCCAAACTTGATGATCAAAATCTGGTGTCTTCTCTATGCAGCGCCTTGTCGTTAATGTAGCTGTTTTTTGACTTGTCGATATTGAACCAGATGATCATAACCCCACTCATCGTACCAACGGCAGCTACCATGGTCATACTCGTCACATGATACGTAAGGCTGTAGCTCCTGACGCACTGGTAGATCCGGCTCTGATGATGGCCTCTTACCCAACATGTAGAAATTCTGGTAATAGTACCTGAAGAAATAAAAATATTAGATAGCAACAAATGGCTGTTTAATGTTGCCAGTAGTGGAACGTCCCTTCCCGGTACAGCTTTTTTCCCCAGGAATGGTCTGTTGTCGCGATTCTAAGAAAAGGAAAAGTGCCAGAACTTTTGGCCCCATGCCTGACTCCCATGGCCCCATGCTTGACTTCTATGGCCCTATGGCCCTATTATATGGTCCCATGCAGTAAAAATCGAAAATATTGAAACCTATGTTTGTTTCTCTTTTACTAGTACCTTCTAAATGTGTTCAGGCTGTACGTATTACCATATTAAAGGGTGTTTTAAGACTTTTTATGCCAAGTTCCAATGAGACCAACTGTTTTATAGAGTTTTGTTTTGGCAGGAGCTTCAACGTTAAAGCTGTCTGATGAGCATTAATATTTTATGCGGAATGTTGTTGATTTCAGAGTGTTTCCTTGTACTCATGAGTTCTTATAATATTACATGACGGTCAAGAGCAACTTTTATGAACTTTTTTTTCATTAAACGTATACCTTTCAAATTTAGGGTCAAACAGTAACGAAACGAGGCTATATCCAATATTTTCATACAGTTCGAGGTGTGGATATCTGGAGAAAAAAATGGTGTGAAATGTATTTCATCATATCGGCTCCTTTTAATGAACTTAGAAAGCAATCTTAAACGTCTTCTTTTTAAACGTCTTCCTGTTCTCCTTCCTCGCGTCTGAATTGAACTTCTGAGAAAATCCTTTAATCATTAATTAAGGACGTTTGAGACTTTAGATTTACCATCTTTGCAGAATGATCTTGTGGCCTTTGATGACTGGCTTTGCTGCATGGATTGAGTAAGGATCACATGTACCGTCAATGTCCTCGTTATTCCAAGTAATTGCTCGTCCTTTACGTGGTCTGACACTGATGCCCAACTCTGTATCAAGCAGAAACTGAGTAGTAGACCTTATATTGGCTTAATAGCTTAGGATCCAGGGTCCATTTTCGTATATTCAAATCTTTTCACTCGTATTTTAAGTTTAATTGAAACTTTCTTCAACTTTATTCATTTAAATTGCATGGCACGAATGCTACTACATAATGACGCCTTTTGATACGCGCGTTTCAGTACAATTGCGTAGTTTAGCCTAAGGCCTGTATTTTACAACAGGCAAATAACGTTGCTATAGTCTAAGAGCGGAGAAAATGGAAAGGCGGCAAAATTAATTTGTAGTCCTTCTGGCTAAACCCGGGGCGCGACACCATTATAACGTAAAGATATGAATTACATGTAACCCCTACCGCAGACTGCCCCACCAACAAATTTCGTTGGAAGTGTCATTTTATGAAGTGACTAAATATCCGGTTACGTCTCTATAGTCCGAGGTCCCATTGGTCCAAAGTCCTATTGTCCGACGTCCCATTGGGCCGACGTCCCATTGGTCCGAAGTCCCATTGGTCCGAAGTCCCATTGGTCCGACCGTAACATAATACTGTGTAGTTCCACTGGTTCAGGTTGACTGAACCTAACCCTAACCTTAACCCTAAACCTAATCCTAAGGGGCGTCGAACCAATTGACTTCGGACAAATATGGGACTTTGGACCAACAGGACGTCGGACTAATAGGACGTCGGACCAATGGGACTTCGGACTATAGAGACGCCCCCAAATGTCCAAACCGGGGCAAAATTTAAGTGACAATCACTCCAACATGCATGGATGGGGCACCGTAAACTGGTTGCCCATCAATATCAGGCTAATACGTCAATGGTAAACATTTTCGTGAATGGCCAAAATCCCCACCCTGACGTGACCAAACCTCAACATCAGACCTGGGGACGCGTTTTTGGGCGGAATCGCTCAAACCCATTGATCCTGAAGCTGACGCGGTAGATGCGTTTTTATTACCTTATAATAATTTTCGTTTCTGCTTTTCCTCTGTTAAGCTTGACCAGGGGAGTGTATTTCAGAAGGCTTGCGTGTAATGTAATCACAACTTTGGCCAACGTACCTAGCACTGGTTTCCGAGAGTTATAATATTATGTTGAGTGCTCATGCATACCCGTGAATACGAATCCACAACGAACTCCCGCACATTTTGTTTGAAGAGGAACTGTCAAAGTATCGTTTTACTTGGCTCTAAATATCCATTTTGGTCTCAAAGTTACAACATAATGTTGACTAGAGTCCTAAAAAATGATATACAACGAAGTGTGATGGGTACTCAACGAAATCGTTATGAAAAAGCGAAGGAGCTCCTACCACAAAATACCCCAGTCGTGATCGGGTCATTAATCTGTGCGCACTTCTGCGATTGACATCAACAACCGTATTTGGATGCAGCAGGCTCTGATACCCAAGGTAGGAATATAATCACAACAAACAAAGTGGTATAGTGCAGCGCCTCTCGTGATTATTGCTGTTAAAAGCGCCGCTTGACCAAAAAGCCTCACCTGGAAATTCAGTCTGACCACCTTCCTCAACATCTTGCAAATATACAAGGATCGTGCCCATACGGTCTCGCAGGTCTCTGTTTCCGATAGTACAGTCCGTGTGAGTTTTGTAACCTGAATGAAACACACACAAACACGTGGAACTGTGATGATTCAATGTGTAATTTAGTTGTCTCACACACAAAAATTTAAGGAAATTTAAAATGTGGAAACAAAACGCGGTCATTAATACCAAAAAACAAAGCGAAAACATTCTGTCCTGACCCCCACTGCTCCTGAACGGTTTGTATCCAATTCCTCTGACAAAATAAGTGGTAGCCCCCTTTTCTTTCGGAAATGAAATCAACTACTTCTAACCCGCGATCCAAAAAGGCTTGTCGAGAATCACCCGTTATCACAACGGAGCCCTCTCCGTATCCAACGTCTGAAATATCTGTGCAAATGTAAATATTAGGCGATATATACACTGGATTCGGACAGAAACAATTAACGTTGCTTGGAGTACTACCTAAAATGGAACACCCAGGTTCAAGAAGTGACTTCTATGGGTAGCAGATGCCTTCACATTCTTAGTAGCTAAAACAAGTTTGGTGTTCCCAGAAAAGATCTTTTAGCAATCTTTACCACATTATTTTCGGCCCATTTTTTTTTAATATGCTGCACCTGTGTGGCACTTGATCTGTCTAACTTCAAACCAAACTTCAAGTATCGAAGCAATACAAAAAAGGCCTTCAGAATCATCTTGGAACATGATTATTCAAACTCTGTCTAAATTTAATGTGAAGACCTTGGCTCGCAGGAGGGAAGACCTTTGTTTACAATTTGCCAAATCTTGTGTTGTTTCTGAGCGTTTTAAGAGCTGATTTTCTAGAAATAAGAATACTTGGCACAAAACGGCGTTTTATTGAACGTACCCTAAGTCCGAGTTGAAAGACACGGCAAAAGCTGTATCCCGTATCTAACTAAATTCGTTACCTGTTTTTTCCCCTAATGTATCCTATATCGTGTATATGAAATTTTCACTTGATAAAACCTTTTTTAAAGCTCACTCTCCTATAATTTTATCTGGTATAGCTTTTTTTTATTAAGAAGTAGGGTTTCGCTAGTACAGGGGTGGGTCTTTACCATTAGTTTATGTATTATATCTAATAAGGCACAGTATATATTTTTATGTTCCTTTTATGACAACTGTGATTTACACCGTTATTTTAACTGTTTTAAATCATTATATATTTAAAAGGTTTAAAATGTGCGGGAAAACCTATAGTAAAAAAATACGTGCAAGAATCATACCTATCCCATTCCTATAGGATGTGATTTGGTATTTGCCGCCGTTAGATGGCTTGAGTTCTGTCGCTCTGTACACACGTTCATCAAATATGGATGTGAACTTGGTTTCTCCGGGGTAGAAAGCAGTGCTCGTGGACCAGCCGAGGATGGATTTCAAGTCTTTAGAAAAACTGGCATTCACACAGGTGGTTCCTTAGGGATAATAAAAGAGAGAAAATCTTCTGTAGTGCCATTGTTGAAGTGGATGAATCAGTCCTTGTCTGTTTTTTCTTTGGTAAAAAATATTCAGTTCTGTGTAGGCCTAAGCCCCTTGTGGGGCACAGATACATTTGTTCAAAAGACGTTTCAATTTTTTTTGTCTAGAAGTCTCAGTTTTGACCGAGCGACCCTGTTATTGAATACACAATTTTGTCTGGAACATGGTGATCATGTGATCAGCATGTATACCTAGAGACCTCGGAATAATCCGGCCAGTACGTGATTTTTCTGATAAATTTGGGTAAGTTCATGCGCACACCAAGTCCGCACAATTAACTCTTGAAAACTTGGCCAATAAACTACAGTTGGTATACAAACTTCACAGCGTAACTTCACTGCGACCTCAGATGAATACGGGCTAAGCACACAGTCATTGACGTGACTACGGGGGAGCTACCCCGGCGAAGCGGATGTCTGCCCCTGGGTGCCCCTCCCCCGTTTAAAATCTTGAATTGAACACTTGAAACATATCATTTGCCTTCAGTGCCCCCCTTGAAAAATGTATGCCCCCAGGTGCCCCCCCCCCCCAGTTTAACCCACAGCGCAGAAGCAATGAACGGAGGTAATGCCTCACCGGTAATAAGCTTAGTTAATATTATTTGTTCCATGAGCTATGAAATCACGAAATGTCCTTTACAATGAACAAAACTATAGAAACGAGCATTCGCAATTTGCTGCCATCTATTTTAACGGGTACGGGTGCGATTCTTTTTCAATCAGATCAAAGTTATTTTCGCCGACCTGCTTTTAGAGAATTAAAATCCAAGGTCATTGGTGATGAGCTACTATACTTTGCGCCAACTACATTTCGACACTTTTGTGAAAGTAGGGGTCGCCATACAGTGCCTGGCATAGAATGGTAGGCCCATTCGAGCAATGTCGTCGTCGTAGGTCACCGCAAACATCGTCATTGTCATTTCATTGTTATTACACAGGCCTTAATATGTGAAAATCATTCCAAACCTAAAAATCATCAGCAACCGGTACGATCGTTATCATTCATAATTAGACCATAATCGTTTGGATGCAGCATGCATGGTGCGTGACCAATCATTAATTGATATCGCCTACCTTCCGTAAAATCTTCGCTTGTGATTTTCATGTTTTTGAATTGTGTGTTTCGTAGGTGTCTTCTCAGCGTGTCCACAGAGTCGAAGCAGATGATGGGATCCTCCGAATGCACCGACACATGGCGGAGGTGAGCCCTCATCAAACCGTCACATTCCTGATCCGACAAGAAGTGTTCGAATTGGTACACTCTGTGGAAAAAAAATGTGAGTTGAACATAACAATACACATCTACTGCAGCCAGAATAAGCTCTGATCTCAATGTCAAGCCCTTTTAAACATTAACTTTCTATTTCAGTAAACGAAAGTGATGAAAAGTGTTATCTGCATGGTACACGGCAGTCGGTCGTTTCAATAAGAAATAAATAAATGGCACTGCAGATGCCAGAGTTGCTGACTCGAGTCATGTGACTTGGACTCTTGCTTCATATGGCTATTGATAATTGAATCTAAATAACTTCTAGCCTCTAGTACTTGAAAATCTGCCCTAGACCGAATGTATATTTTCCCTTATTCTAGATCGGGCATGTCTGCATGTAAAGGCTCCATATAATATGGTAACAATACAAATGTAGGCCTACATGTGAATGGGTGCGTGCGGGTCAAAGGTTTTGGAAGTGGCTTGTTTTAACCATCACATCTCAAGGTGTTTATAAATGCAGTTTATAGATGCAGCGAGAAAGTTTCATTCCAGAAAATAGACCTCAGTGACTGAATCCAGTAAAATGAATAGTTCCCACTAGTTTCAAAAGTTTTCAATAAGACTGTCACAACAAACTACAGTTTTCAATGACCAAGTCTCTTGCTTAATGTAATGGTTGAACAAACTTTGAAAGGAACCTTTCATGAAAAGAAAGCAGGCCTTTGTCAATTGCATGTAAAATACCGGATAGCCTAACCCATCGGTAGGCGTTTAGTATACATGAAAATTGAACAATAAAGTGTTAGTATACTACATGTAATCGAGTGAGTGAAGTCTTTTTTTCATGTCATCTCAACATTTATTTCTACAATGTAAAGTAAATTTATTAAAGTATACAAAGGGCTAATATCCGACAGATATGTGATAAACTACAAGTAATTGCAACACATTGAAAAAGGGGAATGAAGGAGGCATGTTTAAAATAACTCGTAAGTTGACGCCAGGTTCTTTTAGCTTATTACAGCTGGACAAAATAATGTGCAACTTGACGTGTTCTTGTGACTTTACTTGTGTTTAGACCAAATGACTTGTGACTTGACTTGTGACTGGACCTAATGACTTGTGACTTGACTTGTGACTGGACCTAATGACTTGTGACTTGACTTGGACTTGCAAGCAATGACTTGTGACTTGACTTGGACTTGCAAAAAATGACTTGCTGCCACCTCAGATGCAATTCTTAAAAGGTGGTAACGATCGAGTTCTGAAAAGAAAACGTGTAATCTCAAAGAATGAGACAAAATGATACAATTAACATCCGGGTTTGATATTTGCAGGACGTGTTATTAATATTGCCAGCTAAGTTATAAGTTTGTAAACGAACAAAGCATGCATGGACAGCCAAAATAATGTTTGTGTCTGTATATTGCAAATTTTTGTGTGTGTGCGTGTGTGTGCTATTACAATTATATATTAAAAAAAGAAATACAAATAACTCAACTGGCATTTCCATCTGTTCAGCCTATGGTTGCTCAAGTTAAAATTATGATTCACCGTTTGGCAGTTTCTATTTTAGAAAACGAAAGTGATAGAGAAAGTGTTATCTGCATGGTGCATGGCCATCAGTCGTTCCAGTCTGAAATATATATACAGTCGAGTCTCGTTAATACAAACTCGTTCGGACCTAGCCAAATTGTTTGTTATATCAGAATTTTGTATTAAGAGGAACATCAGTCACATTCATTCATTGTGCACATAAATGCACAGTCGGGACTAAGACTCTATGTTTGTTATAACCAGAATTTTGTATTTACAGAGTTTGTACTAACGAGATTCGACTTTACTGCAGATGCAATTCCTAAGAGGCGGTGATGAGTTCTGAATAGGAGAACAAGTAATCTTGACACAAAATGATACAAAATACGACATACAACACGTGACTAACCGAATAGATGCTTTTTCTGGTCGTTTTTTACTGCCTATCAACTCCTGAACCTTCACAAGCCTTCCGTCTACGGTGATATCCCGAGGTTTCAGCTGCTTCAAGATCGTTTCCTGGAATTCTTTCGGATGGTTGTGAGCGGAGGATTGTTTTAAGCCATTTGTTCTGTGTTCTGTCTCCTTTATTTCAGATGTGCCGACATTCTTGTCTGCCTTTTCAGGTAAGCTGTGCGATTCTTTTTGGTCTGGTCGTTTTAGTAGGCTTATCTCCGCATCATCAGTAGTGATGTGAACATTGCTATCGGGACCTGCACGCATTATCACAGCAATGCCAAGCGTCACTACAGTACCGGTAGCTAGTATTACAAAAATTAACGCGCACTGATAATTCGAGTGATTTTTACCCGATACTTCCGGACGCTCATCGCTGTGCTGTTGCGACGACGAAGAATTTCGCTTTGGCTTCACATTTTTTCGGTGTTTTGCTGGAGTTTTTGCCATGATCACCTGTAACAAATCACCGTCTGCTTATGCTGGATAAAAGAATATCGGACGGTATAACGTCAGCAAAACCAAACACGGCACTTTGACCTCTGTAAATTCGTTTGCCCACATGAGGCTCAGCTTGTCGTGTTTTATCTTTCGCCTTTTATTGAACTTTGATCAGTACTCCGGGTAGTCTGCGTATCAGACATTCACGTGTGCAGAGCCCAACGAATATAATTTGGTATATAATAATTAATTTATTATATAGCACGCTGCTGTATTATAGCATGTAAATTGTATGCGACCCTCCGCGTACCAGCCAATCGGGGTTGACTTTAAAACTGTGGACTAAGATTTGTCAATTTGGTTGCCATGGTTTCGTAAAACAAGAACGGTTTCGGAAAGAACCGAAAGAAGGCCCCCGCTAAATGGTCTTAAACTATTTTTTGTGATGTCACACTATTGTTAAAATTTTTGATTATTTTCACAAATCTAGAATCATAACGAATCTACAGTTAACTGTAGATTCGTATAACGAACCATATAATTCTATCATGCAAGTCTCGTCAGATATATCAGATAACTGCATAACGTACAGCGATACGACGTTGCTGTCTCATTTTCGTCGATATGTGGTCTCCAAGTTGTAACAGGAATTGTGCTGCTTGGGAAGCAATTTCTTTATCACTCAACGAGCTAGAAGATTTGAAGGTATTTTGTGTCAACAAAAATTTAGCACTGTCAGACAGATCTTACTACGGTTGACTTGCTTTTGGCAGTGAGATATGAATCTTACTACACCGACGCCTTCCATTCATTGTACATTGACTATTATGTACGCAAAAGTAATTTTACGAACCTACACTTATTCAAAAACACGGAGAGTGTGGTGACGTATATGGGATTCATTTGAACAAACTTTTTTTTGTTGTTTTGAGAAAAATATAGCTTATAAGTCATGCAGAGAATAGAATTGGAACCGTAGATCCGTGCAAGAATGGACTAAGCGAACTCTTTGTTTATACGAATCTACGCGGGGACCTCGTCCATTCTACATAACAGAATCTCGCCGTCAAGACAAAGTCTTGTTCAAGCGCCTAATTCGGAACGCCTTATCTTCGCTTACATATAGATCGACGCTAATTGTATGCAAGCTGCTATTGAATGACTACAATCGGCATCGAGTTTATCCTTCTAAAGTACTAATATAAAGAATACTCCTAGTAAACATGCATTTACAGAATTTATATTCATTTTATAGTCAGTATGACGTTGTCCACTGCAATGTGGTTTGCATGGGTATATACATGTACCTGATAAGTTGTACCCAAAGGGTGTACACAATTCATGCACCACACTCTTTTAATATAGATTTTCCCGACCTCCTGAAATATTCATTTACTTCTGAAAATGGGTCATTCCTTTTTGTCTGAATTTGAATGCACGTCTTTAATCCATTTCAATTCAACGAAAGTTTGTTCGTTTTCAGTATCTGCTACTCAATTTTAGTGATTGAACTAAAATGGAATTGAATGCTCTGGAAGCGAAATGAAACGCGTGTTCAGAGCGATTCTCAATTTCAGACGAAAATTAATGACGGATTTTCAGAAGTCAATGAACCTTTTAGGAAATTGGCTTGGAAAACCTATAAAAAAAACTTTTGAATCTAGACTCCGCGCATGTTTTTGAATTGAATTGAACTTTGGGGAAAAAAATATGAATTGAATTGATTTGAATTGAACTGTATATGCGAAATACTGGGGGCTATACCATCATCAGTTAATAACATTTTTTTCGCATTGTCAAGACGCAAATGTGGCCAAAATTAAAACTCTCACTCGTCAGGCAGTAGAAGCACAATATCACGCGCTGTAGACGCAAGGCTATAGTGGACCCCCCCCCCCCATAACAATACAATTTATGCAAGCACACGCATTGCCTATTACATGTATTATGGCGCATGAGGCGCGCGGAGTTCAGTGCATTTTTGCATGGGAGCACGATAATTTTGGTCGTTATGTTAACAATTTTTATTATCGCGTTTAATTTTATCGTGGAGGCAGATATGCTGTTGGCAAAATGTATGTGCGCCGCATATGATTAACCCGGCGCACTGATATGTCACACGTATGCAATTACAGGCATTGTTATGAACCACTCCGTTATCGATCCGTAATGTAATTACTGGCCTGTAATGCAACACGGCAAGGCATCTCGCCCATGCTATGTGGTGCACAGACCGGTAATGTAATAAACCATTTACACCGGATACCGAAACCGACCTGCAGTGTAATAACATACACGCCGCCTGCCGGTAATGTAAAAACCTATGCTCTCGTGGATTGAGCATGCAATGTGGGGAGTGCATGATCATTGAACGCAACGCACGGACCACAAACCTGTGCCGTCAACCGTAAGGACAAGGCCTGGCAGACAGCACCCATGGTATGTGCATGTACTACGAAAGCTCTCCATCTAGGATTGCATTGACAACCCGGCAGAGCAACTTGAAAGAACGCTGACTTGTCAGAATAACCAGAGAAGATTTTACAGACCTGCATGACCTGTAACAGCGAAGACTGCGAACTTAGTACAGTAGGCCTACATCTGCTTAAGTGAGGAAGGTAAACCATAATCAAATTAGGTTTTGCCCTTCACCGACGTTAGAACACTGTATACTCAGTGTGTTACCTCCCGAGTGAAAGTTGGAAAAAATCACTCGGGTGGGACTCGAACCCACGACCTCCTGCTTTCTAGTGCAGATGTCTTACCACTCGACCACCGAGCTAACGGGATCGGCTGAAGGGCAAAACCTAATTTGATTTATATCACCCCGACGCAAACATTCCATCTTATAATAGTAAACCATAATGTTATGTAATGGCGTTTCTATGTCATGACTGGGTATTGTCAGAGCCTAGTGTGAGATATTATATTATGAGCATTCTGAGTTTCGATCCGCATAAAAGTCAAAGTCTTCCATAAATATTGTGTATTATCTGTCAATTTCGATCACCAGCGTATGCATAAATGACAAACCACAGCATGCAGGAATTTGTTTAGCCAATACAAGTCTGCGTTGTAATTTTTGCGGGACCACATCATATTCACGTTGGGACTTTGTTTTCCTGAGCTGAACTTTTCAATCCTCGCCAACCCAAAAAGGATATATTAAAAGCATGCAATCTACTGCGATAATATTTGTTACATTATCTGTTAAGACCGATAATGTAACAACAATCGACTGATAGTGTAGTACATTTTTACTACACTATCGGTCAATTTCTGTTACATTAGCTTTAGATGCAACAGACAAAGAGGCCAAAATGATGTCACTGTTCAAATTTTATCATGATATTTTTGGGTAAAAAAAGAGGAAATCTTGCGCTTCCTTTTTTATTTTAAGCAGACACGCATAGCCCGAAATTCGCACGACTTCAGCTTTCGCTCACATAATCGGTGCGAAGGTCGCAGAAATATGTGCACTGCTATTTTATGCATTAACATAAAAAAATGAGCGCCCGGCATCTCCAAAATCTTCATTTGTATTCATGCGTAAATGTCCAATTTTAACAATTTAGTGCAAGACAGCTACCGGTCCCCATATTTTATTGGTGAGAGCCGGTCCATTTTGTGGAAAGGATGGTTTAGTCAAAGAATTGAACTTGCTGTTCAATCTCAAGCCTTCCTGTGGCATATGGCACTTTTTGTGTTTTCTTTTCTCTTATTCTTAATTACAAAACAAAATTGTAGGCAATTATATCCGGTTGCCCGCAGTAGCGCGGAGTATAAAACGGGCTATTCAAAGTGCGCCCTCTACCCTTTTAATCAACTTTATTCATTTGCGCACGTTAGAGATCGTGCTATCGATAGGCCTGGAGCTGTAGACACAAAGCTTACAGTTTTGCAATGTCGATGCACTGCAAAAACTGCAGTGTTAAATTTACACCATTGGTATCTATATAGGACCATTTTGGTGTTAAATTTTACTGGTGTTGTACTATATAGAAACCGAATGGTGTTAAATTAACACTACAGTTTTTGCAGTGTGGAAATTATTCACATTCGTTTTAGAGCATGTATTACTGCAACCAGCCTTGAAGTTATCAAAACGGAATTGAAGTTCTTCAAAGTCCATGGTCCAGTCTGTTCCAACCTCCTGTTTCCTCTTGATTACAGATGCTGAACATGAAGTTTGTGCTAGCTGTTCTTCTTCTTGGCATTTCAGTCGTCACGGTGTTTGGCGTTGGCAGGCGTGCGATGAAAGCAGAAACATACGAGGTAATCGTCGCATTACTGAAAGGGACATTCGTTGTTCCAGTACGTGACAGGACCAAGGCAGAGAGGACAGCACTTGTTCGCTTCTGGAGAAACCGAGAAAAGTTCAGTCTTGCAGAAGATGGGCACACGTTGCTATTTGATGGTAAAAGAGTTGTGAAAGAATGCGATCTCGAAAGCATCGTCAAACAGGGCGTGGCAGCCACAGGAGGAGGTGGAGCAAGAAAGCTGAATATCAAGCTCCGTTCTGTTTACACGGGACTGAGCAGGACAAATGTTCAAAAATATATTGGCAAGTCCAACAAGTATCGGCCTCTTAAAGCAAGGCTCCACGACAGGGCAACCTTCCGGCCCATCACAGCGAAAGAAGTTCATGCTCGCCACCAGATCGATCTTATCGACCTCACAAAGTGGGCTGTGGAATATAAAGGCGTCTCTTATGGCTTTGTTCTTATGGTAGTTGACGTGTTCAGTCAGTATACTTGGCTTCGTGCCGTAGAAATGAGGGATTCTTCGATTATCGCAGAGCACTTGACGATGATCTACCTAGAACACGGGCCGCCACGAGTTATAGAGCACGAAGGGAGCTTCGAATTCCACCAAGCTGTTGAGCAGCTTATGGAAAGTCTGCAGGTAAAAGTAATGATAAGTTCCCCCTATTACCCCCAATCCCAGGGAAAAGTGGAACGTTCCCAAAGAATACAACAGATCATGTGTGATTTGATCGACTGTAAGAAACAGGGAGTAAATTGGGTAAACCAGTTACCTTTTTACGCGGCAACAATAAACGAATTTTCCAAGGAAAAACTGACATGTAGTTCGCCATTCAGAGTTTACTATAGTCGGAAAAACAACCGTGTTGGGAATCCGATTCTAGTCAATTCTGAAAACAGCTGCGGGGATTACGAAAGGAGAGACCATTTCAAGTACTTCATAGCATACGATCATAGTGATCATCTTGATGCATTACAAACACAGGGACTGACGATCGTCTATGATCCACAACCAGATGGTAACTGCCAGTTTGATGCTTTGGCAAATCAACTACAAAATATCGGGATACAACTCTGTGCAAGAGCTTTGCGCACTGAAATTGTCAGAGACTTGAGAATGAACCCGACAACAATCGGTGGTATCTCTCTGGAGGAATATGTGCCTGATAACGACTTAAACGCTTACCTTGAGCAAATGGATAGGGATGGAACACACGGTGACCATTTAACCCTTCAAAGGGCAGCTCGGATATACAATGTTAATATAGTTGTATTCTCGAGCCTTGGTCCGCACGCCTCCAACATTCTGTCTCCCTCTGGAAGTGTTGACAGAGACCGTCCTATTGTCATGCTTGGTCATATGGCAGAGGATCAAGGTGAACATTACCTGAGTGTTCAGCCGGCGAACACCTCAGTTTTTGACTTCGTTCTCCCCGATGCTTCCACAGCAAACAACCACACAGAAGAGGACCTGTCGTTAAGTGTGCCACATGTCGTGCCAGTCGCTGTTTCTTACGATCCCATGGATGCGAACGAAGCAGACATCCTTCTCCCAGATGAAAACAATCAAGCACCATTGTCTCAGCGGAACATTGACTACAACGGCAATAATTCTTTACCGAGGGAGATAATTCAAAAGATCATCCTACTGACCTTGAAGTCTGACTATTCCATGCTTGGAACGTTCAATAGGGTATCGCTCATGTTCAGAGAACTCGCCAGTTTCTTTCATCCTCAAGTTTATCTTGACAACAGAATCATTGATGATCTAAACTTGCGAGATGCCATCGAGGTTGAAATTAGTGTGCAAAGGATAATAAGCTACGCCGGTGCAAGCAGCAGGCTTGCTCTTCGTCTGGGAGAACTTTTCTCCGCAAATCCAATGTGGTTTGACGCATGGTTAATTGTATCTGTATTGAACTATCGCCGTTTTGTTATCTCGGACATATTTTGGAAGTGAATACTTCCGATTTGCATTTTTATTTACTTTGAGTTGGTATACTACATATGTATGAACGCTAGGATAAGTGTTTTTAATGGGTGTACCATGGAAAGAACTTAAACGTGATTTCGGTTCTTCAAACTTACTTTGTCCCAACGTTGTTTATTTGTCAATGTTACTGCAGTCTTGGTTTGTTGTATAAACCATGTTCAGGTGAAAATTCCACTTTAACTGGAAATTGGTGACTGGTTTGAACTGGTTTATTTGGTTTTGAATGGTTGAACTGGTTACAAGCCACTTGTACTAGTTCAAAAATGCAGTTGAAACCAGTCACCAATTCCCAGTTCAACTTTGCACGTTGAAACTAGTCGAAACCAGTTGAACTGGATTCAACTGGAATTTTCAACGGTGTTCATGTAAATGGCCTAAAAACTTTCCACTCGTAGCAATATTCCTCACTTATGTCTTCTAACCAAGAGAGTTCAGCAGTGCTCACATGACATTTTTTTTTGCATCTTTATTAGTAAAATATCTTCTGTGTAAATGGTGATACATTTCAAACTAAAATCGGTTTAGTCGCAATGATGCAAGTGATTCACGGCCGGTGTACAGGCTGAGCGTTTGTCTCGAAAGTGCATATTGTCGTATCTGTCATATATTATCATATCGTCATTCGTATGTATTTCATTGTTCATATGGAGCACCACAAAAGACAAATGCAAATTTGAAAGCCTCGTTAATAAACCAATCGTTTGCACGCGGAAAATAAATATACACTCGCCGAGTTCTGTGCCAAAAATATGCCCTGAAAAGTTCAGGGTCAGACCTGCAACTCTTCTGGCTCAAAACGACAATTTAATTGTCGTGCAAAAATTGACACTTAACTTTCACGGTCAAAATAACGAAACTTAGTGTCAAAATGACACATTTCCGGGTCAAAGGGCACGGCAAAAAAAAAGATTCAAAAGTCAAATCCGACCCGGATTCGTGTCGAATCCTCCCGGGACTTAAGATAGTGTTCATATCTGCGCGTACTTGTCTGCCCTCACTTGTCTACCTTTAGCCTCTGTTATAACAGCTGCAACACTCTATCGGCCAGGGGCAGGCTGAAACTTTGGTTGCTTTGCTGGCTTTGATTCCTTTATGGGGGCTGATTCCTTCCTAGAATTCTAGTCATGAATTCGAAACTGTTTTGCTTATTTCTGGTTTATATCATAATATAATAACACCTTTGCCAAGATACAGCTGAGAAGTGATTTTCAATAAAGATATTCGGTCCATGCATGCTCTTCAACGAGCTTCAGTTTTTCTGTCAATGAAGTTGTCCTTTGGTTCTTTTAATTATGGCGTCTGCCGTAAGCATTATTATCCCGTAGTACTCATGTTGAGTATGTGAATCACATGCGAGCAGGTAAAATGATCCAGAGTGCTACAACGTATCCTTTCAATTGTGATGAGAACCCACTGCTTACCATGACAGTGCTGACCCTATCGCACCACCTGGAACATATCATGCAGTCGTATATTGATTCTAACTGAAAACGATTTAAAAATCCGCCACTTCCTCCTCCCGTTATCTCTCCCCTCCGCCGCGCCCCTGGATTGGTAACACCACAACACGAGCAGCCTGCTTAGACAGCTCGGATAATGCCCAAGCATCCTCCCAAGGAGCGCATCTTGCCAACACAATTAACCCCCTAAGCCGGATGATCACCTTGCTCACTTGATTTGTCTGCATGAGTTGCCTTCTGTGGAGTGCCATATCCTTATTTGGAGATGCCACGGCTGCAATCAAACGCCGGTACAAGATATAATGTGGTATAAGCTATTACTGATGCACAAATTGAGTATGCTTCTTTATTAGAATATAAAACATTTGCTTTTTCTGTAATTTTCAAAAATGGATGGATTTGGGGTTAGTATTTTATAGCAAATAGTTAGAGTTTTGTGTTCGTAGATGCTGGAAAAACCAAGAAAAAGAATCAAGTTCCTGAAGTCTGTTTCCCTGACCCCACTTCAGATGAAACAGAGCAAGTTAGATGTAGGGGATGGTAAGGTTGGGAAATCAGTCCAGCTATCTTGTACCCTTTCGTGTGTAATCGATTGCAAACAAAATGCGGACTAACTAAATACAGAATGGTAAATTGGGGGCAGTTTTTGTAAAAAAGCCAGTTTTGGAAAATGAAAAAAAAATACCACTTTTCCTGACAATGACAGCATACCCGTTGCCATGAAAATTAGACGTCAATCGCTATAGCAGTTCAGTAAAAGTCGGTAGCGCGTGATACCCTACAGCCAGTACTAGAATAAAAAAAAACCCGGAAGCGAGCAGGGACAGTGGAAGTGGAACACCGCATGGGCGACCATGCAGTCACCGCTCCACATGTTCATGGACTCGCCGTCGGACAAATTAACCCTCCTGGACTCGGGAGTCTGTGCAGTTCTCATGAACCGCCTGATGACGGGAGTCGACCGATTTGCCTCCTGTATGCATCAGTGGCAGTTGAAGAAGATGCTGACAAATGGTTGCCCTGTATTATAAGCAACAACTCGATATAAGAAGTCCAGTTATTAAGGTACTTCATAATAATTTGGTACTTAAGCTTTTTTTTATGTTTGCAAATGTTGTATATTCCCATTTATTGTAGAACCATTTATTGTGAATGATTTGAAATTAACCTTATGCGTATAGGCATGGTTATCACTTGGGCACCCAACTTTGCAATTTTCGGTACGTATATATATATTTAGGTGGTGCCAAGTATAAAGTCGATCGGATTTACAAAAGTGCTTAAGTGTATGGGTAAAAAAAAACGTGTACAAGACCTATTGAGAGGAGTCTGAAAAACGAAAAAGGGGAAAGGGGGGGGGGGGGACGTTCCCGAAAACAATAGCTGTTTCGGAGTATGTACTCCAAAACAGCTAATGAATGATATCACTTTGTGAGTTGTAAAAGAACCAGTTTTTAAAGGGAACAAAGAAATTGTCTGGAGCGGGATTCAGTGTACCTGCGACCTCCAGATTGCCATTCTGGTGCTCTACCAACTGGTCCTACGTGGGCGGTTCCCCAATCAGTCAATGTCTTTGTTCAATAGGCGTTGGTCAGAAGTCATTTTTCCGTTGTGGTTTATTTTGAGAAAACAAAATAGCAAAACATTATCGCTAAATGGTTTCTCCAATGTTCTTAAATAACAAGGCCTGGAACATCTGTCTTTAACCGCGTCTGATTACATTGCGTTTATCGGGGAAAAAAGGAAATCCGGTTAGAGCCATCATCGATGCTTTGACCATTACTGATGAGTCGTCAACCAAACTCGAGCTCCGCTTACCAACAGGACAACCACTGAGGAAATGGGCTAGTGAGCGTCTTCCGATTGAGTTTCAAACACTATCAGTAACGTTTCATCGTTCTGTTTCAGGCGTGTATCGGGTAGTGGCCCGAAAGTATAGGCATTGGACGCTTTGTCTAATGCCGGCTACTTAAGCCACGATGGACTTGGCGAAGACTAAAATTTCGATGCTGAAGGGTAGTAAATAGGTAAATAAAACAGCTTCACACTTGGAAATCCATTCGGCGACAAATTTTGAAATCACCATAAGTAAAGGCCTGTAAGCCAGGATACTGTCTGAGAGCATGCAAAAGGGAAATTACAAGCCAAACTTGCTTGGATTGGCGTCGAACTTACGACCTCCAATCCCTCTCAACATGATTATCGATTTAAACATTGACCCATGACGTCACCTCACCACAGACACACCCTCTCCAATGATCCTCGTCGGGGATACCGATCTGATCCTCGAGGATCATGATCCTCCAGAAAACGAGGTCAAATGCGTGCTTAGACTGTACTTACAGGGGTGTGTTTCACTCCAATCCTCCAATCCGTAATTGTTCAATGCAATCCACTATTATGTTTATCCACCCTGAACCAGTCCATTACTGATCCAACTCCAAGTGCACCTCATAATGTAGGCAAACCTCTTTCACGCACCTCTTGTCTTATAATGTCTTGTCTTGTCTTTCGACTACTGCACAAAATAATTGCCTCTATGCAGTAGCCCATATCATGCATCACTATGAGTCTTATTTTTTCAACAGCTTGAGCACTTCAATGGGGCCACATCCTTTGCTTCCTTGGCGCTATTAAAGCGGGATCAGGAATGCATTCTATATACCAAACTTGAAAAGCTCTTGGGTATATAATGAATATCTATTATCTATGGCAGTCTTTCTTTGACCGGATAACTGCAAGTAGAGAGTTGTGTGTCTTACGAGTTGTCGGGTGATGTGTTGTTCTTGATGAGATGACGTCTATAATATGTGATGGGGGTGATGAGTCTCCTTGTAAATAATTATAAGTAGAGCCTTTTCCCGTTTGATTTCATTTGTAGTGATTCCAAATTCAGGTCGTGCAGTGTCGGTGACGCTGCTTGTACGCCGGTATAGTTACAGTCTTAACGAATCTTGCTGCCCTCCTTTTCCCCCTTAGACTTTCTGGTGAGGGTCCAAGAATGGGCTGCAATATTCAAGTCTTGGTCTGACGACGTGTTATTGGTGTTAGATGAGCAATTCCAGAGGCTCCGTTAAAATGTTGTTGTTGACAGTTTGGGTGGCGTGTCTACTCCAGGATAACTGCTAGACAGTATGCGTGCAACTAGGATGTTGATCAAATTTCGGGAGAAGAATTATGCATGTATAGTACTGATGTTGAGCAAAACCTTTGATGACGACGTGTAACGACAACCCCATCAACGACAGCCTCATACGGATACACCGACCCAATCCACAAGGTAGTCCACTTCTAGCCCACTCACCAGTGCCGCCGCACAAGGTATCTCCACAGCTATATCCACTAAATCTTACCAATCCGACCATACAAGGTTTTCCACTCCTCCGTCCCCCTGAATAAAATCACCTGGGCCCTTTGCAGAACACAAGGCCGGATCGACCCATCCCACATACCAATTTTTTTGGGGGAGGGGTCAAATTTTGTTTTGTTCTCCTAAAAAGTGGGTCCAATTCATTTGCGACGTCCCCCGTTGCATGCCCACCCCTCAGATCCACCGTTGCTGGAACACAGGACGTCTGAAGCTCAAGGGGCCTTAATTCAACCGCGACAGGCGACGGTTGTAATACGAATAAAAAGAAATAGAAATGCGCTACCAGAGTTGAGCTATTAAAAAATAACTTATATTTTTAAATTGTAAAACATAATTTATACTTGCAGACAGGTTTTTGGCATAGCAAGGTAATTGTTATTTGGGGGGGGGGGGTGGTTACACATTTATTGAAAAGGGCACTTGCACATCGTGCTAAATAGTAGACACTTTTTTTTCTCCGGACACTTGGCCTCCGTTATATCAACTATTAGGGGGGGGGGGGGAGGGGGAGGTATCATCTGTCGATGGAGGCGATGTTCAAACAAATGATTATACGCACACTAACGGACAATATGATGCTTTAAAAGGGCGATATTTGTCCGAAATAAAAAGCGGCAACCATATAACGGCCGATGGAGGGCACGACTTTTTTTAGGGCAATTATTTTGAACATAATTGTTAAGAAACGAAGGGCACTCTTTACAAAATAATATTGGGGGCCGGGGGAGAAGGGGAGCGTGAGCGCTGGTAAAAAAAAGGGCATTTCTAGTGAAAGGACAGTCTTTACAAATGGTTTTTTTTTTTTGGGGGGGGTAAATACCCCCTTACCTCCCCCCTGCTCTCCTTTGACATTCAAGTGTCTTTTTTCGCAAGTGTTTAACCTCCCCCAATATTTTAAATCGTGCTTTTTTTTGTAAAAAGTGCCTTTTTCGCGCGTGTGCCCATTAATATTGTCGGCAGTGTGTATGAACAGCGCCCTCAATGAAAGATGGACGAAGACCGCGATCGTTCGCGCAGCGATCAGTCGATCGCTTGATCGCGCAGCTCTTGTTACGCAGTCGTCGACATCTCTGGCGCAAGTATTTGCGCGATCGTCCGCGGTATACCAATGCTATATGCGCTTGCATGGCAATGGCTGCGCGATCGACCGATAGCTGCGCGAACGATAGATGTCACAGAGAATGACGCGATCTCATGATCGCGCAGACTTACCAATTGCGCCCAACATATTGCGTTATCCGGATGTAGGCAAGGCCACATCGATCACACACGCTACAAATGCGTGACGGCCATCATAGCTAGGAAACCAACTGCAAGGAAACCATTTCTCTAAATGTAAGGCTTTTAAAAGTTTTGATTACATGTAATGATGTATGATCTAAATATTGATTATAATGTGCCAAACACAAGAAACATTCCGTCACTGAACTGAAGCGAAGGCCGGTATATTTTAACACGAGCAGTGCCTGTTGATGTAAGAATTTCCATTCGTTTCAGATGGTTACACTTACAACTACATCCTGTTCGCAATGCAATGAGTGATGGTTTTGATAATGTGGCCTTTCAACGGGAATGGTCTGCTTCAATTCAATGTATGATCATCCACGAAAGGTATGTCCCATGTTCAGATTGATGGCTCTGCTTAAAAATAAAAGTGTCTCTAGAGTAGAAGCTAACACTAACACAGCCATGACAGCAACAACAGGACCGTGTCATAGGCCTACCCCGCCCTACTTGGGTCTTGTTACACAATACCCAAAGCTAGGCATATCAACGCGAACATGCTGTATACTCTACGAATAATATACAATCTAGGGCCGAAAAAATAGAGTCGAACTTTAGAGGAATAGAGCATCCGCTGTTAATTTTTACCCCAAGACCAAGACTGTGCCCACTGGTATTTCTTGACATACTCACGTTCTGTTCGCTTAAATTTAAGGGTTGAATCATGGAGGTAGGAATCGATCCCGATGGTGTGAAAAAAAATGATGAAAACAGTATCATTTCCGTACCAAAGCTACAGTTTGAGTTTTAACGTTTCAAAGTGTACGTGAAGCGTTGTTGGCGTGACGTCAGAGTCTTTTGGTCTGGGAACTGACCACAGACACCGTCTTTATAGTGCATATCGCAGGCGTCGTCAAACAGGCCAATCACAAGGCCTCGTACTTCCTAACTGCAGTTCCAGTTGGCTCCCAGTCGCGATGGTTTTATGATTTGTGTTGGGATGATGCAGCAATTTGTCCGCAGTTAGTTAAGCCAAGGTTGTTGATCTCTCTCGATTGCTGCCAAAAAATGAAATTTTACAACTGCCATTAGCAACTACCGGAACATTTATTATGGTCTGACTGACTGGGGCCGAGTTCGTTTAGACAGAAGGAACTATTGTTTACGGGCCATCAGAAGGTCATGTTATTTGCCCCTTACTTTGAATCTGAATTCTTTCTTTTTTAATTATAGAGTTAATAATGGACTCTTTTGTGAACCAGCCTCAATCAGGTCAAAACAAATAATAGTTCTGCATACATTGTAAAAGTGTGATTTGAGACTTGGGAAAAAATACAATTGTGTGGAGAAATTTTGTATTAAGAGAAGATCATTGTACATGTGGCAAATCTGCACATGTGTATTTGCTGCATGTACATGTATACATGTACATAGGATATTTTTGTGAACAGTAGGGAATTATTTCGTACATCATGGTTATTTGCTGTAGAGGTTGAGAGGTGCGTTGCCAAATATCCAGTTGTGTGCATTTGACATGAGGACCTTTGCTTTCTTTCATGAGTGCTCCATTTATGTACTTACCTGATCTGTACTTGGAAATAGAAAACAATTGGAAAGAATGTACATGTAGTATCCAGCTACTTCAGCGGCTGTGTGCTAAGTCTATGGGGAGTCAAGAACACTTTATATATATTTCCTAACAAAATTGGAAATGTTTCTCCGTTTCCGATTATGTCATTTCAACATATTTGCAATAAGTGACCTTTATTGAGATGATATATGAAGAAAAAAGTTGTGTCAGGTTGCAACATTCTTTCCAAACAATTTTACTGCTGGCAGTATACTAGATTTATGGTGCAAATTTGGATTACTACTTTTTTCCCAATACCTGTCTTGACTACAGGTGCAGGCCATGTGGGCTGAGCAGCAATAAGCCAACAGAACTGAAGAACCAACCCCAAGGCCTTCCACTAGGACCTGTTTATCGCTTGCACTACCCATCTCCACATGTGTAGTCGGAAAGATGGTGGATTCATCAGCCAGGTTCTGTTGTAAGTTTTCGTGTGGATTCAACCTGTAACAGCTACTTGGGAGAACATCAAGTTGAGACTGGCCACATTCATTCTGCTGTTGACAACTGTGCTGGGCAGATCATTGTTGTTCACTGTGTTGGATGTCGAAATTGGTGAGTGCTGAATTTACCTGATCCATAGAAGGACTGAACATAAATTTGTCAATTTCTTTAGTAGGTTTGTTGTCCCGTCCATCATGAGTCCTCAAGTCCTAATTCAAGTCCCAAGGTATTCAAATGAATTGAAACAAAGGCATTCCATTGTTGTTTTTCACCCCCTGTTACTTGTGACCTAGCTTGTGAAAGGACTTGTGGTTTAACTGCAACAGCCTCAACGCCATGGGGGTATGCACGTTCCTTCACTAACCCCTCGCCGTCAGGAATACGTACACAAGACTGATCGGCTATTCAGAGCGTGCTGCACGCATATTTCAAAGACTCCTGCACGTCACATTTAAATTACACAATTCCAGGGGTTAAGATCGCGCAAGGCATGATGGGAACCAACATGCAAGATCGTACCCATGGAAACAAGGCTGCTAATGACAGGTCTTGTGATGGACTCGACTACAGCTGTTTCTTACTTTGGTTTGACGTACATGTAGTTCATCACACAGGAGGTCAAGTGATTTGTGAAGCCTTTGAAAATCCATAGATGATTGCCTTTTCTTACCAATGAAGGTTGATTATTGTTAAGATTTGTGGATGTTTTGTTTTAATCATGTTCATATTAAGTATTTTTACAATTGTTGCATGTGACCTTTGAAACTGCTTGCGTGGTTTACATTTAACAATATGCCATTTATAATGACAGAGTTAGGGTGGAATAGAAAGATTGTGTGATAATGTGAGGAATACTATTTAGTATCATTCATTTACATGTACATTGTATGAACCGGTAAATTTCCTTTTTGATTTTTGCTAGAAAATGTAGGTTGCAAAATAAGGCCAAAAAAAACTTCTGCTTCTGATTACGTGGCATTTGAAAATAGGGTAGGTAGGTAGGGATTTTTGTTTTTTTTTCTAATTTTTTGTGTACGATCATATGGAGGCTTCTGGTTGTACATGTAATCAAGGGTAAAAGGTAGAAATTGATGGTTTTGGGTGTTTTTTTTGTAAAAAAATTTCCAATGAAAAAATTCGGGTAGGGCTCTCAGAATATATATCTGATATTCTAGGTTTCTAAGCACCCATAACCTCGGATCTGTAGTCAGTCAGGATAACGGCCGTACAGAAGAACCAGTGTATATTTGTGTCCTGACAAATAGCATTGTTGTTAACGACCAGGCAGACCCAGTACCACTTCCCATGAATGTACACAGCTCACGTCTGTGCACAGTTCAAGTTGGCAACTCCTTTGAGCATTTTTTTTTTTCAACCAGTGAGGAAGAGGAGGACTTGGTATACACTGATATGATGGTGCACTCCATTGGTACAGAGGGAACACAAAACATAGATAAATCCAGGCACGTGATCCTTGTACACTCACGTGGCCCCCTTCAATTGAGAAACTATTGTGCACGCTGTTGTACACAGCAACTTTCCCGTGATGGATTATCTGAACAATAGCTAGAACAAATCTTTTGCCATTGAATGGGGCATCGTGATAGAAGTGATAGCGTGCACTTGACAGGGATTTTTTCCCTCAGCCCTTGCTCTGACCTGTTGATACTATCCAGTCTCCATGGAATCCAACAACATTGAAAAGATGGCTCTTGTGGTTCCATTTGGCCTGCAGTCTGTCTAATGATTTGTTCGCCAATTTCCAGCGCCTACTGCAGTGATGTATTGGGGTTAAGTGCTTATGATAATGTCCACATTTATATTTATGACATTGTTTATTCTCCTAATTTCGACTCAGTCTGGGCCCACCTGAACATTGTTTTCGATCTTTAGGCTCCACGGTCATGGCCTCAAGCTTAACCATCCCAGCACCTTCTACATCAGTCAAAGGTGCGGGCTTCTCCGGACTTTACCAGATTCTTGCTCCGCTTTATTCAAGGCTATTCCTCAATTGAGGAGCCGATATTTGGTCATCGCAAGTCTGACCTGAAGACTAAAAAGAGACCCCAGCCTCCGAACACAAGTATCGACCTGGGAGATTCGGGCCTAGCAACTTTCAAGAACAACTCTGAATGCGTTACTGTGTTCTAGACCTGTCTTGTCATGTGCTGACTATTCCAGGCCGTTCCGTGTCAAGACTGATGCAAATAGATGATGAAGACATGCTCCGCGTCATTGCCTATGCTTCATGCACCCTGAAACCAACAGAGCAGACTGACGGCTTTACAGTGCCTTTGAGCTTGAACTATTGTCCATCATTTATAGGCAGTTGCGGGAGTACTTTCCTTTTAGGTCACACGTTCTGCAACAAAACGGATCATCATCCACCTCTGTTCCTGGATAACGGACATGATGAGTTCAGCAGTTGAGGTCTTTTGAGTATTAGTTGAAATACAGAATAGGAAAAACAGAGTTTGGCGTATATGAAACTCAAGGTTGCTGTCTTTCTGAGCATGTTGAACCTGTGTCCAGTTCGGCTGTCACTGATTGCTTGGACGACCACTCAGAGACAAGTTTCCTCATTCAGATTGGCAATCGCATTGAAGCTTGCCGCCGAAATGGCGGTATTAATTTGCATGTTGGGGCTTACATCGGAGCAGATGGAGAAGTTTCAGCAAGACGATCCCACATTGCAGATGGGGAGAGAACAGCCTTAATATCGAAAACGATCCAATTGTACCAAAGATGTCATGGCTCTTCTGTGTGATTGGGAAAAAACTTTGGACAACTGTAGAAGGGTGACGTCCCCAGCCACTCCTTCCAGATGGTGCTCCCTGCCACCCTACATAACCGCCCGACACTTACCAGATTTCATGATGATGCCTGGCATTTACATGTAGGTTAAAGCGAAGTATGTGTAGGCCATCAGACAGTAGCAAAGTCCGTAATTGCGAATATCTCTCTCCCATTTTAATTTCCCTCTTCATCATCGCTCATATCGAAGGAGGAATTACGAAGCCTATATTGTTTCTGAATTGTACCAGCTCTACCGGATTCAACGAAGCTACACAACAGTGACAACACACGTCCAGTTGGAATGGTCAGTGTCAACAAAACCTTGCAAAACATGCTTACGGCTCGTCCTGAGACAAAGAAGCTGTGTTGGCTAGAGAGCCTCCCTGCTCAGGTTTTCACCTACAAGTATAGCTGTCGTGCCAACACCGCAGTCGATCCCTGTTACCTTGACAAATAATATGAGCGCTTCTTCTGAAGTGCAGACGAATTTGTGACGCCAGGGCACGTTTTCGCGCTGCGAATTCGCAATGTCCGAAAGACTGCGTTGCGAAACACAGAGCGTACTATCCAGGTACGGGCGGAGCAGCGAGAGCTACTTTTTTTCATTCTACGAGTCAATATATATAACCAACCTTACATGGCGTCAAGCTACGGCCTTCTGATTTTGGCTGGGCTATGTCATTCGCAACCGCCTTGGCAGAGAGACGATAGTCCAGTTGTTTCTATACTAACGTTTTTTTTAAATGCCAGAACAGATATTCCATTTTCTTGGTACAGATATTTGTATAGCCCGGTTCATACTTCATGCTGAAGCGAATGCGAAGCGAATTTGACGTCATGAAACATTCGCTGCGAAATTCGCTCGAGTTGAAATGTGTTCAACTTTTACGACTTCGCAGCCTGAATACTTGCCATGACATCACAAATTCGCGTTCGCTTTCGCTTTCGCGCCGAGTATGAGCCGGGCTTAACGATCTTTCGATCTGGTATTGATCTCGCAACTCGATGTTGTAGCGATCTAACGATTCTTGACGATCTGAACGAGACACTGATTGTTCGGGGTAAAACGAGTGGACGACGCAAACGACTCCCAAGTAATGTCGAAGACGACAAGAAGAAAGTTGGTTTAGAATATGAGATTGAAGGTTTTTCATTCTTAAATATCTGCCTCATGTAAAGCTTCACAGTCGAACAGGGAGTCGGCAAGGAAAAATCCCCCCGTTTGCTTACTTGTACAAATGTTTCAGGGCAGATATAGGTATTTTCTACGCACAAAATACTTTATATTATAATCAAAGCATCGAACTCTGGTCCAATCAGACTCCGGCTGATGACCACTCCGCTTTCACAGTTCCAACTAAATGTCAGTGTTTATAAATCAAACAATTGTACCATTTGAACATGGTCACTGCATAAGTCTGACCAACAGAAATACTGTGAAATTACATCATCATTCTCCATATTAATGAAAAATACTAAAAAGACTTGCACCCATGGTTTCAAAGAAATAAACTTCTTGGAAGAATGTCAAACTGCGGATGCATTAACCCCAGTCCCCGCATAACGTGGAACACAGATCCTACACACAAGGATGAACGACTGTTCTGAGGTTAGGCACTCTCCTGTAGACGGTCAGAGCATACTGACCGGAACGTCGAGTTTATATCTCTGGTTCTTTTCAGAACCATTCTCTTAGTTGAGAAATTATTCGCACATGGTGTTTCCGCAAACCTTTCATTAATTATGCTTATGTTGTTATGGCTTAAATTTAAAAAAAATTAAGGCCAAAAAAGGTAGGATCATGAATATTCAAAATTATAATTGGCTGGCTTGACAGAATTTGACAGAAGATCGAGCGCAGAACCTTCAAATTGGAAAGCTGCCACGCGCAGCGGTTAATTTAACCGCTTCACTGTACGCGGCAGCTTTCAAATTCGAATGGCTGGTAATTGCCACCTGTACGGGCCGTTATCACCAGGAGTCCGGGTGAGTCCTTGGCTGAGTTTGGCTGTTAATCATTGTGTGTAGCCATGCGTGATCAATGGGCCTTGATGATCATCTGGTACTGCACTCACTGACCACCAGACTTTCCTGGTAGTTAAAAAATGTATACATTTTGTACATGCCTACAACCTGTTAACCGGCATCCATAAAATATCAACCTTATTACAGTATCGAGGACCATTTCAAGAGAGTGCTTCTATTTGGGCTCAAAACATTTCGTCCATGGAATGCTGAGCAGAATAGAATACGAACGCTCACGGAACTTTTTTTCTACACGAAAACAGCAAATTTCTAAGGTATAGACCTTAGAA